CGATGAACGCTACCCGGAGAACCGCATGCCGTACTTCCCTACGGAAACTGCATGGACTCACGCTGTCAAACCCTCTAAACCAACCAGGACATCCCAGTCTCCTTCTGCCTCCCCAGCACCCACCCAGATAGCAAGAAACCACGCACTTCGGCAATCAACTATAACATTCCCTCCCCGGTCCAGTTCTCCACCTAGACTCAGTCCCAGTCCCAGTCCACCCCCATGCACTCAATCTCCTCACTCGTCTACCATGAGTCTTGACACACCAGTACCCTCGAACCCTCCCACCTCCTCCAACCCATCCGCCTCTCCTGTATACCTCAATCAACTCGCCGACCCCTCCATCACCCATGCCAATGTCTGAACACGCCCATGATAACACCGTTAGCCTACGCATCTGGCAACAGAACTTGAACACTTCCCCAACCGCACAAGCATCGCTCCTCAATTCTCCTAATGCCGCAGACTGGGACCTCATGGTAATCCAGGAACCCCATATCAATTTTCTTCGTAATACCAGTGCTAACCATCACTGGAATGTCCTATACCCATCCCAGCATTATACTCACCCTCAGCAGCGAACTAGAGCGATTGTCTTAGTCAGCGCTTCGCTAGATACTAACACGTGAAAACAAATATCCTTCCCTTCCTCAGACGTAATCATCCTTCAACTCTCTGGCCCCTACGGGCATTGCACCATTTTCAATATTTATAACAACGGTAACTCTCAAGATACACTAACTGCTCTTGATTCCTTTCTAGAACGCAACATAGGCTCCATCAAGGCATCTGACAGTGACCATATGATCTGGCTGGGCGACTTCAACAGACACCACCCTGCCTGGGAAGACATTCGGAACCGACACCTGTTCAACTACGCCGCCGCTCAACCACTAATCGACCTTATTGCTGACTACAATATGCTACAGCTCCTCCCATGTGGAATCCCGACCCTCCAATCTACTAGCAGTGGCAACTGGACTTGTCCCGACAATGTTTTCGGTACTGAACAACTTTTAGATGCGATGGTCTCCTGCGAGACTGCCCCAGAATTACGCGGTCCCAAAACCGACCATATCCCTATTCTACTGACCCTTGCTCTAGAGGCCCCATGTGTTGACCAAGAACCACGAAGGAACTGGAGGGAAGTCGACTGGGAAGTCTTCAACGAGCATCTCTCTGCCCGCATTTCCACTCGCCCCGACCTGCCATTAGCATCCAACGATGAATTCCAAGCAGCCGCCCAACACCTCACTCTATCAATAACGGACACCATCGCAGCGTGTGTCCCATTTTCGAAGCTGTGTCCACACTCCAAGAGGTGGTGGACACGCCGTTTAACTAACATGAGGAACCAGGTAAAACATCTTAGCAAGTTGGCATATAAAATGCGGGGGCTACCTCTCCACGCATGCCACAAGGAACTTACGGATGCCCGGAACCAATATGCGGCGGAGATCACGTCAACGAAGAAGCAACATTGGGTGGAATGGCTCGAAGATATTGAAGGTAACGACCTATGGACAGCTAATCGATACATATCATCGGAGTCTCGCGATGGAGGCAAAACACGCGTACCCACCCTCACCTCACGTGGACCGGATGGAACGTTGATAGAGGCCACAACTAACCATGAGAAGAGCCGCATTATAGCTGAGTCGTTCTTTCCCCCTCCCCCCATCGTTGATTCCGTTCCAACAGATGTAACATATCCCGCTCCAGTAGAGCAGCAGCCTCCCATCACCTCCACCCAGATCACGCGGGCCATTGTCAACCTTAGCGGCTACAAGGCCCCGGGTCTGGATGGAATCTGCAACATAGTCTTCAAAGAATGCGTCGGCGTGTTACTGCCCTACCTGCTCCACCTCTTCAACGCCGTTATCTCTCACCGCTCATACTATCAGCCATGGAGGTCCTTCACCACGGTTGTATTGCGTAAGCCGGGCAAACCTAATTATTCTATTCCTAAAGCATATCGCCCTATCGCGCTACTTAATACCACCGGCAAGCTGTTGACAGCAATTGTCGCAGAACAACTAACATTCCTCCTAGAACACCATCAGTTACTACCTAATACGCACTTCGGGGGACACCCTGGAAGATCTACTACTGATTCACTCCATCTTTTAGAAGCCACCATCAAAGACGCATGGAGATCTCACCGAGTGGCCTCGGTATTGTTTCTCGATATCGAAGGCGCATTTCCCAACGCGGTCACCAAACACTTGATCCATAACATGCGCATGCGCCGTATACCAAGCGATATAGTTCATCTCACTGAACAGGTACTAACTGACTGACAGACACAGCTCCGCTTCGATGGATACACGTCAGAATGGTTCCCTGTCACTAATGGTATCGGACAGGGAGACCCGCTATCAATGATACTCTATATTATCTACAGTTCGGACTTGGTCGACATTGCGAATCCCCGTTGGGGACGCGAATCCATCAAAGAGATGACACTGGCCTTTGTTGACGACACTGCCTTTGTTGCTATAGCGAAGGATTTCGTAACAGCACATGGGATGCTAGCGGACATGTTGGAGCGCCCAGGGGGAGGATACAACTGGTCAAGAGCGCATAACTCCCGATTCGAGACTAACAAGTTTGCACTAATGGATTTCTCCATGAACAGGAACAAGAACCGTCCTAGCATGCTCATCCAAGGCGCCACTATCCGGCCAACTCCAACTCACCGCTTCCTTGGTATCATTCTAGACCAGGAACTTCATTGGAAGGCTCAGATAGATAACGCGATCGCACGCGGGACGGCATACGTACTCCAATTGCGCCGTCTCTCCTCTACCGCCAAAGGACTTCCAATGCGTTTAATGCGACAGCTTTACCAAGCTGTCGCAGTACCTAAAATGCTTTATGCCGCTGATCTTTGGTTCTCCCCAGCGTTCCGGACCGGATCAGACATCCTGCAGAGAGGATCCATCAGTGTTGCAAGACGACTATCATCAGTTCAACGACTTGCAGCAATAGCCATCACCGGAGCTATGAAGACAACGGCAACTGATGTTCTAGAAGTACATGCTAACATCCTCCCCACCATGTTGCTCCTACAGAACACCTGCCATCGCGCCATTATCCGACTCGCCACCCACCCCAGCACACACCCTCTCTATATTCCGCTCAGGAGGGCCGCACGACATTATGTTGGTTCACATCGTTCCTCCCTCCACAGACTTACCCATCACTACGCCATCAACCCCGCTGAAGTAGAAACACTGATTCCAGCTCGACGACCCCCGAGCACCAAGAACCCATGGTCTACGCACATCGCTGACAGCAAAGAGGCGGCTATTGCCGAGAACGAGCAACTAACGGATGTTATTCAGGTCTATTGTGATGGATCAGGATATAAGGGTAAGATTGGTGCCGCAGCAGTACTATTCCGTGCTGGGAAGAGACCCAGAACATTAAGATTTCATTTGGGTACTGAAGAAGAACATACTGTTTTCGAAGTCGAGGAAGTGGGACTTACACTAGCCACAAGACTCATTGCTATGGAACGAGACTTAGCCTTCCCTCTGTCGATATCAGTTGACAACCAAGCATCTATTCAGACCGGTGAGAGTTTTTGTTCACGTCCAGGATCATATCTGGCAGATCGTTTTCGCAGAATGATGCAATGAATTGCGAAGGACCACGACAACTTCGAGGTCTCAGTACGTTGGGTGCCGGGGCACTCGAACATCCATGGAAATGAGGAGGCGGATAAACACGCCAAGCTAGCAGCAGAGAGCGCCAGGAACAATAGCTCATGTCCCCAGCTACCCAACTTCCTATGCCATGGCGCTCTGCTGCTGAGCATCTCGGCGCTCAAAGAAGCCCATAGCAAAAACACGCATGCCCAATGGGAGCGCCTATGGCGCAAGTCTCCACGCTTTGCACGCTTGCACTCAATAGATCCCAAACTGCTCCGAAGATCATTCCTCAAGCTGACCTTAGCATTCCCCAAACGACTCACTGGCCTGTATATGTCCCTCCGCACCGGTCACATCCCTCTCAACAAGCACCTGAACCACATAGGAAAAGTCGCTAGTCCATTCTGCTCCCACTGCCCACAGACCGAGGAGACAGTGCACCACCTACTCATCGCTTGCCCCCACTATCAAAGAGAACATCACGCACTCACCTGTGCACTCGGCCGTAAGGCCTCATCCATCCCCTACCTTGTGTCCGACCCTCTCGCTATACCTCATCTAGTACAATTCATCAACGCTACCGGGAGAATGAAAGCGACCTTTGGTGATGTCCCCCTCCCTCGTGAACCGGCCGAACGATGACTTTTGCCCCATTTGTAGCACCACAAACACCACATTGACATGCACTTGGCTATATCTTTCCCATCTACCAAAATAAACACTCGCCTACACGGAATCGCCCACGTCCACCCTTGGCCTCAGTCAGCTGGATGGGAGAAGCCCATCGTCAACCCTTCTGGCCTTCTCACTTACATACTATCCTACTGCCCCCAACCAGATTCCTGTACTAGACTGCGCAAGCAGCTGAGTACTCGTTCAAGTCTTTCATTAGCTATGTTTACAACTACCGCACGCACAAAACAGCCATTTCACCCTCGACGGGTGGCGCATCTAAAACAGCTGGTGGGAACGGCGGACTGGTGGGGGTACGCCCTACACCAGGGCATTTGCGCACCCAGAGATGTGCTTAGGGACACGGGTGTCCTATAGGCTAGATAGTTTTGTCCTCCATAGAGTCTCACTCTACATAGGACAATAATTGGATTTTTTTTAAAAAAAAAAGAGAATATTAGTGCATGAACAATATCAATTAGAGCAAAAAGAGTGAATAAGTACACTGGCTGGATGCAATGTGATGTACATTGTGAGTGTAGATGGCCAAATTGAAAAAAATTGAAAATTCCGACGCAGTCCTACTGCCCATTATGGATGGATGTGTGACACTTACTCACTGACTCGCGCATCTATCAATCAGTACTCTGCCATCTACTTTGCTACTATATCATGGAATCTACCAATGCTCTGATCAACGACGACTCACTCGTAAGTTTTATATCGTCGAGTTGTACATCTTACTTAGATATTATCATAATCAGGTGCCCACGTTCCAACCAGATGCCCCAGGCCCGCTGATTGTCAGCGGTTCAGCGGTAGTATGTTATAAGTACATTACATTAATGAAACTAAATGGTTGCAGGGAGTGTGGAACAACGCAGTTGAAACAGCCCAATACTGAATCCAAAGTCATACTACTGCGCCGTCTACTCCTTTTCTGATAACCATCGAGGATAAGTGCTGGGTAACGCTGATGGCATTGAGGAGGGAAGAAGAGTTGCAGGAGACAATGAGATACCTGGAGAACACGTGGCAGGAGCTCACCGAAGTGAAGAGGCTGTTGGCGATTGGAAGTTAAGATCACATGGAGAGAGGCTGTCAATCTTGTAATAACATACCTTGTACCATATCACGGATGACCGCAAAGTCGAGTCCACCACAGGCGTCCACCTCGCTATCGGTGAGGCCACAAGCAGTAGACTCCTGGGGGATGGGATCCATGACCTCCACCATTTGTTTGGGAGAAAAAATGTAGAAAGCGGCCACAGGTCAGAGACATAAGATCATGATGAAGACACCGAGGCCAATAACAAACACGGAGCGATCGGGTTCTGCTTGCTCCTCCTAGTTGTTCGATTTCTGACCCAGTTGCTCCTGGATACCACAGGGCAAACTGTTTGGGCAGATCATGTTCCTGACGTCCTTTGCTGTGTCATGAGCGTATAATTGAGTACCTGCATCAGACTGTGCAGTTTCTGAAGAGGCTGGTAGTGCAACAAACAGATCAAGGCGAGATGGCACATTTGAAGCAGGGTTTGGGTTCGATGCTTCAACATCGCTTGGAATTTCAGGTTCTTGTCATCCGTGGAAATACCTGAGTACCTGCCTGCGTCAGACTGTGCAGTTTCTGAAGAGGCTGGTAGTGCAACAAACAGATCAAGGTGAGATGGCACATTTGAAGCAGGGTTTGGGTTCGATGCTTCAACATCGCTTGGGATTTCAGGTTCATGTCATCTGTGGAAATACCTGCAGGAGGATCAGCTTGTCCAGGCATTGAATTTGTTGGAGGATCACATGAAGATGTACAAATTGGGCACAAGAACGGCCGCAGCTGTTTTCATTTGCTTAACCCTTCAGCCCAACTGCAAGCACAAAGATTGGGGGAACAGAGGGTTCAAACCAAAAGAGATCCTTCGACAGTTCATCCCAAACAACACGCACGTAATAGACTAACAACCTCTGTGGTCATATCTTCTGTGGCAGAGTTGATGGACGATCCACTTGTAGACACTCTAGACATGGTCTATGAGAAATTTTGCTGGCCAGCGAAGAAGTTATCGAGAGGGAGAGTTCTGGAGGGTATGAAATTTGCTTACGAGGAGAAGGAGACAGACAGTATCACATGGGGTGTGTATCCTTGCGCAATGCAGGCTTACCACTGCCATCCCCATCCTCATCAATGATGATTGAGATCCATGATGCTGCCTTTTCTCCCATCCTTGTTGAGCACGTGCAGATTGGATTAGTAGAGACCGTGAAGGCTCAGGAGCGGGGGACAGGGGGGAGAGGTTGCCTTCCAGTTGTAGATCTGGGCCAATAACAGTCTAATTGGAAATTCTGCCAATCCATGCTGAGGAATGCCGCGTGCAGTTTTTCTTGGTGATCCTCCTCACTTGGATTCGAGACAATATTGTAGTCACCACCTAAAGACATGCCCAGTCCACCACCTGGGGAACAGGAAATTTCGGGAGATGTCTGGGTTTCTCAGGTCTGTGTTTCCATTGGTGTAAAATAGGACATTGCACTCGATTTTGACGAGTCCGCTCTTCATCTGAGGGATTAGAACATTCGCCAATACTCTCCATCAAGTTTGTCAAACTAGTGCGTGAATAGTGCGCAAATTGTAACATACCTCAGATGTGCAAGAGCATACATTTCATCTGTGGCAAAAGAAAGCCGGAGATAGAAAGGTTTCATCTTATTGAATATGTATATTCTCAGATTTCTTGAATGAAGAGCATCAAGAGAAGCATGAAATGAAGTTCTCAAACCAGATGCACTATTCTCAATGTACCCTGACATTATGGATATTTGTCCATCTAGAAGTGGAGTACGTGACAGGCCAACATGAGGCACAATATTTGAACGACAAGCTTCTCTGAGGCGACACTCGATGCCAGTCTGTGGCTAGTAGCGATACTTACTTCATCAGCCTCCACTTAGCATGAATAGAAGATCCATCACTGTCCAAGAAGGGGACAATGGATGGGACAACAGTTTTTTGACATTGGTTTGGTGCCTTGCGGGTGAGTCCTGTGAAGTCAACTTGACAAGTGTGCTGTCAAGGCTTGTGACTCAGAGGGAAGCAGCAGCCGCTGCTGCAAACACTGTGATTAAGAAGTTAGCATCATTTTAGGCAATACACAAATCAGGTAGATCAGAAAAATAAAAGGTCCAATAAAACTGAATAAAACTGGATAAAACTGGATAAAATTGGATAAAAAAAAATAATCCTTACTTTTTGTCTCTCCCACACTGATCCATGACTGCATAGATAATGTTCGGATCATACCTGTGTGCTAGACTGAAAATTCTAAAAGCTGCTATTGGGAGTAAGCCGTTGTTATTGATGAGAAGATTGCCAGATTTTATGTGTAGGATGTTATTCTGTGAACAGTTGCAAGATAAAATCGAGAGTGAGGAAAAAATAATTTGCACTTGGAAGAACAAGTAGGATGTATACACACCCAAGATCTCAATTATGCATGACTGGTTCATGGCCTTGATAACTTTGATCTTGTGCAAGGCAGTCACAGGTGAGCCCTCTTCTTGATAAAAATCATTTGGGCTACCAGTCGCTTGGTGAGGTGGTGGACTGCTTGATGGGCCTTTCTGAGTAAAATGATGATGAGCTGATGTAAATAGTTAACTTTGAAGAGGTAGGAGAGCATGATGGTACTTGCCAGCTCTGCGACGGCATCAACCTCATTATCTCCACCTTGCATGAAAAGCTCCTCCAGGTCTGCTACAGACTTGAGTAACTCTTGGAAAACACGATGCTCCCACTGTTTCCTTGAATGTGAGAGTAAACACACTGGACACAACTCCATAGGAGGACAAAGTACTCAGCCATGAAATTTTCTTCTGGAAAACTGTAGAATTGCCACCCTGTTCCAAAGGGCATGGGGGAATGCTCAAGCTCCTTCAGATGAAGACCATTGTTAGTCAGTTATTTTGGTGAGCATTTAAGACTCTACCTGGAACTTACATCAATTGTGTGTTGTGTGGAAGGCTGAGACCTTGCGCATCAGTAGAACTATAACATCATCCCAAACTGAACTTGAATCAGTAAGCACCAGATTATGACAGAATGCAAAAGACTGCTTACAAAGTATGTAGTGCTGCTGAAGATACAGCTAATGAGCAAGAAGATAGTAAATTTGTTCCTTGGGTTTTATCTAACATGAACCAAAAGAAGACGGTTTTGCTCCAACTTGAGCTTGACTGACTCATTCGAACAATTCCAGATTCTTCTGATCAATGGGTATTCCGGTAACCTTTGGTACCCCTAATCGGTGATCACATCATTCCTGCTTCTCGAACCTCCATTTCCAACTTTATGCAGTCATTGAAGCTTTATTCAGAGATCTCTCTGCTGCCAAACATTCATAGAGATTGGTGACGGTAAGACTCATGGTATCTGTAGTACAAAGTTAAGAACCGAGAAGGGGACCAGCGAACATCTGACTAGCAATACTGTGACTATGCGACTGGGAGAGTCGAGAAGAATGAAGCGAGTACATCCGAGACAAGTCTCAGAGACTTGGTGGAACAAAAGCCCCCACTGTTTGGGACGACAATGCATGAATCACTGATTGGCTGGGTTTCGATGGGCAAGATGTCCGTCATATTCCTAAATCTCTTCCCTGTCTCCTCTGTTGTGATTCTCGGAAGACCTGACTTGGGAGCGATAGGTAGGACATTGCTCCCCCTAAATGTAGAGCATGATCAATATGCTGAAACAACCACACTAAACATGCACTTTATGAAAGGGAGAGCCTTCACTCTTCCCGTGAATATTGGGAACCTGTCTGGATAGGCATACATATTGTCTAGGGCTGACATAATAATCTCGTTCATATCTTCTGGTCCACAATAGTCGATCACAAGTGCTTCTCTTTCTTTCAAGGTGATGACCATCAACTGGTAGAGCTAAATACCAATGCAGCATCTGTTTTTTGAGGAGAAAATGTGAAGGGCATACAAACTTACCAACATCATCAAATTGCCCACCGGTTTCTGGGCTAGACAGGTGAAATCTGAAAAGACTTCTTCGGGAAGGAAATCTGCTAGCCTCACACTGCATTTTCTATCTGCCAACTTGCTGTTTGGGTGAAAGAGTGACACCCAAAGGAGCTCTGAAAAAACATGTTCTCTGATGAGCTCAGAAATCATCTGGCGCACCTGAAAAACGAAAAAATTTGAGCTAGTGCCTCAACTGCGGTTTCGAGTCCTGTACATCATTGATGTTGTTCGAGTTGAAAAGACCCACGAAGTGAGTGATCCTCATCTCTACTGTATCGAAAGAGTCACAAAAGTTGGTGTATGGTGACATTGCACCTTTGATAACCTTCCTTAGTTCCCCCTTTGATTCATTAAATGCCTTGGCCAGTTGCTTGCATCAGTAAGGGGAAAGTGAAGGAAAGAGAGAGCACACATTCCTATGGAACTCCGGCCATCCAGCAGAAACAGTTACCCCGTTGGCAAATGTGATGACCACTGATGAAACCGTAAGATAGCATCAGGTAGCATATAGGATGCAAGGCACTGACCTGGTTGCTCCAGCATCTCCTTGTAAGTTGTGTAGGTTAGGTGAAGTGCGGTGAGAAAGCTATTGGTCACCCGGTGTCGTACTTCCACCTGATGAATTGTTGGGTTTTGGCGCTCTCCTACCCACAGGCCTCCAACAAATGAGGCCCTAGTGAGCATCATAATCCGCCACCAAAATGTCTTCTTCATTGCACAGGTGAGGCTCTCTCGTTGCTTTCTGTTCAAGGTGTCCCATACTCCACCCTTAGACTGTCTCCATTGCAAGTCAGGATGAAAAACCTCGAGGACTGGCTCCTTGGTGAGAACCCCATCTACTTCATCTAATTCATCCACTTGATCCAAAAAGGGCTGAGCTGTATCATCGATACCGCTGAGAGAAGTTATAGTGGACAATTCCCAGTAATTGTAGCCGCAATTGAGCTCTTGAAACTCCGTAGGTGTGAGGTCAAAAGCGGGAGCCAGGAGGACATCTGAGAGCATGTTGTCAAGAGCACTTGAATTGGCAGGAGGGAGCACATCGTACATGGGTTGTTGTACTGAGGTGACAATGGGAGGCAGATACCCATCTGGAAATGGAGCATAAGAGAATTGAACTGAAGCGTTCAACAGCTCTTGGAGCTAACAATGTATCAGTGAAGGACGTGCACGAGGACTTGAGCACAACACTCACAAGCCAAGTAGACATTGGGATACCTCTGGCATTAGCCCTACAGCATGTAGGGGTTATCACACTGATATAAGTGCTGCCAGTTGGCTAGATCTATTGTTTCAAAGACAGAATATTTGATGTGGTAAACAGCTCACCGTTGCTGTGAATAACTCATGAAGGTGGGTAGTATCCCTCTCGCCAGGAACAATCAGCCACCCAAGTTGCATAAGCTGACCAGTCCAAGGCCGGGCCTCCTGGAAGGATCTTTCACACTACAAATAAATACAATGAGATTAAATATTTGCATTTGAGAAGGAAACTCACATAGATAGGCGATACTTGGTTGTAATTAGCAAGGTACCATATGATCCTGTAGTGATGGAGACAAACAGATACTGAGGGGGAAAAAGGTAAAACAAAACCATGGTTGATGGATGGCGACAAACCTCCTCATGCTAGAGGAGAAGGTTGTCACATCAGCGGATCCACTGTACAAAGTCTTGTACTTACAGCAAGCTGAATGAGCTGAAGGATTTCACCCTAAGCGGGTACATATAACCATACTGGAGACATTGATTGGCCTGCAAGTACCAGGATGGGATAGGTAGGGAGGGAATTGATGGTAATAAACAATATTAACAAAGGCTGGTTATAAAGTAGCAAAGCCTGTCAAAAATTAGCAAAGGTCAAACATTAGAGATGATACAACAACTTGCTACTGATCTGTGGTGGACATAACTTCTTGGTATCGTGAGTTGGTGGCCGTTTGTGCTGGCTGCTGATCCCTGACTGATGGCCATCAATAATCTCCGGCCATATTATGTATTAGACATCCTTACCGTGGAGTTGTGCCCAGAAAATTACAAGGGTTCTGTTGCTGTAATACAATATCAATTTTCATAATTGAGAGCATGGCTCATGAACATGTCGTCTAGTGCCTCCGCGAGGGACTCCATGCTTGCATTCCTTCCTTGTTCAAAGAAGTTAAATTCCTCAATGCCAATGTCATGATCCTCTTCGTTGTGCTCATCCTGTTCATCATCGCTTGGATGGGCTATTTCTGTGAAGTTTTCTTCACCTTCAAAATCTTCATCTTCCATATAGGGAGTTGTTTGAGCGGCAGGTTGCCATGCCAAGCTATGACTGTCTAAGATCCCTACCCTATGTGGGTATACATGGCCTACCCCGAGGCCATAATGGAACCTCATGAGTGTATCACGATCAGCGAAGCTGGTGGAGTTACAATAATGATATAGATATGACCCGTATGGATAGAATTGCTCACCTGTTAACATAGTATTCTAGCCAGTCGTGTTTATCTCCAGAAAGGGGAGAAACCCCACCATTCAGATTACGCCGGCCTTGCGAAAAAGCCAGAATTATATGGCAGGCCCTCAGAACCGCTCCTGGATCCACAAAGCCGAAAGTGTTTGGATTTGTCAAAGGTAGGAAGCGAACTTGTCCCAAAGCATGTGTTTCCCATGAATGGTTTTGTACAAGTTTGTACCACCAGACAAATAGAAAGTCTATTCGGCAGGACTCATACATGTTACTTGAGTGCACAGCATTGATATGGTGGATACCAAGAACTCTCGCATAACAATATTTGTCATGGGCCCCATCATCATGCTGTAGCAGCATGATGTTACAATGGGGGGTCCTGGGGTTTATCACGTCTTGGGCCCTTCGAATGTCATATGTTGTATAATTAAACCTGACGAGGGCGTGGTGATAGATTCTGTTGCACTTAAAAAGAATTGAACTGTATTCCTGGTCGGGATGGGCAGAGTTCTGCACAGAAGATCCAAGGGTCCTTATGTGGTCTAGGATATGATCTTCCAATCGTGGAAGGAAGTCCTGAGTCATATGTTAGAATGACAATGATTCAGCCCCCGAAAGTTACCTTCATGGCAGGATCCCCTGCATGACTGTGGAGATAATGTCCCAACTTGTCGAAAGTTTTCTCACTTAGTCCAATATGATGGTGTAGCTGAGGGTCGATCACAGTTTCGTCAGCCTGCATGTGAGGAGTCCGTGTTGTTTGCTGTTGTTTGATATGACATAAGCAAATTTGATGGCATTCTATTTGAGTTAGCTGGTGTATGAAGTTTCTGCGATCAGTTCGGTGGTATCTGTCTTTCGATGTTTGGTGCTCTAGCTCTCCCTAATAGCAACTGAGCAGAGGAGCAGACAGGGAGAAAATCATAACTTACTGGCTCTGTACTATACGAGTCTGTTGTACCAAAACAACGAATGGAAGCAACATAATCGCCTAGCACGTGAAATTTGTACGTCCGAAAATTTAGCGACTTCTTCCTCCTCGATTGCCTTGGTGAATGTGGATCCTGCAACCGTTCCAAATTTGGCTTATGTTTCCCTTTAGAATTACCCCCTGCCCTCTTTTGAGCCACAGTCTCTTGCCAAACGCCATTCGCCATGCTGCCCTCCATGCGTCTAGTGACATCCTTTGCCTGCCGACAAGACCTTGCATCGACCTCACGGTCAAGTTCTTGTGTGTGGCATGCAGTGCATACCTTCGACTTGAAGTGACGGAATTTCTCACTGAGGTTGGTAGTTTGCTGGTTGAGAATCTCTAAGGTAAGGTCGGAATGCATACACAGTTTAGCAAGACCATGCCAATGCGCCATAATGAAAAGGAGATCAAGAAGAATTTTGTTGTGAGCATCAGGGAGGAGACCTTCGAAGACTGGAATAGAACACTTGTACAAAGTCAGTCCATGGACATATGAGAATTGTCTTTAAGGCGTACCTGTAAAAGGTCCTCAAAGTTGCATGCTGCCATGTTCAACATTTTGGAGGTGCTCACAGAGAACCACCTAATGGTTGCAGGACCAAACAGGGGAACCTGCCTGTACCTGTCAAAGATGGAGATGAGTCCCCCGGGCATCATCAAAACACATTCGGCACCTCCTATCAAGCTCGTGCACTAAGTCCTTGTTCAATGCAGTCAGAATTCTCAGTAGATGAATTAGAAGCATGCACCATACCCCAGGCTCAAACTCATGTAGGAAATCAACAACAAGCACTGCAAACACATTGAATCCAAATGCACTAAGATTGTTGGACAGCACATTCTTATCAAATATTAGTTCAGGCAATGAATGAGACTGATGACTATGCTCACTGAATTCGGCACCCAGGATTCAGGTTTGAGAAGCACCTCAACTGCCGTACTGTCAATACCATAATTTTTCTCATAAATAAGGTCACATGCAGTAGCAATGGGCTGACTTTTCGAGACGTTGGACAACACCAGTGTTAAACGTTGTTGCCGATCATGGCTCATCCCCAGATTTTGAAGCTGCGCAGTTGGTATGAGACAACACGGGCAAGGACAGCCTCCTAGCTGCTGAATAGTTGCAACAAGGACCCTGATTTGGTCTGCTGAGATGTCTTATAGATGATGATTATGAGTTACTTTTCAGGGTAATCCACAGAGTAGGTAAAGACTCTTTGATTAAACCTGCATTTGATTCTGTCACAGCAGAGAATTACCATCCCATGCTCATACACCTCTAAAAACTCTTCATCAGTAAGATATTCCATTGAGCTTGAAACAGTTCACGCTGGCAATGTGTTGTACATTCACAGCTGATCCCCTTGCCATTGGTATATGTCTCCACAAAATCTTTAAAGGCGTCCAGAAGCTGCCAAGGTGTGGGCTTCTGTTACGACTTGGATAGGTCAAGCCTCCTGATGCCAAATGGCAGGTCTCTAAGCGATCTTGCAAAGATGGAAGGACGGTAGTCTAGCCTTGGATGAAGCCCAAGGGATCCTCTGACAAGCTTGGTAAGTGCGGCGGCTTGTCAAGCTGTAGGGCTGATGGATATACAGCTAAGGTAGCGTCGGCTTGTCTTAGAAGTGCGGTCAAGACAGAGGGACTGAGGTCACTCTGAGAGGATGAACAAGTACTGGGATTGTACTAGTTTCTAGGGAATACCAAGTAGATCAAAGTAAGGAATACAATGATCTGTGTCTAGTCTATATAGGCATATGCTATAAGGTTCAGTATGAGCCTGTATCGTGAATCTATCTGAGTCAGAGATAAGATGAAGTGGGGCAAGCCTTGCTTGTCTGATAAGATGCATGAGGCACCTCTTCTATGTCAAGATACATACATGAGGCGCTCCAGCCTAAAGGTCCATCGACACATGTGAAGGCATGCGTTGGTCTAATTCTACATGAGGTGTACAGCCATCATGATGGGATTGGGAGGCCTTCCAGGCCATAGTGAAGTCATAGCGGTTCCAGACCGCTGTCAGTCAGGACCTAGGCTAGGTCTGGCAATGTTATTGTAACAGCTTCCACAAGAAGAAAATTAATTCAGGAGGACATTGTACCTTTTGAAAATATGTGATGTGGTTCCCCAAATGGCAGGATGGCCTACTGTGGTGGTATTTGGATTCATTTTCGAAATACATATACACTGGCCACAGCTTCGTGTTACCAAATGTTGTCAGTTGCGTGGCATCTGACCAAAACATCAATGCGATGACTACGCAGGGTAAATCACACCCCGGCTCTCCAGGAGACTCCAGGAGATCATGGTGGGCATCCATAAAGGCCAGTGAGGTGTAAAGCTCGCCTTGAATGCTGACCTCGTGGGGAAGATGGGGAGCACTCCATCGCAGTTGGTAAGGTTCATAATGGAAAAGCTCATCATCCTGAGCATTTGCAAGCTTTTCTTGGATGACGGAGGTGAGAGATTGATGGTAAAGTTCAGCTGTGATGTAAGGTCAAGGGCCTGGCTGAGCTGTAGTTCTGGAAAAAGGTACTTCAATGCTGACTTGCATTTTGTGCCAACCGGCATCCTCATCCTCCCATTCCTCCCCCTCATCATCGTAAACACTTGCACCTAGCTGTGAGTCAATTCTGCTCCATGGCGTACTCCAGACATCATCAGGATCAAAATCTGGATCGCTGATGATATCAATAAGTTCCTTGAAACTCTGCTGGGACTTCTGTGCACCTCCATGCCAGTACCAATGGCCCAGCTCAAAGGAGGATTGATTGGGGTAAGGGGAAAACAAAACATCGTTAGGCTCTGTGAGGGCATCTGACTCAGTTGAAGATATAGTCGGGATGGAACTGATGTCTTGGAGTGTTACAGCTTCTTCTGGGTCATGAGAAGGGGGGGTGGATGAAAAGAACTGACATATCAGCCCAAATATATTTCTAGCGGTACAGAAAGGGGGAGCTTGCGAAGATGCACAAGTACTGGTAGATGTGTCCGTTGCATTGGCTGGTGCATCAGGCTCTGGTGCTAGAGCAGTATATCCGGAGGGAAGGCTTGGGGGAGCTTGCGGAAGCACATCCTTGTATTGTCTATAATGGAGTGGCAATGAGACGTCAATGCATCAACTCCTCTGCTGCACCAGTGACAAGCCTTGTTCTGTGTCTATCTCGATAGGTGAGGCATCAAGATTGGTGTTTGATGATAATGTGGGTGCATTTTCTTGCAGCAGGTCAGCAGATGGAAAAGAGCTATTTGAGAGGTGGGCCTGCACGCTCAACAGCACTGTGCCAGGGCCAGAAATCTGTCTACCGAGGTTGTGGTTAACTTGTGACCGTTTCATAGAGCCTAGAAGATGCTTCGCTTTGGATAAAGTGGAGAACAATTGTTTCTTGCCCTTAGTGCAAGAGCCTTGATGCTTTGTATAGGCACTCTCCTGTGTGAACTCATGAGTACAGGTGCATCTGAAAGGGGTTGGAGTCGGCAATGAACTCGCACAATCCATGAGGGGGAGCTGAAGATGTGAGAATGTGGTTCAGTCCAATGTTGAAGGACAGGTGGAAAGACTGATGACTTTGATAGCATAACATAATATTGAGGGCACCAGTGATGGCTAGCCCAAATGGCGATCCCATCATAGTCTAGATTCCCACAGGCCAAAACCTCTGGCAGCAGGCTAAAGGTGGGGACATTTCATGGTGGCAAGATAAGCTGGGCAGATCATAATATTACTACATGTTGTGGTCTCATAAAAGCAGAGTAGATACTGTGTATTTGCTGCACTGGACCAGACAATGGAAGCCCCATCTTCACCTTCATCTACCATCACTGCCCCACCTGACTATCATGAAACTGCTTGGAGGTTAGCTAAATTGATTGCAGAGGCTATGACCTGTCACTTTGCCCTCCTACACTATGACAGCACCTCAAAATCCATGGTTGAATGGTGGTGGTGAGATGCACCCATATTCTCTGCAAATTTTGAGTTATGACGCTGCTCCACAAAAATGCAGGCCTATTGACGGTGATGGAAAGAAGATTTTGCCATTCAACCTAGAGATCCACCGCAAAGAATATGAATTGAAATACCCATGCTGTCTATGTGCCAATGGTAGTGGCAGGAGTGCATACATAGAGTGTGTGGTGTACTCGTGGTGGAATAAGGACACTGAGCAGTTCAATTGGACTGCAAGATGCGCATCTGATGAATGTGGTTATCGAGATTAGCATTCTTCACACTCAAGAGGATCACAACTGAAGAGTCAACATCACCTAGTAAAAATTGACACGTTGTAGGTTTACAACTCAGTGTGGTGCTATAGGCTCCAAACCAATATCTTTATGTTGTAGGTCGTCCAACACCTAGTCTGCTATACTTGCAGAACAAGTGCGTTCGACCCAAAAGGGGAAGCTAGTGCAGCAAAGGTCAAGCAATGAGCGCCAAAGGTGCTGCTTAGCAGCTGATGCGAAGCGTGGGAAAGCGGCAGGTGCACGCGTGGGAATGAAGCGGTGGCTGATAGCCGAAGGCATGGGAAAGTGTGGCTGCAGCGCAGATGGTTCGGATGGTAATAGAGATGATAGACAATAGAATTAGATGTAAAGCGAAATGGTAATGGACACGGTGTGGATGGTAAATGGATATGGATTGCCAATAGCTACTCACTGTAGGCTAAAGGGAGTTGCTACTGGAACATCCAGAAAACCAAGCTACTGAAGGATATGTACTACTAGTGTTTAAGTATTGCACTAAGCGCTGTCATGCGGAACTGAGCTGACGTGCTACCGAATAGGGTATGTAAAGCTATATGTAAATAAGGGTCTATGATGAAATAAAGGTGGTGCGATGCGGAAATGGTCTGATATATAAATATAATCATAGAATAATGTACCATTGGGTTGGTTGGATATGGACAGATGGTGCGAAACATCGGCTGATGAAGCGTGAGAAAGCACGGCTGTGCATGGGCGCAGGAATGCTGCGGCCATCGTGGGAAAGTAGCGGCCGATGTGCGTGGGTCGCAGGAAAGCTGCGCTTGGTGTAGTAAAGTAATAGGATGCTAAGAGATACTGCAAAATAGCCTCTATGAGGCTACAAGGACTTCCAGTCCTACAAAATACTTCAGGCTGCCGACTATATCCACCTTACAGTATCCTCGAAGAGGTATGAGCACTTGTCCTTCCTTTGCTGCAGTACTGGGTCTGAAATTATGAATGATGAAGAACAGCGAGTCTTGCCTATTCAGCTAGAGTGGACCTACAAGGAACGAAGTGAATTACTGAACAGACTTGATTCCTGTGTGGGAAATGGTATTACCAGCAGGGATTTCCAAATTCTGTTTAGCCAATGCAAAAAATGCAAGCGAGTCAGAGTGAGGTCAGTGATGAAGCACCACATCTGTTCGGGAGGTGTGAAAAAGCGAGAAGGTCGACTTGCATGATCATTGTTGCTCATTACTCAGTATTAGTTTAGTCTACATTCTATATGATCTACATAATGACATCTAGTACTTATTTATATCACTACGTGAAACTGTAGATTGCAAATTGGGGGCACCAACAACTCTTAGTCTCATATATGGTCAGGGATTTCAGCTGTTCATATACTATTTCGCCATATGCACTGTTCACATGTTGATGCCAATCATGCCATCATGCACAGCACTCAGAGGCCTCAGCCTGTAAATTCAATGTTCAATATTTTCAATGCCCGACGGACAATTAACAAGGCCATTGGATGTGTTGGCTGAATAGATGGAATGCACGTGATCCACATCATTACTAGGGCGAAGATATTAATATACTATCATACCATACTATGACTTCATTCAGATGCAGTGGTTGTGAATGGCCATCAGAAATGGCCATTCCTTTTACATAATATCCGGCACAAGTTAGTTGGTGTCAGTCAAGTACCTTTTCTAAACACTGCAATTGCCTGTTTTCTTTCAGAATCAATTCCTGCTTACACATAAATAGCACTCTCACAGTCAAGCTCGCTTGCCACACACCTTACTGTACATACAATATTTGCACCCCAACAAGATATGTCTTTCAGCAGAATCATTTGATTACTCAACTGCTTGCGCAAGCATTGTTCAATTTTCGAACGTCCTAGGCCATGAATTCTTAGATGCCTACATAGGACTCATAGCAAATCAGAAGGTCAGTGGGAATTTTTTGTAATCCTGATTCTGTTAAATCTTTTCATGTAGCTTCAGACTGAAGTATATGTTCTGTCATTCTTGCTCAAAAATCGATTTTATCCCGGCGATCTGTGGGAACTGGTTGGGGAGCGCAGCATAGAGGCGAAAGAAGAGGAAACATTGTGAAGACATCAGAGTGTATGTACTAATGGACATACCGGAAGGCACGCAGCTGTAGAACATGTTCTCTTAGAAGAGAGGAGGAAACAATGTCAGATAGAGGTGTCTTTGTACACCCAGGCTATTGAAGTCTTGGAGCAACATTGGTTGTGTGAGCTTGTTTTTGTCTGGGTGCAGATGTGCAGTCTGATGCTCTTGTTATTTGTAGCATGTCTTGGAGCTTGATCCAAACATCCCATCAGGCCTCCCTTGAGGCAAACAGTTGCTCCTACAAACTGTACACCTCTACCGTGCACACCCCTGGCCTGCTCGATAGCAGCACAAGGGATATGTGAAGTTTGGCTAATGAGCAATGATGCCCCCCTCAACTCAACTGCAGCATCTTTGATGGAAACATTATTGCCTCTACATATCCCTCTCTCTTTGGTACACGGTAATTCCACCTTGCAGGAAGAAAGACTGACGTCTGTCTGTTTGAATGTCAGTGCTTCAACAGTTGGCTTAGCTGCTCTGACCAACTGTTCACAGTGTATTGGCTCCTTATTGCTCCTGTCGAGTACATGGGTCACTGCCGATGTTCAAAAATCCTTTTATAAGTTATTCAAGCAGGAACTGACCATACAGGGGGAGTTAATGGTGACATCCCTGGCTACCAGACATAGCAATGCCTACCTGTGTAACCTTGAGTTGGATTTACTCATCTTGCAGGCCAAGAGACGCTGCGCCCATGCAGAGATAGCGCTATATACAATGGCCATCAGTAATCTTTATGGACACAACCTCTGCGATATTAGTGAGCACAACTGATCATGCTCCTTTTCATGCTAATGATACTGTAGGTTCGTCGACATCTTCGGATTCAAATATTGTCCGACCTCTGTGTAATGAAGTGCACTACCACAACGAGGATATCAACAGCAGCACAGAGGAGAGCTGTGAAGACTATGAAGATTACAAAGACTACAAAGATAACAAAGACCACGTAAAGCTTGACATTCAGTGATACTGGAATTTTTCATTGACATCTGCATATTTTTTTTTGAATGGGACTGTATTTTTTGACCTTCGTAAATTATTCTCACCTTTTTATTGACTGTTACTTCAGATTATCATTGACCGTGTATAGAAGTGTGTATCATTATTGCATTCTCACGAAATCCTGCACCATTTAGTCCTCATTTGGTTAATTGGTTCAAACCTGTCTTTATCTTGTGCTACTTCTATGCTGTTCCTCATTCTCTAGTATGTTTGTATCAAAGTGTATGTATTGGAGGACACTGAGTACCGTCCCCTTCTAAACTTAGCCTGTGAGGCCAACCTTCTATTTGGTTGTTGAAGATACTTGTAAAGTTCTCTGCACTCTGAAATGGTGTTTATCATTGTGACGCCAGCCTATGAATCAGAATCATAGCTGGTGCGCTCGAAGTTGTTCACATATATTTGTATGTGCACACCTTTGTGCCCACCAAAGCTGTACTCTGAAGTTTGCAATGCATTGGCACTCTATCTTACTTCTTGTCTGGCAGGCCTATCCTGCTCACTCCCACTATTTGTAGTTGAACATGGTCTGTGAGTTCTCCATCGCATTCTGAGATTATGACACCTAATACTATCCCATGATTCCCATCAGTATCATATTTGTTTACTTTACAAATGTCAAACTCCTGGTGGAATATAATGTGCTTCTTGTTTAAGCGACAATTTTGAGTGAGAAGTTGAACATGTCGTAGATTTTGACCGATGAGTATCCAAGCTCTCTGCAAAGGAGGCTCAAACCGCATTCCAGAAGGTCCTCCTTGAACTCGTGGAGACAAAAATCGGATTGTTTCTGAAGTGCCATGACCTCGCTGTGTATGAGCGCAGCTATGCAAGTGCTGCTGCCATTTGACCTCATTATCACCTTGGAAGTTGCACATTTTGCGTGTTAGGATACAACACTCAAGCTAATTCCACATAAGGCTTTGCCCTTTCCTTTCCCTTGCAAACAGCGGTACCTCACCCTAGCTCGCAGTAATTCTCTGTACATTCGAGCAGGTGCTGTTAATGCATGCATTGTAACACATCCTGAATCACTGCCTGCTTGTGGTTCTCCAAAATTTTTAATCTTATCACTCAGTTACAGCTCTGTAATTTCCAATTTTCAGGAAGCTATGAATGCACCATTTTCCAGGCATACAGCTTCAACCTTGTCTCTTTCACAAACTCATTCATTGGATCCTTTGATGGTCGGTCAACAGAGGAAGCTCCACTGGTATGTGGTGTTTTCTGTGTCTATTTTGAAGTCACTGTCCATGGACTAGTCTTAGTCATCTGGGTGTCCCAGATATATGTATGTCAGGGCGATCAGGACACATGTACTTCTGAGGGATAGCAGATAATGATGCCTTTCGTTGTGCAAATGGTGTAGTAGCATGCTGCCATCCATGTGCCACTATATCTGAGGATGAGGGCTCTCATGTCCATGGGACCCATTTTCCTTCCACCTCATGGTAAACCGTGTTTTACAAATCGTAGATCATGTACAATGTCCGCTAACTATTTGTGAACAGTGTACACTAGTAGTAATTGCAGTTGTGTTGCATCTCCTTGCTCAGATCAAGCCACTGCTGAATAGCCCTGAAAAGTGGGAATCTACTACAGTTCCTGCCTTTAGGTATTGTCCTCAACTTCGCCATCGTATTCGGCTGAGTAATACAATCAGGTTTTTTCAAGCGAACACATTTTTGACGTACTTGGAGTAGGAGAGGGAGAATCCCATGGGATTTGACGGGGAGAGCAAGTACTGACCCAATCTGGTGCGTATTCTTTCAACACTCTTGTCCGATAATTTTCCTCTAACAAATGAAGTCTGTACTTTTGGTACAGCCCTTCCAGCCTAGAGCAGTTCATTTCTGCCAACTGCAGTCACTCTTTGAGCTCAGTTGTGGAGCTCACATGGCTCTTTTTGTCATTAATCATTGGCAGAAGTGGGACCTCATTGTTCCTTTTGAGGGGCTGTTGGCATTAACATTGTCTACCAACTCGATTCTAAGGAAAGGCATTAGCATGTGCTGCCGCCAAGTGGGTCTATTAGGCTTACCACAGGTTCAAGCTGATACTATGTCCTTGCAGTTTGGAGGTCCAACATCCAGGCTGTGGCATATTGGGTGTTATCGAATCTATTCTCTGGTGAAGAGCTACAATGAGAAATTGAAAGTTTGAGGGAGCTATATATTGGGCGGCGATGTATCACATTTTTCTTTGACCATCTAAACTCAAGTTTAACACATGCTAGTACACAAAAAATGAGCGGCTGGCCATCATTTGGCTGTCATTCAAAGTTGCCATAAACAGTGGCAGTAAATGATGGCCATCACTCTAGGTAGCTATAAATAATGGCCACTTTTTGGCCATCATCAATTTTGCTGTCATTTGCCATGGCTTACTGCTTTAGCCACTAGTTGCCCTGTCATATTATGTAGTGCTGGGGATAAAAACTACTTCCAGTATTTGCAGATCCCTCGCTATTTTCCTCCTCTCCAGTCACTGATGACCATCCAAGAAACCACTTCCAGTGTCCCAAGTAAATGTGGCTCCTCAGCCCTCCAAATGGGACCTCACAAAAAGTGTAGGCTGTTCCAGATACTCGACCACAACTTTCATAGACTAATAAGGCTGTCTCCCAGCTCCTCATCCGATCCACTAGTGTCCCACGGACATCATTTTGGTCAAACAGTATTCGCCCTGTGTAACTACCCCGCGTTGCTCACCAATGGAATTTTGAGACTTGAACAAATCAAAGATATTCCGTTGGAAGATTTTCCTGCTGAGTGAAACATATTTATTCTGTATTCTTCGCCCATTGGCTGACGTACTTGACAGAGAGCGGTGAGAACATTGCGTCTTTGAGCAACTTTTAGACTCTTATCCCGGTCTTCTGGAGCGACTGAAAGATGGGTCTGAGGAGGAAATCCTTCACGTTGGAGAGCTGGTGCACCGTCCTCTGCGTGGATAGAGTTTATGCTTATGATTTACAGATCAGTAAGGGAGCCGCAGGCACCAGAGGCAATGATGCCAAAATGTTGAAGTCTGTGATACTTGACTGGATTTCCTCCAAAGGGGAAGGCATACGGCCTCCTTTACATAGAAATTCTAAGATTGACCGCAGTTTTAACCACGACCTTACAAGATCTCTTCTTTGTCCCGCTGGGTTGGACTGGAATGACCCTCAGTACGTTTCTGTTTGCTGGAATCTGTGTAGTCCTGAATCTTCTTTTGTACTTCTTTTTAATGTAGAACCAAAGAGAACCTCCAAAGCGGCGAGATGATGGTCTGTGAGGATCAATGGCCCGTTTCTTTGTATGCCCACCATATTTATGACCCTGAAGACCCATGGTGCAGGCTTCTTAGGAGCCACTTGCTAGTCTACATGAGTACGCACTTATTTTTCAGATATTTGATTTGTTATGAGGTATTCCGTCAGGCCTACAAGCACGTGTTCACATCTCCAAGTTCGGTTGACAGGGAGCCAAAGGCCACACAATCTGGAAACGCATGCCTCTACGGCATGAATTCTGTCACAATTGCCTCCCTAGCATATATTGCAATACAGGTCCATTAAGCATCAATTCTGTGGCAGCTCAGTTTTGACGTACAATTGAAGGTACAATTTGCCCTGAGCTTGTCCTTGGTGTTCTCTCGTACAGACACAACTACAGACTTGGAAACATTCTATCATAGCCTCCTCGACCTCTTAGAAGACCCTGAAGAATACAAGGAAATTGACGAGCTGCTAATCTGGTGGAATCAGTATTTTTTTCGCTCTTCACCATGTACCAAGGCTGATACATTGTCACTCACTCAGCCAAGTTTTCCCCACTTCTTCTGCAGCCAAGAGACCCATCAGTGCCAACAGCGCCTTATTCAAGATTCGACAAAAATGTTTGGCCCTCAAACAAGCTTCAAATCTAAATACTGTCTCTTCATAATTTCTATTTAAATCTAAATATTAGTTAATATAAATGCAATCTAATGACAGCCTGGTTTGGCTTTTATAACTCTTCTAACCCACAGAAGCAATTACAAGACGAAAAATGTAAACACTGCTGCGTCTTGGTACATTTTAGCCTGGTGTTATAAAATATTACCTGATGCTCATCATCCAGAGAGGGTTTACAATGAACAAAATCCCTCACTGCCTTGGATCTGATGACTATACATCAGCAATCGGCTGATGAAGAGCATCACACTGACATGCCTCCACATCATGAGACTGAAAGCAGCCCCCATCCACAACAGTCTAGCATTGGAAGACTCCAGCAGTTAGAGAAAGAATATGGAGCATGAAGTGACCAACTGACCCTGTGTGCAGTTACCATATCTAAACAAGGTTGGGCAGGACACCAATGCACTGTCTGGGTTGTGTACTTTTGCATATCTGAGCAGCACAGGCAAACATCACAACCACATAACTAACGTCAATGTTGAAGGAGTTCTTGTTAGGGGTGCAATAGCACGCTATGCTTGCATGAGCCAACCTCATTGATACAACTTGGTACCGTGTTGCAGATGCCTGGCACCCTTGGATTGTAGGCAGTCCGGTCCAACATAGTCTGGTCATTCAAAACTTTGTCCCCCATTAGCATTTGTTCAGATATCAGGGTGCATAAAATGAAAAACCAACTTTATATATGCTTATCGTATCTCATCGAGGTTGGGACAGATGGCAATGCACTGTGGCTTATCACCTGAATTGTGCACCTAGCAGATGTAAGCAGCACAGGACAGCATGACAACCACTTACTTACCTGATGTCAGCGCTGGGGAAGCTCCTGTTAAGGGTGCGATGTCAAACTGTGCTTGCATAAGGCATCACATTGATACAGCTTGGTACTGCATTGCGGATACTCAGCACCTTTAGGTTGTAGGTAGTTCGGTCCAACATAGTCTGGTCATATAGTTCTATAACCGACACTGACACCTATTCAAAGATTGCAGAAAAAGTCAACAACGTCAAAAGTTGCATGTCATGACTGTGGCAAGTCAAAATTGTTGTGTATTGCCAACTTACCACCAAGATGACACATATTATAATACCCACCTGCTGTGACAGAGTTGTCAAGCATGAGCACTGTCACCTAGTTGTGGACTGTTGCAACCGGACTGCCATAATTGTATATTTGGCGGCTTCCACCCAACTAAGTCCGGGTATTCAAAGCTTTCTCGAGTGGTATACAATTCTGATAGGTATTATGCAAATTTTAGACAAGATAAAGCTTGCTAATAATTTATCATTTTCGGGTCATTTACCTGATGCACCTGAAACACGGCGGAATAAGAGTCTGTGACAGATTCCATTCAAATTAAGGGATAAATTCTTAGTATGGAATACAATTTGATCTACACCAAAATTCATGATCAAAACCTGAAAAGGTCTCCAATTGGTTCTGAACCCAGATTCATAAATGAATAGGGAATATGTATGGACAAAATTGCTGAATTTGTTGGCACGGATCTGGCTTATTGTTAGATTCATAGCCAGATAACGAAAATGACAAGTATATTTAGGACACAAAATTCATATATAGATAGTAGATATGCCATGTAATCAAATATGTACTAAATTGAAACTCTGTTTTAAATTGGTTGAGGAAATGGGGCAGGGCTGTGTTTGGTAAGCCAAGGGAGGAAAAATTACAAATATGCACATGGATATGTCTAGCATTAGATTCTGACAGCAATCTTAAAAATTTGCACAATTCATATGAGTTCCCCGCTTAGTGCCCCACTGAATGGGGCACTTGTCCGATTTGAGTACAGCAAAAATAGAGCATTGTGCAATTCGGAAATCTAAGCCAGTATAGGATTGGTAGCCCTGGCACATTTTTCAAAAACAGACAAGGAAACCAGCTCACTGTGATATATCTAACCTATGCGAAAAGTGGAACTTTGATGAAAACCCGCACAGAGGAATGAGATCAAGTCGAATAGCAGGTCAAAAATGCACGAGGAGTCCAATTTGTTTGAAGGGAAGATGTGTGTCGTCCTAGCACACATGTTGGGGATTGGGATTTATCTCTGAATTATCAAGATCACAATGAGACATGGCAAACAGGAGACCTCCCGCGAGTGATGAAACTAGCGAAAATTGCAACCTCTGAGTCAGTGTTAATAATTGCAATAAGTTCAACCACCTACATCAGGAAATCACCGGGACTTAGGTATGTCTAGTGACAATTGGTAAGACAACACAAATATGGCACATCAGGGTCAACCTTGTTAATAGTTGACCATGTGATACAGCATAGTTATACAATGGCTACTCTTTATGATTTAGCGGGAAAATTGGGGGCCTTTGGTACAGGCCTGCCACCACTGGCCTCTTGGGGAACATTTAAGTCCAGGTTCATCATCTTACACTGCTACTCTTTATGATTTAGCTGGAAAATAGGGGGCCTTTGGTACAGGCCTGCCACCACTGGCCTTTTGAGGAACATTCAAGTCTAAGTTTATCATCTTACACCTTTGGTTGTCTACCTCTCAATTATTGGTGATGATATCGGATGTATATGTCATGTATATGTCATGTATCACCTCATAGGTATACAATGCCTACTCTCTGTGATCTGGCTGTGATATTGAGAGCCTTTGGTATGGGCCTGCCACCACTGGCCTTTTGGGCATCATCTCACACCTTTGGTTGTCTACCTCTCAATTCTTGGTGATGATATTGAAAGTTCATGTCATGTAATACCTCATAGTTATACAATGATCATAGGCTGCCATTTACCCATAGTATAGGTGATTTTTTATGATCAGGAAAATGCACTATACCTAGTAGCATATGTAGGCTGTCATTGGGTTGATACCACCTAATCATTAAGATAAACATTGATAGAGAACAGGATTTGATTGTGGAGAGTGAAACATAACAAAAGAAAATCAATATTCAATAGACCCGCCCGATCACCCAGCTGCTTCTAGCATGCTTATTTAGATCAGTCATCTTCAAGATGAACATACAGTGTTACCCCTGCGCGTAAACCATACCAAGCCAAGGGGCTCAACATGCACATCACAATAGTTAGGCAGCAGGCACACGTGACGAGTGCAGGTTTGGAGTGCTGGGCATCTATGAAGGCACTCGCAAGGAACCAAAAACCAGACCACATAATACTTTTCCCCCTGTAAGTAAACATGAGCGACAGAGATCAAAAGTTAACTTACCTCAACATACAAAAAAACCGGGGCATGCTGAACACCCCAACAACCACTGTCATCCCCTGATCTAGATAATAGGCCTGGTGAATTGGATGTTAGACTTTAGTAGCTGAAAACAAAACAAAACAAACTGTGAATTGCAAAGACTTCATTTTCTCGCTGAAGTGTTGCACAAACACGCCTGAAAACAAGCAGCCCACACAGAAGATAATAGATCCCTTCAGGATAGACTCCACAACCATTTCAGTAGCGACACCTTGCACAGCAAGGAAACTGGTGTTGATCGCCATGATGACCCCTGCCTGTCAGAGAGCGTTAGGTAACAAGAAGTCCTCATTCTATACTCCGAGATGCCACTCACCAAGGTGATTTGCGCATTAATCTGAGAGTTCAACTCGTCGAGGAAATTTTTGAGGTCAAGGTAATTCACCAGGTTATCGACATAAACTTGTTTAAGGTTATATAGACGGGCGGGCCGACGGGGGTGTATTACATATATGGGTGGGCCGAGGTAGGGGAATATTACATAGACGGGTGGGCTGACGTGGGGTGTATTACATATACAGGTGGGCCAACGTGGAAAGTATTACATATATGGGTGGGCCGAGGGTGCGATAAAATATTTATTACATAGACAGGTGGGCCGAGGTGGGGTATAATTATATAGACAGGTGGGCCGACATAGGATGTATTATATAGATGGGTGGGCCAACATAGGATGTATTACATAGATGGGTGGGCCGACGTGGGGGATAATACATAGATGGGTGGGCTGACATGGGGGAATTGTACATAGATGGGTACATATATGGGTGAGCCTAGATATGTTCCATCAAGACATACAGCTGATGTAGCCACCAGCGAATCAAACACGTAGGATACATGTACACTATGAGTGCATATACCTACCATCGACCACAAAATCTAAACCCCTAAGCACACAAACATGAATCGACCATGTGTGGCATTGACCAATAATCGAGGACTGAAGTGGAAAAACCCCACACCTGAACCCTGGTGTGCAACATATCCTATTTCTAAGCATGGACACCAGAAGCACAATACTCACAAAAATATATATGTCAATTTTTCAGTGCCAAACCCCAAACCGAGATGTACCAACCCCCGAATCCCGAAACCTGAGACTGCCGGGTCTCAGGTTTGGGGGTTTGGGGGTCCCGGAACTCAGAACTCGGAACTTGGGGAAATTTGGGGAGATCAATAAAATTCGATCTAAAATCGAGTTGATTGACAAACACATTGACTTACCCATGTTTGAAATATATTTTGTTTACACATACCGAGTTCTGAGTTCCAGACCCCCGAACCCCGAAACCCAAGACCCGGCAGTCCACCATGCTGGGGTTTGGGGGTTGGTAAAATGTGTATGAATATATGAAAGGTTGATGTAAATTTTTTTGAAAGATGTCTCATATGAAATGTCAAGTCCCGAGTTTCGAATTTCGGGGTTCGGGACTCCGGGTGTTGGGACTTGGCACTCCTGAAACCTGGAAGTCGAAACTCGGGACTTGACATTTGATATGAGACATCTTTCAAAAAAATTTACATCAACCTTTCATATATTCATACACATTTTACCAACCCCCAAACCCCAGCATGGTGGACTGCTGGGTCTCGGGTTTTGGGGTCTGGCACTCGGAACTTGGAACTCGGTATGTGTAAACAAAATATATTTCAAACATGGGTAAGTCAATGTGTTTGTCAATCAACTCGATTGTAAATAAAATTTTATTGATCTCCCCAAATTTCCCCAAATTCTGAGTTCCAGACCCCTGAAACCTGAGACTGCTGGGTCTCGGGTTTCAGGGTTCGGGGGTTGGTACATCTCGGTTTGGGGATTGGGGGTTAGTAAAATGTTTACAGATATATGTAGGTTGATTTAAACATTGTCTGAGAGATGTCATTTGTCTCAAATGTCAAATCCTGAGTTCCAAATTTCAGGACTCGGCACCCGGCACCCAGGACTCGGAGTTTGGCACTGATAATTTGACATTCAGGTGTTCGGGTTTCGGGTGATATCTACCTCAATCTACAGTTTTGAGTTCTGGATATTGGGACTGATCATTCAATCATTCAATTGTGGCATAGGTAACATGCACTGAAAAAGATTTATGTACATCTATCACTGAGCAATTATATAGCCATTTCAACCTCCTCACCAGGAAGATCAACCTTTCCCTCAACATCCATCTCCTCATCAGAAGAAGCGTATTCTGGCAGGAGGTTACCTGGTTCATTAGGGACCACAATATTGCCGGAGGATTCTGGCAAGAGGTTGCCTGGTTCATCCTGGAGCACAATTTCGCTGGAGGATTGTGGACCCTCAGGCTGAACTTGGGTGGGCTCAACCATAGGACCTACCATAGCAGATCCATGCTCAGGCATCAAGGGTGTGGGTTCCATCACTGAAATGTCCAAATCAATGAGGTTGGAAAGTGCGGAGGGGAGGGGTGACATGGACGGGGGGACCTCCTTGATCAAGCAACATTGATGCATCAGCCAGTGTGTCTGGAAGTGAAAATGAAGGGTGCCGGTCGATCACCGTGCGCCGGAGGCTCTCATGGAGGCATTGCAGGGTATCAATCTTAGCGTCCTGCTCCTGCACCCAAGCCTCAAGAATCGCGATGCGAGCTGCACCATCCCGAATCGTGATTGCCATGGAATGGAGATCCGGCATGGGAACATTGAGTGCTGCATGAGGCACTGCGATGCTGGAAGACCTGACTGCTAAGTAAAAAATTAGGTCAGCCGGTCATCAAAGGTTTGGGTGACTTACCAGCTGGTGCAGGTGCAGGGACAGGTGCAGGTGCAGGTGCAGGTGCAGGTGTCTTATTGACGATGATGGTCTTGCTGCAACCACGTGACTGCACCTGGGGTGTAGTTGCAGCAGGGATGGCCGGAGGTCGGGACAGGCCACAAGATTGACTACGAGTTCGGGCCCTTGACCAGGAGGGAGACGGAGCATTGGATGGAGCAGGGGCAGGTGTCTTGGAATGCATCTGGCCAGTGGTAGACTTCCCTCAGATCCATTTGGGTGGGGATCCCAGAGATGCAGGGTTGCATTTGATCTTCTTGGTGGAGCAGCGGATGCAAGACAAGCAGGGGAGACTGGTCCTCTTGTCCAAACAAGTCGCACAGGGCCAATTCTCCTTGACACAATAATGGCAGGGGTTTTCTACTGGACAGCCTTGAATGTGGCACCTTGGCAATGAACTATTACAGCAAGCTCCTGGAAAACAACCCAATGGGGCGACCACATGCAGGAATCATTGGAGAAATGCCTTCCAGGTCACGGATGCTATGCCGGAAGGCAATCCCAAATGTATTCATTGCTCGCACAGGATGCGCAGGCAGCTTTTCAAGACCTACAAAATGTGTTGATAGAGGCTGGAGATGAATGAACATTGTTTTCTCATGAAGTCCCTTTTTCCACATACATAATTGAGGCCTGGGAATTGTCCGGGTCAGCCCATGTCGGAGTTTGAATTTCATATGCATCCATCAGTGATTCTTATCTTCACATCTTCGCCATCTTTCACTTGTATTGCCAGTGCCATAGTCCTGTATTAGCCATGTCTGCAACTCCTGCATTCACTTCTGGCACTCTGAATGCTGGAAGCCATTACCGACCCCTGAAGCTGAGCCTTGCAACTATTTCCTGCACATTGGCAATGGCTGGATCGCGCGTCCGTGCATGCATCTCTCAAGTATTTTAAAGCTGGGCTGCAATGGGAGATGAATGTATGTTACCACTGCCCTGATGACTTTGTTGGTCAATGCTAAGAATTTGAGCAGACTTTTGTCACACCACTCCTGCAGTACTCCGCTTCACAGAATATCGTGTCGGTGGTTCCGGTCCCTGTCGCTTATATCCTTAAGTTGTATCCCATGCTAACCTGGAACACGGTTCCAGACGACGTCTTTTCATTCCACCTCCTTTCATTTCATGATGAGCCAATTGCAGGACATCCGTCCCAGATTGTGTTCGCATATACATGTCCATGGTGGATGGGAAACACCACAATCCCTGATCAACCATGGCAGTGGGATGAAATAATGGCTTCCTGCATCTCTCACTACCAGTATTGGGCGGTAAGATCTTAGCTGAATTACCTTGATTGATGACTTATCTGTTTCAGCTTAATGTTGAGGATGATGCTTTGGTTCTTCCAGAGAAGTTGAAAAACACTTCGACTCCACCACTTATGGGACTGAGGTTCATTAAAGAACACATGGAAGCATTGATGGAGGAGCAAGATCAGGGCATCAAAGCCAAGATGGGAGAGGTGAAGATGTACACTGACATGTTAGAGAAATTGAGGAAAGGCAAAGGAGTGTAGTCCCATTCAGTCTTCATTGTATACAAGATGTAACATATTCTATGCATTCAAAAATCTCACATCCGAGTCCTGGACGCCCAGGTCCCGAGTCCCGAATTTCGGAGGTCGGGGTTCAGAGACCCGGAGCTCGGCAACTGTGTTGGGTGTCAGGGTATCCAGAGCATTGGAGATAGCATGTGTTAGTATTTTGCGTTTCATGGTTCATGTTTTGTGGTTATGAAATCGGGCGTCAGGGACTCAGTATTGAGAACAGTGTTGAGTCCCAGGTCATGAGCTCCGAGTCCCGAGTCCCGAACCCCAGACCCAACAGTTGCTGAGCTCCGGGTCACTGAACCCCGACCTCCAAAATTCGGGACTCGGGACCTGGGGTTCGGGACTCGGGACTCGGAGCTCATGACCTGGGACTCAACACTGTTCTCAATACTGAGTCCCTGACGCCCGATTCCATAACCATGAAACATGAACCATGAAATGCAAAATACTGACAAATGCTATCTCCAATGCTCCGAATACCCTGACACCCAACACAGTTGCCGAGCTCCGGGTTGCCGAACCCTGACCTCCAAAATTTGGGACTCGGGACCTGGGGTTCGGCACTCAGCACTCGGAGCTCGTGACCTGGGACTCGACACTGTTCGCAATACCAAGTCCCTGACACCCGATTCCATAACCACGAAACATGAACCATGAAACGCAAAATACTGACACATGCTATCTCCAATGCTCTGGATACCCTGACACCCAACACAGTTGCCGAGCTCCAGGTCTCGGAACCCCAACCTCCGAAATTTGGGACTTGGGACCTGGGCTTCCGGGACTCGGTATTCAGAACAGTGTCGAGTCCCAAGTCCACAATGTCGGAGCTCAGGGTTTTGTCAAATGTGTATGGCAATAACAAATGTTAATTCGAGCATATTTATACATCTTCCCCCAGTCTCAAATATCACGTGCTGAGGTCCGGGTGTCGGGACTCAGTATCCTGGCACTCAGGACTCCCACATGTCAAGTCCCGAGTTCCAATTATCAAATACCGAGGCTTGTATCCAAATTATTCAGTCCCATATATCACTTTGCAAATGCTCAAAATTGAGTATTGAGGTCCGGATAACTATTGGTACATGGTATTCATTTGTTGGAATGTATATAGGTCACAATGCTTGCTCTTTGTTTGATCTTTCACACACTGTATGGACCATCCACACTAGCCCATCCACATGATGGAACACCAGCGTAAATGTGAACAGCATCCCTCATATACCATGCCCAAGCAATCCAATCCCCTTCCACATCATAAACTCCATGTCTCACAATCCTTCCGGAAAATGCAATCATACAGCCAGAATTGTACTTGAACTCCAGCTGAAGGCTTGGCATTGTAATCCAAGCATTAGAATAGTTCCCCACGGTGGTGAGAATGTTGAAGCATTCAGCAATGGACATGTGGTCTCGATGATGGGGGGTTTCCTGATTGGAAATGATGGAGAGGGTGTTAAACACGGATGCCCAGTACTGCAGGGCCTCTGGCATCTGTGGCAGATCCTTGCTTACTGCTATATTTCCAAGGTTTGACAAGGTTCTCAATCCTGCCCAGTACTGCTCAGGATGCATGAATCTGAGTGCTGCAGACGCGATGGCTGCTGGCCTTGCAATGGCTTTGAAGATATTCTCGCAGGAAGGTCCCTTCAATGATGCAGATACCTCCAGATCTGACACATTCTTTGGGATTGGTGAGTATGACTGCCGGAATCACCATCTCATCAAATCCTACCTCATGTCCCTGTTGAAACCATGCTGGAGATAGATTGATGCATCTGGGAGTTGGTCCAACATCTTCCGAGCCCCGGTTGAACAATGTTTGATAAGTTCACCAATTGCCATCAGCCCTTACACTTTTTTTGAGGCTTGGAGCGAGCAAATCGGTGGCCTCCCTGATTTCCTTCTGTAGGTTCATTAATATTCAATATCCATTGAGTAACAATGTATATTACACACCTGGGTGGTGTCGGTCAGGGCGTCTGGGAGGTACCATGCAATGATGGCACCGGATGCATCAACAATTGTGGCAGGTTTGTCGACCAACATTTTGCCTTCATAGCCAGGAGGACACCTCTCAAGCAACCTCGCCTCTCTATGTTCATTATGCCTGGTGTCCTTTGGGGAGATCAATTTTCTATATCTTGCAATATCCATCTGCATCTGAACTTTCATGCAGGAATTTGAATGATAAAGCAAATTTTCCGAATCTGCATGAAGACCCACTGGGATTTTATATGCCTTTATGAGTACATCAGCCAAGCGATCACACGCCATCACCAAATCAGTGTCTAGGTTGGGGGAAGGTATGACTGGGCCTCCTCCAGTCTTCTCGGCCTTGAATTCCTATTTGGCATATTCCCCTGCTTCATAAGTCACAGTCAGGGCCTAAGTACACCAGATGTTTATGCTATCAGAAGGGGAAGGGGAAGAACCGTTCATGCTGGATGTTAATCTTGGGAAATCAGACGCTGAATGCTGGATGTCCGGACTTTGGTGTTATAGGGGGTGGAGATAGAGAGGATTAGATAAGGGAGCCTGGGATAATTTTGGCTGTCAAAGATGTATTATTATCTATTGCTCAATGAAATACTACCTGATTGGAAGTGTGCTGGTCATCAGATATTCATTTGTCGACTCCCGGGTCCCGGAACTCGGAAGTCGGTACAGTTGACCCATATTTGGGTGGTCGGAATTTGGTGTCTTGTAGGGCAACACAAGCTTTGCACAGCCATGTCAGGAGATCAGCTGCTGCTCTGGGAACTCAGTAACTTTGATTTATTACCTCCTCTGAGTATGGTTGACTCACATTTTGGTGGTTGGAACTTGGCTTCTCATAGGGCAACACAAGCTTCGCACCCCAGATTCCACATTCTGCAAGACAACCTGTGCACCATCAAAAAGTATTAACTAAATTATGTGTTGAGTTCTGTGTCCCGGAACTCAGAACTCGGTACAGTTGACTCAAATTCTGGTGGTCGGAACTTGGCGTCTCATAGGGCAACACAAGCTTCGCACCACCATGTCAGGAGATCACCTGATGCTCTGGGAACTTGGTAACTTTGATTTATTACCTCCTCTGATTTGGTTGATGTACAACTACCTCAGCTCCATCATGTCTACAATTATGATACACATGGGCCCACTCATCTATATTTCATACCACCCTCGGCCCACTGGTCTAATACAACATCCCATACAACACCCTTGGCCCACCGGTCTAATTAATATGCGTCTGGGCCCACCAGTATAATACAATATTTTATAATACCCTCGGCCCACCTGTCTAATTTAATATGTGTCTGGGCCCACCCGTGAATGTGATAACAAGTACCTACCCATCTATCTCATACACATCTACCTTAATACACCCATCTGCATAATATCCAACTACCTCGGCCCACCTGTCTACCTAATATTCATGTACATTGGCCCACTCATCTACTCTATATATTCCCTGCATGGGTCCATCGGGAATAATTTGCCTCCCGGCCCATCTGTCATAGTCGAGGATATTTTTATCCTGGGCCCATGGTCCGCTGGCCCATATCATATGGGATATTATGCATGTCCGTTCCCTCGTATTATATGGAGATAGGTCACTGTAATATGTGATTCATTTGCTTAATCATGGAAGTCCCCTCGTGAATCAAATTGGTGGAATCCTGAAACATACTGTTCGCCCTTTTGAAAATCCACAACCGAATGAGGTACAAAACAGCCTTGGTGGGCATACGCACACCCACCTATCCTGTTAGCTTCTAGTTTGTGTTGTGGCACATTGGCCTGGTTTACAGCTCAGTGATTGTTGCACTCGGATGGTTGAACAATGTCTTTGGCAATGGCTAGATGAGCCTTATATCGGTCTTTGGAAACCATGAAGCACTGGCCATCAGTCAACCAGACTTTGTCTTCCGGGTGAGTGGGATGAAGGTGCTCTACTTTGAAGTTGCTGTCCATGACCAGTGATCGGGCTTATACCCAACTGGGATCATCGGGGTGCCTATTGGCCAGTAGTGGGGCATTGATGCCAGGCTGAGGGCAAGCCGGGAAAGAGAGCGAGTTCACCAGATGTCGGCCTTCTTCTCTCATAACCAAACCCATTCCATTTGAGCAGCTTCAGCTGTCGCCATTGCCGTGCTACCCTCATCAGTTCTCTGTAATGGTCCTGTGGGGAATTGAGCTTTGATGATGTTGAATTTCTATATGCAACACCTACAGGGACTAGTTGCAGAAATATACTTGACATCATTCTTCTCAACTTGTTGTAGTAATTCATTGCTGAAGTTCTGCATTCCAAGTTGTCCAAGGCGAAGCCATCCAGCACCAAAAAGGTAAATGCAGTCTTTGGCCGGGTGAAGGATGCTGGAAACATGCCTAACTCAAATAATTGCTTGTCGGTGGTGCAAACATTCAGACATTGACAAAACCGTATCATGAGCGAATGTACTCCAGGCTTGTCAACAATGGTTATACATTGCTTGCCGTTCAAGAATGGAAGTTTGAGTATGGTAGGGAGGTCCTCTTCCAGTTGATGTATTGGCTTGTCAGTGTCCTCCCATTCATGGATTTCCCCAAGTACTGGACAAGGCTTTCCCTGATGCCCCAAATAAATTTCCATGCCCATCTTAGTCAGAGACGTTTCCTCAAAAAATCCTCCATTCCAATTCCCTATCTTATGGAAGGGCAGTCTCCAGTGCTCATCTCTGCAGCACTTCAAACAAAATAATGGCTTGCCGAGACAGTCATGGCACCTATACACAGTTGACTCAGCACTGCACAGGCAGCATGATTTAGCTGCTGGTGGAGCCTCTCGTTTGTGGAGGATCTGGAGGTAATCATAAGTCCGAAATTTCCATTCCCAGAGATAATCATTTGGGCTCTAGGACATCGGTCAGCGCAAAATATATGGCATGAACATCGTAGTGCACCTTTGTCTTCTTTCTCCCTAACGGTAAGTTGAGTGCACGAATTGGTTCCTTATTACCAAAGTCCTCATAGTCAGCATTGAAATCGGTTGATGATTGATCCCATGCCCTATTGGAATTATGTTTTCTGGGAGACTTTGCTGGAGATGATTGCATGGATGGGCTTTGCTGACTGGGTTTGACTGGACACCACTTCCCTTTCAAGCTGCGAGTGGTCTCTGTTGTTTTCCATGTCACCCATTGCGCTGTTCCCTGCGGAGCCAATGTCCTTGCCCTAGACTTGCCCATGTGGTTACTGGAGACTTGTGTGAATTTTAGGACAAGCAAAATTTCCATGCTAACGGCTCAACCGCACCTTGTCAGCCAAATTATATTCTGCATTGGGAGAGTTTTGAGCAATCTCAGGTCAGAAGCTTTGACAGCTGACTTATGTTTGAACCTTATATAAGGCTCCACTCCGATCAGGCCCTTAAACCTTGGGATCTGGGAAAGTATGGGCGGAATCCATGAGTCCAATGGGGTATATCCACGCCACCAGGCGAGGGGCCCTTCAAATGTGTGTTTTGCTACCTCCGGAGAGTTGCTACATGTAGATCTGTGGGAGTCAGAGGAATTGACATAGCTACTATCAGAAGTGGCACTGGTGACCAAGTCATTGCCATCCAAATATACCACTGTAGCAAAGTGAACTTGCTTTCCAAACATGACTGTTTTGTGTAAAATAAGGAGGTCGGGGAAGGATTACGATGGGCCAAGATGTACTTCCATATGTGGATCACCCGACTGTGCCACTGTGGTTGTGGCAGTGGAATGCATGGGAGCCCCTTCAGTGACAAATTCTGTATTATACGTGCCACCTGACCTACATAATATCCCGTATGAGATGGGCCAGCAGATTATGGGCCCATGTTGTGTATATTCTCAATGATGACAGATGGGCTGGGACACATATTATTTCTGATGGAGATGGGCCCATGTATGCCAATAATATATATATCCTTGATGTTGAGGGATGGGCTGGGGGAATGTGATCATTGATGGAGATGGGTGGGCCCATCTGGGTGATATGTAGAGTAGGATATTATAAACAGCTGGGCTGAAGAGAGATGTAAGGCAAATATTGTTATATAGACGGGTGGGCCGACAGGAGTGTACTACATATATGGGTGGGCCAAGGTAAGGGAATATTACATAGATGGGTGGGCTGACATGGGGTGTCTTACATATACAGGTGGGCCGACATGGAAAGTATTACATATACGAGTGGGCCAACAAAAGGGATATCAAATAGACGGGTGGGCCAAGGTGGGGTATAATTATATAGATGGGTGGGCCAATGTCGGATGTATTATATAGATGGGTGGGCCAACATAGGATGTATTACATAGATGGGACTCACATTGTCATAGTTGTAGGTAATACATGAATTTTGTACTACGAAATGATCTGTACGCCGCTACGATACAATCATATATTCTTGCGAGTCAATTGATCGCCGTGGTGCACCACCGCAAAGGACTCGCTTCTCTTCCAACCACTCAAGCCTCGTCACCTCATCCAACAAGTAGAAAATGATCGCCTGGTTCTCATGTTCAGCTAGAAAGTTGGCAATGCCCAAGCGCTCTTTGCTCATGAGGTCTGTATATTTATTGAGGAGGGAAATGGTGCTTCCAACATGCATGGAAGGCTGAGGCTGTGGCTGCACTGGCGGCAGTGCCAGCGCTAATACAAGAGTCTTCTGCATCTCACGTACTACTTCTACGAGGCTTTTCATCGTTTCGGTGCCCTCCTGCTGTGCCAATAGCGTGGCAGATGGTGGCCAGCCTCGTTTCTGAGAGCCTGCAGCTGACGCAGGCGAAAGTGCACTGTGTTTTCACTTTCCCCAGCTTATACCTGTCCATGCTGAGCCACCGGCAGAGGTAGACCCTTCCGTGGAAGGAGCGAGAAAGGTAGATGGAGGGTCCACTGAGGATGGTGGCAGCCCTGGAAGTGTGTTGTCTGTGGCTGGGGGGATGGAGGATGGTGTGGTGGCATTGGTGGCAGTGGTAGGTCGGAAGACATGAGAGCCTTTCGACTTGCTTGGCATCAACTGCTGCATGATATCGAAGTGGTCGAAGCCCTTCATCATGAAGGGCCTCGCATGAGGATGCAACTGAAAACAATGTCAGTAGAGGGGTATGCATGCAGTCTATTTGTGATGATGTACCTTTATAAAGCGTGCCCATACGTCGTCCTTTTTGTCTGTGATGCCCGCTCCATGATCATCACTCCAAGTAAAACCAGAAGTACACTTAATTTCAACAACACTTTGGTATGCTTTCTTTAACTATAAAAATATATGTCATTGATTTGCTGGCGGCTGAAAGTTCACTGGAAACATACCAATGTCCACTTATTTTTGCAAACTGTGCCAACCTTTTCTGTGCCCCTTTGATGTGGGTGTTTTATCTTGAGGTGCACATATGCTTGATTGAAGGTGGGCACCTTGAAGCCCCCATCGCCTGATGCAGGAAGGGCCTGCAGAAGGAACTCAAGAAAGGTGGTTTCTTCTGCCTTCGTCCACACCGCAGGAGCCTTCCTGGTCGTTCTGCAAGATGCAGCAGCCGATGTCACATCTATAGTACCCTGGGAATGTAAGGAATGCGAAGAGCCGCCACTTGATTTATCAGACATTGTGGTGATACTAGAGTATCTTTTGTTTTGTTAGATAATAGATGCTTATTAACGCAGTCAGGTCATCACATGCGGTTTGAGCCAGAAATTTTGAACCTGGAGTTGTTGTCCAAACTGGACCTTAGTTGATCGAATTGCCAGAGATCTTGTGTCTTCAGGTATTGGGAATTGCCGTGAACACACAGCCGAAGAAATGATATATGCCAGATGTGTGGTGAAGGTTTCATATGCTGAGCGAAGAGACAGGGTCACACGAGCATGTAGAGATCTGGTCAGGTTATACAGAGTGCTTGATTATCATCGTGGAATGCTTGGCTCACTAGATGATTTAATATACAAATGTGCAGAGATTGGAGGAGGAACAGGATCACAATGATGAGGATTGACACGCATACTTTTGAATACATCATTACATTTACTAGGTATTCAGATACATTTCTACAAATTGGTACAATATTGGCGATCTGAATTGTATTCATCATCCGGTGAACAACATTAATCATAAAGCTAGGGGAAAAATGTTACAGAATATATTGATGAGCATCCTAGCTTGAATGTTTCATGTCATGCACGATGTCATGGTAGCAGATTTTTCCAAATGCTGGATGAGCAATGTCTGTTTGGTTTGTTGCATTTCAGCCGAAAGCACCATCCTTGATTTTGAGATTAATGAAAAACTTAGCACATAATATATTATAGTTTAAAGTGCCAGCAACAAGATGTAATAATTTGATCCGACTGAAGACAGTAATATAGAACCGAGCTCCGGCCCAGGTATGTATGTTGGTTCGGTTGCAATCTGGCCGAACGATATGTCAAGTAAACAATCATTGAACATCACACATAATATAAGATGATTCTATATATCGGTTGAGAGATGATGTCTGCGTGCTCGGTTTCAATATGGCCGAATGCACTATGCTTTAAGTGGAGAATTATTTGAAATGTCGCACAAAATAGCATAGTTTTCTAGATTCTGGTGATGCCACCATGCTTCAATTTTAGGATCATTATTTAACAGTGAGCATTGTAAGTGATAACATAATAAATCATTCCAAAGTCCGGCCGAGAGATGTATGCTGAGTTTAAATCTCCACCGGTCCTCATCACGACATAATCCATCTTGATAGCTACTACGTTGATCTCGACTAATGTCACGCACTTCCGACAACTCATCCTGGAATGATTCGCCCTCAACTGGCCATTGCTCAATGAAAGGCAAACGACCTGGAGGTCACTATAATGATCCACTACCACACTTCACACTCTGGGATGCTGCCAATGTATTCAAGTTTGCAACATCTAGATTCATGGCCATCCGCCATGCTGTTGGCAAGAGCTATGTACAGCGCACACCCAATGTACATATATCAATTGCTGGGAAAGCACATTATGTGGGAAGCACAAGTGAGTTTCGTTCTTGACTCGTATGCCTCCAATAAATTGACCCGATGTTGAGACATTTGTCTTGCCATTCATTAACATCTGCATGGGAGCCAACATGCAGCCCACTCTACTGTTCTTTCTGGTGCAGATAGCGGGCCTCATTGGCAGGTGGCAGTTGGGGTTGTTTTGCTATGAAGAACTCGCTCATTCATTTCTCGCTTGCCCCACAGAGAAGCATCTCTGTTTGTGGGAAGGTCATTGGCTTGTCAAATATCACCCTTATTCCTGGTGGAATGACCACTGGGACATGCATTTCCAGACTGCAGAAGTGCAGTTAAACTTTACAGAAGTGATGGACATTGTGAGCGAACATTTTCAGCAACGGGTGAGATTTCAGTTATTTTGCAATGCGTCGGCTAACATATGACAGCCAGAGGGTGCATTACTGGCTGCTTTACCCACCACCATGAATCCTCAGGGAGGTCCATTGAGTAGGCAACTTCTCGCAGTCAGGGCAGCAGCAGCACATGCTACTGATGAAGTTCGCCGAATGATTGAAGATAATCAGATTGAGGCTGTCATCGGTGTCAAGTCTCTCGGCCACCCGGAGGAGATCAATATCGGCCATGCTATGGAAGCTTTTCGCCATGTGGTACATTGTGCAAGACAGATGGTGACAACTCCGTAGTTATAATTTACACCTCAGTCACCTGCACATAACAACTTGACGCTCCATAAATTGTGTTATATCATATGCTTTTCATGTTGATAATATTTAGCTTATGATTCATGATATCATGGAATATGTATATAATGACATCAGCAGTCAGCCAATGAAAAGTCCTTCGGCTTTGATTACGTAATGTTCCAAAATCAGGTCATAATATCATGTGAACATTTTTCGGCTATCATCATCTCGGCAAGGCATCTGAGCACCGTCGGTGCTGGAACATGTGCCCGACTGAAGTTTTTAACCATCATCCTCGTGCTTTGCAAGCCAGAGGTCTCAGCAGATATCACCCACAGTCTGTTACACAATTTTACTCGTTGAAAAACATTGCATGCATACCATTGAAGTGCCCAAGGATTGGGCATTGCAAAAGGTCCATTTAGCTAGCCAATACGTCGAGGATCAATTTTGGGCCCATGTTTCTCGATCTGAATACATTATTCCACCCATGGAGCTTGATGTCGAAATCATGTTGAGTTGTGCACAATTAGCATCAACTCTGGCTGATGCATATACCAATCCTAGTAGGTTCTCTTTATATTCGGTATTTACATCCTGACTAAACAACAACAGTTAAGCTAAACATTGACATGAAACGATACAGCGATGCTTGTGGACAACGGCCGACAGGCCGAAGCAATACACAGGAAGCGCGGCTGCTGCAGAATTTTCTGCCCAGTCATGAAATGGTTCTTGAAAAGCCTTGTGTTCTGTTGGATGCAGGTCATCACATCATCTTGTGGTATGTGCACAGAGCACTGTCAGACTGGGTGAAGGTGAGTGTGTTCTTTCATGTTGGTCATTCATTGAACAGTTGTGCTGCAGGAGGATATCAGTGCGGCAATGCATTGTGCCAATGATCTCCTCAAGAAAAGTCTGTCCCCAGTGAATGCCAATTGTATTTGGAGAACAGACAGGTCCTATTTCTATCTGACCGAAACACCTGGTATGTCCCCAGGCTGCATCAACGTATCTCCATGCTGGTTTCAACAAGGTCACGAGGTCAGTCATGTCTCATCATCATCAACGTTCAAGGGCCTGACCAGAACAAGCCTCATGGTCATGCTCAAGATAATCCTGATGTGAGCTGCTGTCCAGAGATATCAGCTAGTCTCAAAGGCCCTCAAGGTGTAACCATCATAAAATCTATGCGACGACCATCTCTCCTCGCCTTGGCTGCATTGAGGGTCATGCACCCAGCCTGTATTGGTCCTCATTGTGCACCACCCTTGAGGTTGGACACTGGGCATATTCCAGTGGTCAAACCAAGATGTATGAGCGCATTAGACACTGGGCATCGGTCTTCACAGGTGTCGCTGTGATGGCCAACCACCAGTCACCCGCACACCGTGATCCAAAATGCTGTCCTGAATGGTTTGACTTAATGACATTGGTCGGCAACTATAGAAGTGCCTGCATGACGCTACATAACCTAGGTATTGAGTTGATGTACGACTCAGGAATGATGGTAGTGTTCTGCGGTTGGCTTATCCGCCATGCAGTGGACATGTGGACTGGCGACCGATGGGTGTGGGCATGGTTCATGAGAGACAGTGTTCATAACCATTTCAAGACGCCCCATGGGGAGCACGCATGGTATTCTGAGGAAGATTATGCAAAGTACAGCAAGGTGGAAGACATTTTAAACAGTATGTAGACTTTATCATCCTCACTGTTCTGTTTCACCTACTTCATATGATTTGTATTCCATCACTATACTGGAAATGTGAGTGACCGGTGTTGTATATGTTAACAATTGGCCGGTATTCCTTGTATGGCCAGGACATCGGCTTTAGAGGTTTCCTTCTGGGACTCCACAGTGAAACATTGGAAAGTTCTCTAACCCATGGGCCGACACATCATTTATATCAGCTGAAAAGTATTCAGGGTTCATGGGCCAGAATGTTATTTGATATCTGTCTAGATGTGATTCATGTGGTCATGGGCCGAGACGTGAGACACAGACTCATGGGCCGAAAGTTATTTATGTGGGCTGAGACCTAAGTTACAGAGTCATGGGCTGAAACATCATTCATGTGGGCCAAGACCTAAGTTACAGAGTCATGGGCCGAAATGTTATTCATGTGGGCTGAGACCTAAGTTACAGAGTCATGGGCCGAAATGTTATTCATGTGGGCCGAGACCTAAGTTACAGAGTCATGGGCCGAAACATTATTTATGTGGGCCGAGACGTGAGTCACAGACTCATAGGCTGAAACGTTATCCATGGTGCCAATGTGCTATACACCTACCAGTTGACTATGGGCCCAATTGAGACTCTCGTGTATTGTTAACCATGGGCCCAGCCATATCTTACGGCTACAATTGCCCATGGGCCCATATGGGATGGCTCATATAGTACGGGGAATTGTCCTATTGGGCTGGCTATGAGATACGGACTATTTCACTGAATGGGCTCCCTCGATCTCCCTTTATGCACACACGAGGGATTTGTTAGTGTCCTTGAGGAGCTGGATGCTACAGTAACGAAGGGTCAGAGAGAGCGCCTTGCAAAAGAACATGGAATAAAGGGTGAGCCATCACTTTGTCGTGTCAATTCAATCAATTATGCCAATTGCACACCTTGGGAATGGATGCACCTGTTTCTCAAAAATATTATCCCACAGCTCGTTGACCTCTGGATAGGGTGTTACAAGATGTTGGATGTTGGCAGTGAGGATAATGAACTTGCGCCACATGTCTGGGAAGACATTGGTGCTGAAACAGCAGCAGCAGTGAAGCAGATACCTGCTGCTTTTGTGTGAGTCCTAGGCAATATTGCTGTTGATAAATCGACCTTTACAGCTGAAGGTTGGAGTTTTTGGTTCATGCACATTGCACCCATCGTGCTCCGAAATCGCTTTCCATGGGTAAAATACTACACCCACATGTGCAAACTTATCTCATTGATGAAGACATCTGTCAAGCTCAAAATCACTGCACAGGAGATCAATGATCTTGAACAATGGTTTGCAGAGTGGGTCAGAGAGTTCGAGCGGTAACTAAATCAATTTCTGCACGAAATGTGCTCACTTGACACCAACAGCTATTACTATCAATTCAAGGAAGATAGGTTAGCAGTCTGCACACTCCTGATTCATGGATGCCTGCATGTCGCAAAAGACCTGCACATGTGTGGACCTGCTTGGGTCCACTGGACATTCTATGTTGAACAGTATTGTCTGCACCTCAGGACTGGTCTCCGTTCGAGACGGCACCCATGGAGTGGCCTTTCCCGCGTCGTTTTGTACACCGCATACCTTAGCCAACTCAGTGTTAAGTTTGACCTCCAAGATGAGCTCAAAGACCTCAATCCCTGCCACGGACGATGAGAACTGGAGAATGAACATTCATTCAAAAACTGTGAGTAATGGAAGTTGTGAGCATAATACAATGCTAGATAGCAGAGTTGTGGACCAGATCCTGAAATTGTTTTGCGAACACCATGTCATTCCAGCTATACACCTAATGAGGATACGCGCAAATGAATCAGAGTGTATCTCTTCCAGGTTCTTGGAGGGCGGTGCAACAATTTTGCACTGCACTTGCCTGCTGTAATGCCTCTGGGGGAAAATGAGGATAATTGGCGGTGGTGATTCAATCAGGACCAGATATGCTCTGAGGGGTATGAGCAATGCAAAGTATCATGACAACTCATTTGTGCGAGTGAGTATTTTCACCTTGTGTAGCCACAGCTGACGTGTTGTTTTTGCTGTAGTTTGAAGTCTCACATTCTGACGTGGGAGAATCACAATCTGTCGATGTGATCGGTTATGGCCAGCTGGACAAGATTTTAATTTGTGAAATTGGCGAACACAAAATTTACAGGTTCCTATGCAATACAACGCTCATCCTCACACTTATAACACCATGCAACACTGATGGAACAGATGCATCAATATCCCTAGTTGGATACAAAGAGTTTGTCACACCAGTATTTACAGATGTGCGAAACATCAAGGCAGTTGTTGGCCGGGTATAGACACGAGGCGAAACCTTTATCATTGACTGGTGGTTAGCACCTGGTGGCAACAAAGAGATTGGAGACAGTTCAGATACATCAGATAGTGATTAGTTTCATGTATACATATGTTTCATGATAATCAGGCACCTGTGTTCATTGCATACTTGAAGTACACTGGGGGACCGCTGGAGTCTTCAATATAGATGGTGAAATGAGCATGATAGGGACAAGGTCCTTGTCTGATACTGGGCATGTGTATGATGTGGATCAAGCTTTGTGTGGACAGGACCACAAGGAAGATGAGGTCGATGGGTAAGGGTTAGAAGTTTCATGATGAAATTGGCGTTGGTGGGTGGGGATGACGAAAGCATGAGGAGATCGAGAGCGGCGGCAGTGTGAGTAAAGGCTTGGTGCAACAGATAGAGAATCAAAACTAGCACCAGCTCCAACAAAGAGAGTTACCAGGCAAAGTGGGTAGAGCTCAGGCAGAAAAGGACATGACTGAAATGTTGCTGTACAGCATACAAAGTTTGTGCAACACTGTGTGATATAAGATGTTACACGTTGTGATTGATACTGTGAGTGATGTGAGACATTGTGATGCGCAGTGCACAATGCATTGATGCTCACCTGGGCAAGACCCTCAGCCAAACAAGGTTGAGGAAACAGAGCTAGTCTTGCAAGCCACATACATACATACTACCCCTGCAGCCCCTGCATTGACAACAGACTAGCCGGGTGTAAAGACCCACACAAGTGCACCACAACAGCACTATGAATCCTAGACAACCCTCTCCCAAAATTCAACCCAAATACAATGCCAAAGAAAGATCAGCTGACACTAACTCATAGATGACTGGAGAAAAACTCACAAGCAATAATACAAAGACAAGGGGAAATCACATTTGATCCCTCCATCACCATCAAAAATGACCTCGCAGACTGCTTCCACATCTTTGTCAACCCAGAACACCTGATACAAATACCCGCCTACAGACTCCGAGCCCTGAATACAGGCAGACCAACAATAGATGATACTATAACACTATAAACAGATGGGTCCTGCCGCAACAATGGCAGAGAAAACGCGAGATGCAGAGGAGGAATCTGGATGGCAGATGACCACCCCCTTAACTGCGCCATAAAAGTGCCAGGACAAGCCCAATCCAATCAAATGGGAGAAATAGCAGCAGTACTGGTCGCACTACAAACAGTCAGCCCACTGACACCTATAAAAATATTGACTGACTCACAATACATTATAGATGGTCTAACCTCTCATCTACAGGACTGGGAAGACAGAGGATGGATAGACGTTGAGAATAGCGACTTTTTTAAAGCAACCACATATCACTTATGACAAAGATCTGACCCCACCGCCTTCAAATGGGTAAAGGGACATGATGGGACAATCGGAAACGAGAAAGCCGACCTAGGTGCAAGGAAAGATGACCCCGACAACATCAATACATATGTACCGAAGAACTTCAACCTACAAGTTGCAAAGTTAACAGCAATAATGCAAAAACTTGCATACAAGGGAATAACACGAAATACTAACGTAAGAACCAAGAGAACAACAATGTCCCTCCTGGAGAATGCTCGAAATACCATGGAAATTGGGTTGTCAAACCGAGAAACCGATAACACTATCTGGAAAGGATGCAGGAATAAAGACCTGTCAAAAAAATCCAAACGTTCCTGTATAAAGTACTTAACAACACCTTCAAAATCGGCAACTTCTGGTCAAAGATTCCCACCTACGAATACCGCACGATATGCCAAATGTGCGGGGAGGGAACTGACTCGATGGAACACATCCTAACACAGTGTAACAACTCCTCTAGAAGAAAAATCTGGGAGTTAGCAAAGAACTTATGGCCAGTCAAACACGGACCTTGGCCAGACATCTCTTTAGGCCTTATACTAGGCTGCGGCTCTATCACACCCCTACCCGCACAGGGTAGGGACAACCCAAAAAACATAGCAGGGAACACACCAGGACATGGAGCAATGAGACTACACCGCATCCTCCTGTCTGAATCAGCCTACCTCATATGGGTACTGTGGTGTGAACACACCATAAGAGACGCAACCCACAACATCGGCATGATAGCGCAAAGATGGTCAAACACCATAGATAAATGTCTACAAATGGATAGAGTAATAGCGAGTAAAAATAGACAGAACACGAAAACAGTAACTAAAGTCCAGAACACATGGGCTGACGTAATTGACCAAGATCAAAATGCACCCCCCCCAAAATGACTGGGTGACCACCCTAGAGGTTTTAGTGGGTATTAAACTACGCAGGCCCCCACAGAATGAGGAAACCAGGTAGTATACAGAGTCCCACACTACTCTACAACCGTAGAGTGTGCATAAGTAGCATTTTCCCTCGGACAACACCTAGGCGTTGCTATAAGTGTTTATGTAGGGCCAGACAGTGTTAGTTGCTATATAATAGACTCGCTTTTCCAAAAAAAAACATACATACTATGAAGAAGCAGTGGCGCTTGGCACGAGAACACCAAATAAATTACCATGTTAGGAAGGCGGTTAGAACACACAGAGCTGAATCTGATTCAGTAAAATTTCCACTGAAAGGGTGGTGCTGAAGCGAGGATGATCAGCTGAAATTCAGAATCAGCGCTCCAATGAAATTAACTCATGCAGTTTCAGTGAAACTTACTCTGAAACATTCAGCACCAGTGGATTTTCCAGTGAATTTCACCAAAACTACTATCCACAGTGGTGGAAGATATTCGAGCCAAGCTCAAACAGAAGAACACGTCGCTTGTGATGACGCTAGATATCATGCGGCTCATTAGCTTAGTGTAAATAAAATTCAACCCCAATGAATCTGGGTTCAGAACCAATTGGAGACCTTTTCAGGTTTTGATCATGAATCTTGGTGTAGACCAAATTGTATTCCATACTAAGAATTTATCCCTTAATTTGAATGGAATCTGTCACAGACTCTTATTCCGCCATATTTCAGGTGTATGTACCTTCACTCATCTAATTGAACTGAGCTAATCTATTCAGACCCCCAGCCTGGAGCCGACACACACAGTGCTGTCCCAAACTCCTCGCTCATTGTCGCATGCACAGCGACCAAATTCAATACCTCTTGGCACACCCTTAACTCACGGCTGGTTTCGTACACCGAGGTCCAGACGGTTCTCCAGGGGCATGGAATCGACCTCACGCACAAGTGTTTCCTTATCCTGCAGGGTGAAGTCAAGTCTATCGCGCAGATGAAGCCTGAAGGCACTTCTGAGCACCAACGACGGACTACTCAAGTGCCTAGAGAATATCATCAGTACTGCTGTGCTCAAAGCACCGATGTCTGCTTTTGTCGAAGTGGTTCGGCTGGGAGAGAAGAGAGCCGAGAATGCAGCCAGGTTGTGATGTGCCAGTCCCAACAACCCAATCAGGGCTGCAATGCTACCATCTATCTCAACTTTACCTCCCTCGGGTGCCTGAACTGTTGTCCTAATGACAAGGAGGCATGGCATGTGAGAGCCAAATCCAACTCCAAGTGCATCATGGGCATCAAGGTCAGCTGCCAATGCAATCCTTGCCATGAGAATGGTCTTGCTGATATACTTCGAAGCAATAGCTAACCTAACCAAATAATGATCCCCCAAGGTTTTTTTCATTGCAGATCATTCACATGTATGTTGTCACTATCATTTCGATTTTGCGTTCTTAACCTCCACGTTCTTAGTCTTCTGCACGACGTTGTCCTCACTCCTTGGCACCGTCAGGCAGCATGTTTCTCAGTCGCTTATTCAGTCGCAGCTACTCCAATACTCATGATATCCGGCTGCAAAATCTCTCCCGCTTTGGGCTTGCCGCCATGAATGCTGAGAAGAAACAATTCTGCATGCCAGATAGTCGTGATGTAATCGCAGTAGAAGATGAAGGAGTCACCTTTACCTGTGGAGGTGAGTTCGGGGGGGATGTATTTGAATGTGAGGGAGACGAGGTAGTATCCGGGACCTAGAGACAAGTCATCTTTGCGAAGTTGACTGAAGACCCATGAAGCATAGTCTTTAAATTTGTGATTTCACGTCAGGTGTAGAGCGTGAATCTTTGGCACGACGAGTACTTTGGGTTGCGTTGAGCTGGACGTGCGAGGGGCCACGAGGGACTGAAGGCATCATACAGAAAAATGATTGCTGGATAGATGCTACTTAATCTAGCACATCTTCATACAGGATGGCAAACAATACATAGCTGAGGATATGACATCGGATGTGTTTCGTACCCACGTCCATAGAATGCTGAATGCAAGTGAATAATACTAAATTATATGAAATGAACATCACAACGCTAGAAGCAGAAACATGACCGGTTGTCCCCATGCTCTCCTGTGGCAGGCTGTATTGTAGTAGCTGGTCATTGCGAATCAGGGTTCGGTGAGAGAGGATCAAGATATTCATTGGGTACTACATCATCGTCTTCACCCGCAACAGTGTTGCGCTGTAAATTCATACATTAGATGTTGGATAAAACGAGAAAATGAACGGAACATGCCTCTTTAGCCTATGCAAGAGGAACATCAATGATGTGGGGCTCCGCGTGACCTCCATGAACAGGCCACCAGGATGATAGGTGGGTTATGCGTGCTGCGAATGTGGCGGGTGGGGTGGCGGACGATCGAGTGGTTGGCGGTAATCGAGACTGAAAGACATTAGTTGAAAGTGTGATAACAGTTTAATGAAAACTCACATTCTCGCCAGAATTCATGTGAGTGTCCCAGGGTTGAGGTGTGCCCAGAGAGAGGATGGGGCAGGGGCAAGGTAGCAGAGAACTGCAACTGTCGCATCAAATGTGAAATAAACAAGATAAAGAGACATACATACATACATCTAAGGGATCACGAGATTGATCATGGTGCACTGGGTTCGTGTGAGGAGAGAAGCGAAGAAGTTAGCTGAGGTGAAACAAAAGTGGGTTGTCACAGATCTATTGTAGGCAGTTGGCAAGCCGTCCGAGGTCAAGACACCCGGAGTAAGGTTTGACACGCAATTTCACAAAAGCAACAAGCAAGAGTTGATGCAGAAGATTTTGAGAAACTCAAGCAGCAGGGAATGATGTCATGAAAGTTGTCAGTCACTAGACGCAAAGGAAGATCTTAGCCACAACCTGCCGTACGGTATGATTACAAATCTGAAGAGACCTGAAGCTTTTAAGACATGACACTACTTTGTTTTCTTCACAAACAATCTACCTGCGAAGATGTCAGAGAGCAATGATCATTGTACCATTTGCTGCATAGATGTCAGCAAATTGGAAACTCATCATGTGCAATTAGGCTCGTGACCAGCCTGGCTTACCAATACCACGGACAAGTCGAGTGGCATAGCCAGGCTGGTTGATCTCAGAGAAATTTGGCAGGCAGAGCGAGGAGTTTGAAATTTAGTAGATGCCGGTCGTGCCGGCGATACTTGATCATATGTAGTACAACTTATGTGTCTACCGTTGTTCAGACTATATGCTATGTTAAGTTTCAACCATGAATTCCATACAACCTTTATCACTCGCTGCTCGAGATGCGATTGAAGATCTCCTGATGGACTTTATGAGTGCCCTTTCAATGACACAACACCAGCAAGTTCTTGAGGCCTTCTCACGACTCGATCTTATTTCCCAAGGATCACAATGTCCGAAGTTGTTTCAACTCAGATGCCTCATATCGTTACTTTCTGCAAGACATGTTGTACTTCGAGCTGCGACAGGTTCTGGAAAAACCCTTGCTATGATTCTCCCTTTGCTGCTTTCTCCCAACAAGATAGCCATCACAGTCACCCCTCTGAAATTGCTGCAGCGAGACCACGTACGTGGAAGATACAGTTTTATAATTATTATCACTCTATTAAGACATTCAATCTGTCTTTGTGAATCACAGGTTCACGAGTTCGAGCAGTATGGTATTCTTTCCATCACCATTAATCACGATACACCACATGACCAGACTCTCTGGAGTGTATGTGAAGTAGTTGTAGACTCTGAGATGCCATTAACCTGACATTTCTTGCAGCGCGTGTCTGCAGGAGCTTTCTGTAACCTTCTCGTCATACCAGAGCAGTTCTTTCCTGAAGGTGGACATATTCCACATCTTGCGCTGCTGCTGAAGGATCTGAATTTCGTCAAGCGGATTGGTTTTTTTTTCATTGACGAGGCTCATTTCATTATCATGGCTGGAGAACCCAAGGCAGGCGAGAAGCTTGCATTCCATGCAGCATATGGCAAGCTCGCTGAAGTACTGCTGCAACTCCCAGTTGATGTTCCTGTCGCCCTCTTCTTGGCAACTTTGCCACAGCCAATACTCGAACGAATCATGAAATTGCTGGATCTTTTGAAGGATTTAACAGATACCTTCATGCTGACCACCAATCGCCCCAATATCAGTCACATAGTGATTCCTATGGTCGACTCCATCAAAAAGCTTCTCTCCAAGGTAGCATGGAGACCTTGTGTGAGATAGAGTGCAACATGAGGTCCATAACTGTCATGTGAAGCCCACGAAGGATTTGTAGGACTCCAAGGATTTTTTCGTCAATGTCGAGGCTTGAAGGATTGACAGTCCAAATCAAAGGCTCAACAGGTGGCTGATATTGTGGCATGGGCAGGTGAAAGGCATGAAAAGAGATGATTCTATCGTCCTACTAGACGTTAAGTACTGTTGCTCGATGGACTATAATGTTTGAAAGGCATACAATACTTTGCTGAAGCAGGTCAATGCTGTACAGACACAACAATTACCTACACCGGCATCACCAGCATGTGTGAAATTTCAAACTCCTCGCTTCTCCTGCCAAATTTCACCAAGATCAACCAGTCTGACTATGTCAAACACTTAACAATATTAATATCAAAGACGTAGTCCAGACTGGTTACGAGTCTAATGTGCAATTCCATTCGGTGTATTGCCGGTTCAAGTTCTTTGAGCATCCCAAAGTATCTGTCATTGTTGCCTGCCAGGACGATGGCACTTTCCAATGTCCAGCGTGTCTTAAAGCTTTTGCAACTTATGCAAAGATGTACAATCATGCAATGAGAATGAAGAAACCAATCCACATTGTTGCAGTGAACAGCTGGGTCAAAGCACGTGTGAGTACATGCCAGCAGTCTGGGGTGTAGGTGATCTTACTAAAATGCCCTGCCCTATAGGAATACATTGAACATTGTCTTCCAATTTCGTCTGAAGGGCCTGATGACGGTATCGGATTCGACGTCTCAGACTGAGTGATATCAAGCCCATCATGCAGACGGAGGTCAATTTTCCCGAACTCCCTAATGCAGCACCCACGTCTGTCCAATCGGAGAGAATCAAGGAGGTCGTTGCCACATCGTGCTTTGAAGATAATTGTTGACAGAAAATGACTCCCTGCTGTTTGTGTACGATGTCACACCAGATGTTGGATGTGTGTGCCAAGTAATTCTATTATTTTCACTGACAAAGTTTGGGATAATTACAATAATTCATCTATAGCAGCGAACAATCATAAGCTTAACACAAACGAACACACCAAATCAATCATCAGAGTCAGATGGCATTGATACATGAACACGTGAACCGGGGTGCAAGTGAGTACATTGAAGTTCGCTTCAAAGACTTAGACGTTGTACGAGTGCAAGCAAGCATCAGTCAACTGAGGAGCATTTTCTGTTTCAAACTGATCAGATAATTTCCCACAGCTCTTGAGTAAGATGCTTGATTGCCTAGAGGTAGTTTGTTGACTCAATACAGCTGTGACAGTTCAACGTTCAATGTTAACATTCATGATCAAGTGGTAGTAGCAAGTAGCTTTAGTCCTGACATCTTCAAGTCACTATTGACCCTATTCCATGCTAGTTATCAGGTTGACTCCTGTTGATCCTTGGCACTTGCCGTAAACTGGCACCATTATCTCTTGAAATTCGAAGTCTTGCCAGCCTCACAGTGCCACTGTGACAAAGGCAACACCCATCCAGCATACATCATGCCTGCCGCTATAGCAGATCACACTGGTGTTAAGTATGATCACAGCTCTTATTCCTCCAAGGTCCCAAATCATCACTACAAACCCTATCCAACTAGTGCTGCCGTGGATCGGTCCAGAACCACGGTCTGAACCTGACCAATGGTCAGGTTCGGCCTTGATTTGGTCCGTGATCCATGATTTGGGGCAGACCAGACCTGAGTGAGGTTCGCGGTCCACCATTTGCCCGAACGGTTCTATGTTGGTTCGAACCTTCCCCGAACCGCAAGAAGTTCTGCCACATTGTCGAAGCATGTTTTGACACTGCCTTCGATGATCCGCCTTGGCCTCACAGATTCTCGACCTTTGATACTTACTTGTTTCCGACAAATGCAGAGGCTCATTGACAAGGTAAGTCATGACATGCACTGTTAAAACTGAACAGTGTGAGCGTTGTGCTCGTAATGACCATGTCCTCACCCAGATCCTTATCATACCAACACCCTACGATGCTATTACGATCCTCCACCGGCTGTTTGTCCACCGGCTGTCTGATTTGCTTGCACATAAAATGTGCAAGCCTCAGCAGGTAAGCAATATATTCAACATGGCTCATTCAGACTCATGCGCTGTCAATGCTGACGGTTCTCTCAAGGATGCCAAGGACATCATCTTCTACCACGATCCTGATGATTCTGTCCCCCTTGACACCACATTGTCTGCCCCCCAGCCATCATCATCTACTAATCCTCCTCAAGATGCCTTCTCTATGCTACTGAATACTGGGCGCAAACCAACACCAGTTACAGCTGGTGCTCGACAATCCATTCAGACCTCTAAGCCATCTGCTCACCTCCGGGATGCTGAAAACATTTATTCAACCTCGACCTCCACCAGCTCAACAAACCGCAAACGTGCATTGTCTAGCGCTACTGAACTTCAACTTCAACCGGCTCACAAAAAGGTTTTTTCATGTCTATTATCAGATGAGGATAGCCTTGATGACAACGACACTGGTCATGACACTGATCCTTTGGAGGACCAGCCCGAAGCCGAAGCTGAAGTCGAAGCTGAAACCAAACCTGAGGATGCCATCCAAGCCACTTTGCCAAAGACTGAACGTACCGCTGACATTTGCACTGTCTTCACCCGCCATGAAACACACTGGGTATGCAACCCTTGCAAGTATGTAATTAGAACTGCGTGTATTGTGTTCTGCTAATGTTTGGTAGGGACGCTGGTGAACCTGAGAGTAAGCATGTATTTCGAGGAGGTATCTCTACACTGTGGACACACATCAGCCGGTATGTTCTTTCAATGACATCTCTTACTTTTGCTGATATCTATTAGTAAAAAAAACCACTTTCAGTTCTACAAGGCTCGCTGCCAAGCGGCAGGGATTACTATGCACCCTCGAGCCATTCTGACTAGTGAGGATCCGGCTCTGTCCAGACAATCCACCCTTGATATGATCCTCATCACCAAGGTCCCTACATTTACCAAGGAAGGACTCCTGGAGTACATAATGGAACTTATTGTGACCGAAGACAAAGCGCTGCAGCTGGTCGACAAACCAGCCTTCCGAAACTTATTTTGCTATGTTTGGCCTGGCCTTACTGAGAGAGACATACCTCACTGCACCAAGCTTACTGAGACCATCAAGGCACGCGCATTAGCTATAGTCAACGTCATACGTGAACGTCTCGCAAAGGTTGATAGTAAAGTTTCCATGATGTTTGACTCTTGGACTTCAATTATCGGTGACCCATTTTTCTCCGTCACTGGCCATTACATTTGGAACCTGGATGATAAACCCCTGCAATGGGAGTTACATCATGAGCAGCTCAGTTTCAAGCACATTGAGCCAATGGATACCTGCCACACATGGCATTAGATGCCAGGAACACATCCTGAACCTCGCGGCACGACACTTTGTAGATGCGGTGACGAAGAAGACCCATCAGGCACTTGATAAGGGAGATGATGCTGAATTCGACATCTTAAACAAGGAGCTTGCAACCTTGGGAGTTAACGGTGACGGTGACCACGAAGATGAGTTTAACACTGGTGATTCACTTGGCAAAGTGCTTGCACTTATAGAGCAGGTACATTATTAACCTTATCCTTATCCTATGCTCTTACTGATTGAGATTCTTAGATATGAAAATCGCCTCAAGCTCATGCCTTCTTCAAGAAGGCCTGCAAAGAGGAGAATGTACCCAAGCTTGAGTTTGTGCGGAGGTGCAGGGATCCAGATGGATAGAGGACTGCAGACATGGATAGGATATCCGAAGGTCCGGATGAGGCGTGGGAATATTATTGGATGTAGGTCCGGAATACGGGATATGACACGTCCTAACACCATCACTTATCAGTGCCATATCAAATCTAGTGGGGGTCCCAGGTTTTCGGCCAGGACCAGGCTGCACTTCAGGTGTCGCTCTAATGTGCAACCGCGTTGGCAAGTCACTGGCGTGTGGATCAGGGGGAGTAACAATGACGACTTGTTGATAAACATCAAACCGGTCATGTGGACCGGGGATGATGTTGTTGCGTGGCATGTGCTCATGCAGGAAAGATTTGAGGGCAGGGAGGAACATGGTGGCACCATGTGCAGTGACGAGGTGATCAACAGACTGCCAAGGGTGTGCAGCAGTTTTGGCGAGAACATGGACCACATCAATAGGAAGTGACGGACTTGCGTTTGTGGGGGCAGCGCTGCGCAACTCTTCAATCTCGGCATCTGAGTCTGAATCCAAGTCATGTTCATGGTTGGGATCTGTGCGACTGGACACTGTGGCTGACTGAGAGCATTCTGACAACCAATCAAGGTAAGTACTATCCAAGAATACGGCTTCTTGCCGTTGAATCCATAAGGCCATTTGCTCCTCGTAGTTGCATTTGTTGCTGGCACGATAGGTGTCTTTGGCGAAATCAATATGTAAACATTTGGGAAGCTCAGTGTTGAAACCATCAGTGGAACCAAATAGAGTGATTGACTTAATGAAGTGTGAGATTTGATGGAGTTTAGGAATATTAAAGTGATCGCAAACTTCAAGCTCTTGAAGAATGTCCTTGTTGGTGTGAAACACCGCAAGCGCGCTCTCCAGACCATCGAGGGAATCAACAGTGTGCATTCGAAGTTGTGCGTAATAAGAAAAGTCTAGAATGGCTCGCGCAACCACTAAGACTTGACTAGCAAATGAAATCAATGATTATGTCAGCAGCATGGCTTACTAAACTTTACCTTGGGACAGTATCAGCCAGCAGACCAACAAAGACGCGTTGCATCTCTTTATGTTCTGTACCCGTCCACTGTCTCACAGTCAAAATACCTTTCTTGAAGTGCCGAAGTCCAGGGTAATCTGGCATTACTTTGAAGCGTGAGTCCATTTCATCTTCACCGACAATTTCAAGACACCATTTCACTGAATGGTCTTTGAAGACACCTTTATGGACCTGGTGGAGGAGGTCAGGTATGAAGGCAAGAAAGATGTCGGCGTGAGGGAGATTTGCCCAGAATGGGTTGAAGACGGCATGTAACCCGTTGTCGTCAAATTGAATTGGATGCTGACCATTCTTCCGCTTCTCTAATATATCTTTTGTCACCTCAGGGTCCCGCATCATTGAAGTCAACAGATCCCCTCGTTCATCAGCAGCGACCAAACACTTCGGACACCAATTTTCTTTACAACACACAACAAGACATTGCTCCGGGAAATCGGCTACATAAGCAGCAAGGATGGGGAAGACTTGACGGATTAATGAGTCCATGCAGACCATCTCAACACCATTTCGACCAGCAGCAACGAGGGGTTTGAGGAGCAAGGACATGCAGTGGTGGAAAACCTGTAACCAGCAAGGGAGCACGCATCAGAAGTAAAACAATCAAGTTTTCCAGCAGGTAAGTATCCTATAAGGACTGTTGCTCGCGCTGATGTTTGCTGCCTCTTCTCTTTTGCAATGTTGCCAATGGTTAGGTACACGGGCCATGCCGATTTATCACCTCGAAATTGCGACAGACAAGTTTTGTCAGAAGCAAGAATTATGGGTGCGATTGTCGCACCTTTCGGCAACAGTTTCTAGACACCATAGGTAAGTACTTATTATTTTCGCTTTTCTGGGTGTACTTACTTGCTTGTCACACCACCAGTCAGCCATCCACATGTCGTCAATCACTCAGTGAAGTCCTGCTGGGTCTCTGTATGCTCGTGCAGGTGCGTACACCATGTGATTGTGGAACAATGGATTTCCAATGAGGTCTTTGATGCACTTGACAGGATCTCGCATCCAGACTTCGACTTCTTCGTGCAGCGTCTGGCCCTTCTCATCTGTTTTATTTCCCTGGACCTTAACCTTTTTGCAACTCCAGGCTGCTGCATGTGGAAGCTTGTTGACTTTCTGGAGGAAAGATCTGTTATTGTGAAAAGAAGGTTTCGTTCTGTTTTGTGTCTATCGCCACGGTGAGTACAAATTCTTCAAATTTCAACATTAAACTTACTATCGGTAATTTCAGAAACTCGTCTGTTCGAGTCTGGCCAAGGTTTTTAACAAGCCATTCGGCGAGTCCCCATTCCTCCCTTACGACCTGATGTTAATTGCCTTGCAGATGCGACAGGCAATGATTGGTACGTACCCATCATTGAAAGGAGCCCATTTGTCCTCGCCCATACACTCCTTATACTGCTGAAACCTCTCAAAGCTGGTTTGTCCTTCACGCAGTGTTTGGCTAGCGCCAACACATTGTTCAAAATATTGCGCATGGTCCTCGTCTTCAACCTCCTCAATGGTCACCTGCCGATGTTTTGGTGCTGCTGGGATGTCTGCATCGGGATTGGAAGACTCAGAGCGTGACTGGCGATGGGGGGAATACGAGTCAGTGTGGGTGTCGGCTTGGTTTAAATGAGGTGTGCCAATGTCATTTTGATTTTCGACCAGCAGCTCCCACTGCCTTCTACAGTCAGGGCGTCCTGTGATATGTTTTCTGACACCTCCCAATGTGGGCATCTCCTTGGCACAGAATCCGCAGTGAGGCATGGTGAGTGGGAGTGGGTTGCTTGCTAACTTTGTAATATTTTTTTGATGATTTTCTTTAAAGGCAGGCCCTGCCGGCACACTACACCATTTAACCGATCTGGTGTGCGCTTCAGGCCTGTCACGGTGGATCCAATGGATGACATCGAGGTCATACGACTCGAGAACAGCGACTTCAGGCCTCAGGCTTGTCACGGTGGATCCAACGGATGACATTGAGGTGGTACAAATGGATGACATCGAGGTCGTACGACTCTCCCCTTTGAGGATTTCTCAGTCGCCCTGGTTACTATGCCACACTACACTAGTTTCAATATACCATGGGCGGCAAGCACTAACTCTAAAAGTTGTGCCCGTTTGGCCTGCTCACAACGCCTTGCTTCTGCCTCCCACCGCTCTACAATGAGTCTTCGCAAGTTTGCTTGCAGTAAGGTAAGAGCTGGACCCGGCACCATTTCCAAGAGCTGCAATTTTTTTGCATGCTTGCAATGCTTCACTTCCGCCTCCCAACGCTCTGTAATTAGTTTTTGCAAGTAGGACTGACCAACCATGACAGGGCTGGGTGTTTGGCGAAACGGCGGAGGAAGCGGATACATAGGCTCATTGAGCTTGGGCCTGCAAGCCGGTGAGCATTGGGGCTGTGATGAAGACATGCAGCTAACCTTTTGACAATAACATCTCCATTTTTACAAGTAGTGGTTTTGTCGCCTATGGCTGGTGACACTGGACTGTACAATTTGTCAGAGCAAGCCAGTGAGTGTTTGATGCAGACTCCATACCGCTTGTGGACTGAGATAACCATGGTAGGGAAAATATTGCAATGTAGTAACGGTAAGCTCGCTGCTTTTATCATTTTCCGTCTGTTGATCGCACCTTTAGCTCTGAACTTTACACGCCCTGAATCAACAAAACAATTCAAGGTTTAGATATCTTTGTTTATGTCTTTCATAGCGCTTTAAAATCTGCTGAACCATGAGCTAATGTTCCCTTGTGTTCAGACAACCATGGCTACCAGTCACAAGGTCCCCTCAAAGCATGCAAAATCGAAGGACGAGCAACCCTCAAAGCACGCAAATTTGAAGGACGTGCAACCAGCGCAACCAGTACAACCACCTCAGACATGCACCGCAAGTGGTCGACAGCGACACCCGACCGAAAAAGAAAACTACTTTGGTAAGTCCTGACAATATTGAGTGAGAATGTCTCACTCACTAGCGACTCTACAGTCTCTGAGTCTCAGCACGTCACCCATCGCCAAGAAACCAAGGAAAAGAAGATAGAAAAACAGAAGAAAAAAGCTCTGAGGGCTGCTTACGATGCTGATCCTGACAGCTTCGAGGAAGAGCCATCTGAGCTGCATAGTGACATTGATAGGGAAGAAGAAAATATGGTATGTTCACCAGCTTTCTTTGACACAACTCAGAATAATCACTGATAAAAATTTATTTAGTTCTCAGATTGCAACATGCCGTCCAAGCTGTCCCAGTCCAAATCAAAGGTACTGACATTCAGTGCTGGTAAAATACCTCCAGTGTCGCGCAACGCCAGTGCCATGCGCAAGGCTACTCCCACAGGTATGTGTCTAGTCTGTTGATTGTATACTAAGACTAATCCACCTCTGCTACTATCGAGCAGCTCCAACTTCGAGTCCATGCGACGATGACTCCAAGTTGGATGAGTCAACAGACCGTGAGTCCCACCAACCTGAAGACCACACTGACGACAAGGACAACAACATCACTGAATCGCCAATAGCTCGAGGGTCCAAGCGTCCACTTGACAAGACTTTGGACAATGCCATGGTACTGCCAAAGATCAAGAAAAATTCAGATGGTTCACGCCATCGCATGAAAGCCAGCGACTTTGATGATGTGTCCAAAGAGATTTTTGTGACGGCAACCTCCATCTTCCGGTGTCTGATAGTCTCCCAGGCGCCATTTCCTGAGAACGTTGCTGTCGAGACGCAGTTGGCAAAAGCAGCCTGGCATGAGGCATGTCAACTCAAAGGCATCAATGTCAAATTGACGTCTTCAGGTGTCAAAATGGTGAGTTGTCTGATCTCCGTGTGTTCTTCAACTGATTTACTATATCATACTTTGTGAAGCTATTGACCTGCACATCACAAGTTCGCGGGGAACTCAAAATGAAAATGCGTTCACTGACGGCGTCTTTTTTCGGTTTCTGGATGAGCAATTCTAACAATGTGATACGACAGAATAGGGATCTAGCAGAGTCTTTGAAAGACAGTTCTGTATTTGCTTTCAAGGTACATGTTTTGATGATCTACATGGTATTTCAAGTACTAACTCTTTGGACTAATAGGATTGGGAGTCGAAGAAGGGAATCTACAAGACGGAGTTACTGCAACTTGGCATCAATGTCATGTGGTTCGCGAATCGACACGACGAAGGTGTCATCCACCATAAATATTTTAATCCTATGCCCATTGAAGTTATCGCTCTTGTGCTTACAACTGTGAGTCTCTTGTTCTTATATTCGAGTTAATGGCGCTGATGAATCACTGGTAGATCAAATGTTGTATCGACGAATGGTTACAAGGTCTGAAGGAAGATATTAAATTCACGTCAGCTACTTATGGAACTGTCTACCATGGACATTTTGGCTTGTTGCAGCGCTTCGATGAGCGGACAGCGCCTTACAAACTCCTCGACAAAATTTGTGTCAATCTGCACAACACGGCTCGGTACGTTGAACAGTGTTCTTTTTCAAAATGATATTCTTACTTTCGTGCTTTGAAGTTTCCATGCAGGTGTTGACACCCTCACTATCTCGTCATCTGCATCCCAGATCAGTGACACGGCATTCGAAGATGCCATCCGAGAGTACCAACTTGAGGAGCAGGATGACGTGGAGGCTAGCAAGTCGTAAAATAGGCTGACTGGTTCATTATTAGGCATTTAAATTCAATTGTTTTTGTGATTCCGCGTGCTACTACTACTACTAGTATGTGATCTGTGTGACTATGTAGCTGCTTGAAGCTGGCAGTAGTAGCGCTACATGAACTATGTAGTGCTATTTAGCTGCCTGTAGTAGAACTTAAGGGAACTATGGTAGTACATAGTAGCACTACCCGGTTCTACATAGCACTATATAGTACTACGTAGTACTACATATTTGCCTCACATACTATATAGAAGGGACTTGGCTACTAAGCTACACGGTCTACCCTGGCTACTATATAGTGACCTGAATTTTTCCTGATGATGTCTGGAAGATATTTGACTGGACTGACTCCAGCAAAAAGCTACATGGTCAGCCCATAGCGCTATATTAATACATCTTGAATGGACAACAGTCCATAAATACCGATACATACTTACCTATAACTATCCAATTGTCCAACAGGATGTATCCTTGAGGAGAATCATTTATAGAAGCTTTGGGCACTTGCCAGCTTACAAATCACTGCTCAAATGGATTATCCAATATGTGACCGCATTTTTAGCCCCACAGCGTGGGAATTACCCCATAATGCCCAAAACATTGACCATTTTTGGAATCTCCACAATATCAATTATTCCCACACCCTCCCCACCTCACTGCAGCTTCACCACTACACCACAACAGGTCCCCCTTCATATATAAGTAGTAGTTTGGAATATATATGTATAATATAATATAATATAATATAATATAATAGACCACTTTTTTTGCTCATTTATGTACCTGCTCCTCCTCCAGAGACCATTTAACATATAATAGGATACAGAATACTTTCGCATTTTTGCCCCTATGGTAGGGAAGTGTCCCAGGTTATTCTAAACATGTTTAGAAGTATACATGAAGAGATTCCCATCTTTATTTTACCTCCTGGAGCCTTCTGCATCAATAGATATAGCATATATATGAGAAAATACAAAATATGTTCTCATTTTAGTATTTCCAGGTGGATAGACTTCAAAAAATGATCCCCAGCATCTATTTAACAGTAGGAACAATGTATCAGGAGCCCAGGACCACAGGACAAGACCTTGTTGTGTTGTATATCTCCCCTCTCCTGGTGGTTCACCCCCTGTGAAAGGTTTTCCTGCAGTACTGGACCTCAAGCATGGTAGGGGGTCTATTTCTATTCATATTTGGAGTATATATATCATATAGCTAGCTCATTACACCAACAGGATACTTCTACAGGAACAAAAACATAGAAAATCACATTTTTGATGTTTTTGATGTTTTTCAGCATCTTACCCTTGCACATATGATCCAACCTGCTCATATACAATTAGTGTAGCATATATACCTGCTTTTCATGACCAAGATCAGCTACATATAGTGCGGAAGTTTGGGATCTGATGTAAAGGGGACATTTTTACTGATAAGAGACCTTCATGATAATCAAGGGTATATTTAGTGAGCAGAGGCCTGTAGTACCTCTCATATATATATTTGAAGATAGCCTTGAAGTTTCAGAAAGATTCATGAAGTATTGAGTGAATGTGAAGCAAAATGATATATGTGTGAAAAGTGACAATACACATCTTTTCACACAAAAACATATTTATATATAATACAGGTCGAAGATTTTATTAAAAATATGTAGGATACATAGTAGACTACCTAAGGAACCTATGCTACATACTGCCCTGAGAGTAGAGGATAGGTGGAAAGAATGTAGTGTAGATATGAGTTGACCCAGTATTAAACACCTGTAGTTCCCACGTAACCAGGCTAATTAGACGTGACAGCTACACCTGATGGCGGGTCTAATTCGACTGGAAATTAGCTGTATGCACCAGAATGAATAAATATTCAATAAAGGGGGCCCTTTAGGACGGTGTAAGGTGCTGGGTAGTGTAGGTACCAAGTGGGTACTCGGCTATATCCGTCCCCGAGTGCCTGGGACTATTATTACCGCTGGTGCTGTCCTAATCGAGCCACGGCATCGCCAGACCTTCGTGCTCGCTGTGCACAACAGCAAGCTCGAGTATCTCCCTAACGTACTTACAGATTTCAGCCGGAACTTTGTAGACACAAAAGTATATATGTACATTAAGTCATGCCCTACCTCATTCTACAGTCAAAGTATAGTGTTCTTTAGTTAAAAGCAATCAAACATCGAATGTCACCTGTACAATCCCTTCGAGTATGCGAGCGTGCTCCTCCCCATCGGCTTCAGCATTCTCCTCCTCTTCAAGATCCTCCAGTTCATCGTCTTTGCCTCCCTGGTCTATGCGCGGCCCATCAGAAACAAGCTGGGAAGGAATGCAGACTGTAGGAGAGGTTGCACTGGTACCCGGTCCTTGCTCGATGCTTTCACCCGGTGTAATGGACCCTGTAAAGCCTTCCAGCGTGCTGATCTCATGCAGGCGATGGTAGTGATGTCCAGAGAACCTTGCACGGATCTTGCGATGCAAGGCAACTTGATGAGCGAGCCCCAGATGTAGAGTTTGAAGTTGCTTCTTGCACTCTATTAAGTACCGGCTCTCGTCATGTAAGTAGGTAGCTAGCCGCCTGATTTCAATATTAAGACGTTGAACCTCCTCGCGTGCACGGCGCATCTTGAAGTGAGTGTCCATAGTAAGGCGACCAGATGGAGTTGACCAGGGGCGCTGTGATATATCTTGCCATGCATCACGGAGGAGGTCGAAGTCAGCGAGGAATGCATACTCGACGACTTCTTCCCATGAGAGAGCAGGACGTGGAGGGGAAAGTGCTCGAGCAGCAGTATTATACTTGTCTAGAGCAGTGCGAATGGCTGCCGAACGCACTTGTAGAGCCTTGCCAATGTATTTACGAAGTTTGTAGCCTGACAATGTCATCAGTACCGAGGCGAAACATGCAGCCACGTCAGCTCACCTGTCCCCACTTGATTCATCTTCGAGAGCTCGAAAATTCGAGCAACAACGAGACTCTCAAGTTGATTGAGAGACCGCTGGAACTTATGGTTTGCCACCAGATGGCCCACATCCCTCCATTCCTGATCTTCTGGTACCCATCTTCGCATCACACCAAGCTTCATCTCCAGTTCCTGGACTACCTTGAGGTCCTTCTCGTGGTTCTCGATGGCATGCCTGCGTGCGGTCTCGATCTTGTCCGTCAATGCAACCTCATGGGCTCCGAACTGCACCGTGTTTGGAGTGGCCACAGTCCAAGCTGCCGTAGCAGTGTCTAGATCCTGTCTAGTGATTTACAATAGTCAGCGAGTGAACAAAGAAAAGAGACTTAGACTTACTTGCTACCAGACAAATTGACAAGTTTTTGCCAGTATTCCATCTGCAGGGTCTCATTGGTTGGTTCTTGGCTCAACGACGTGAGGTAGGCTCATTCCTCGGCTAACCAGGCGTCAAACACGCTCTCATCCTCTATACCGAGTTCGCGCATCAGTCTTGGAAGAGATTCTTGACCGTCAGTAATTATGCGAAGCGCTTGCTTGTAGTTATTGTATAAAAATGTGCCTAGAATAGTCTTGAGAATATCACCACTGATGAGCAATTCAAGGACTTACTAAGATTCGCGTAGATCTCATAGTCATTGTTATGTTGAAAGTAGTTGCGATAGCTTGACGCCGGTGAAAAATGCTTGCATATCGGACCGATGACGCGAGTGCGTTGGACTTTGAGAACGTCCATTCACAGCCTTCGAGGTCTTCTAGCCCAAGGCCATCAACATAGGTGGCAAGGTGATCGAGCTGACACAGATGCTGATGAGCATGGCCATGGAATGCACCGACGAGTGAGGTATGATTCAGTTCACGAGCGTGGTGCCCAAGTACACTGCGACTGAGGGTGGTCTTGAACCTGCACCCTATGTCGTACCCACCACTGAGGTCCTTGCCAAATGCATCGAGAAGCTTTGAGACAACGGCCAGAGGATATTTAGCCCTAAATAACGAGTCAGTAGAAATCAAGGTGGAGTAGTGACAATACTCACTGTTCGCCGCTCTGAACCATGTCTGCGATCACTAGAGAGAACCCATGACGACAAACCGCCATGAATATTCCAGATTCGTCGAAGACACCCCACATTTTGCTAGTCTTCTCGTCCTTCATGTTCTTCCACCGGCCAGCACATGGGTTATCCTAAGTTTGAGTGAATTGCAAAGAATTAGTTAAGACAACAAAAGACTTACCTCGTTGTCATCCGCCAGCATGTCAACAGGCGAGTCACCAACGAAACTGTCAATAAAATATCTTGATAAGTACCGGTCACCTCCCACAAATTGAGTAGTTGGAAGCTCGCAGGAGCGCTGAGACAATGCCATGGTGTTGTCTGAATCCATGTCGCTGTCTCCGATGTGCTGCTTCAACACGCACTTGAGAGAATCATTGCCGTCTTTTGTGTAGAGCATTCTAAATTTTAAAGGGAGTTCGTTAGTCAATGTGTATGTGCATGCTGGACATGCGTGCTTGAGCCTCCAATCCGGATCATTACGTCCAATTGCTGCATGAACAAGGCTGTTGATATTAGTCAGCATTTGCAAGTATACATCATATGCTATCGAAAATTGCCGAGACAGATACACACGGAATTGAACCTAAGTCAAATCAATACAATGGTATTAGTAAATAGTAGATGTACTCACACCTTGTAGATCACACATTGTCTTCACATACGCCTGAATCGAGAAGTGGGGATTTCATTGACGCGCTATGCGATAGAATTTGACTGCCTGTACTGTAATTCTAGTAATTGGGGAGATCGGGGAGCAAGGTATGACCCCTTGACGAACAAGGGCTGAGGCAATGAATGCGTCTGTCAGGAATATGTTCAAAGATATATTCTCAGCGTCTAAAGTGTTTGTCAGCAAAACAGGCGCAGATCATTAATAGAACCTACGTACAGAACAGGTCCACGACCCTTATCGTAATGGTCCCTGCGACTTCCTCGTCCGAAGACATGCTTCTGTCGCGTGCAAAGAAGCCTCGATTCTCGCGGTTCTCAAACTGCCAAGCCATCAATGCCTTCCCTAACGCTGACATTTGCTTGTCGAAGGCTTCGGTGCGACGCCTCGTCCTGTCACGTCTGGTCCTAAAATCATGTCGACAAGAGCACGACCTCATTTGATTTCTAGTAATCTTTTAGTAAGTATTTCTACATGTGAGAGTGCTAGTTGACTTACTGATTCCAAAAGTCGCCCAAAACCTCGCGGGTGAGTTCATGAAACTCTCCACCTGCATGGCTAATGTCAACTATCTCTGTCCCATCCAGGAGACCAAAACCAAAGTCATCGCTGCCACCGAAATCAGTCTCTTCTGGACGATGCTCCCGAAGTGCTTCGAGCGCGCGTTTCTCTTTGGAGGTCAGCACTATGTAAGTACTCCATCAGTGTCCAAGTTGAGAATACTAAAAAAAACATTCTTACCTGCTAGGCAAGCCTTTTTGTGAGTACCCACGCTGGCAGCATGCTGGGCGATTTTCCTCGGCCCAAGGACTTTGCTCATTGGTGGAACACCATGAGCTGCGGTCTCTCGATGGGAAACCACATGCTGTATCTTCGAGGAGGTGAGTCCTGTACGATTTTGAGGGCGTTTGCCCATGCTTGTGACAGCCATTAATATATTATTGATTCGATGCAAAACAGAGCCTTACCTGTCAACACCTGCATGTGACTGTGCAGGTCAAGAGGAGACTCGCAATTCCTGGACAAGTGTGAATATGAACCACGAACCTCGTCAATCACAAGGTATGTACCGACATCGTGTTTCTTCATTTTCAGATCTCTGAGCATGTTTAGGTCTGCAACGGCCAAGAACACTAGTCACTCGCACCTGGACGAACAAAAAAATGCAGGTCGTTTCACAGCGCATAACTACTCGGACAAAAACCACGTGGGAGTCTACAGAAACTGAGACGGAGACTGAGAGAATTTGCACCACAGACACCGAGGCAAAACAGGTGATCACAGGTCCAGTAAGTTCTTCTTCTCGTTATTTTGAAACTATAATCTAACCTTGAAATAGTCCAATCTCCTGATCTTAAATTCACATGTCGAAGCACAGGCGCAAGGCATACCAGAACGACCCTCTTCCCCAGCATCCGAATCTACTTCGCTTTCCTCTGAGACGGCCACATTCTTTGTAGATAATGCAGCAGCACCTCTGATGCCTACTTCCTCCCATTCCAGTGATGAGTTGTGGGTCCAAGTCGAGGACTTGTCAGACTTATCGGCGCTAGTGGACAGGATAGAGTTGCGTGATAGCAGTGTTTGAGGGTAAAGCTAGTTGCGTACTGTGATCTCTACATACTTACTTTGTCCATCCGAATGTTGGGAATTTGATCGCATGTCTCTTACTACTGGTCACGGCTCAGAGGGACTGAAATGCAAGAAATAGTAGTATATATGTAGCAAACAATTACGCAAATGAATACATGAGTTTATCTTTGCAGTTTGGAGAGAGGAAGCAGCGCATGTTGTGTTTTGCATGCAATTGAGTAACAATTGAGCATAGTCGTGCACCAAATCACTGAAAGATTCACAATGTCGTTTGTGCAATTCATAACTTGAGTTTAGCGAATTTTCATGTCCCAACACTAAAGCACATCCTTGTTTTCTCGGTTCCACCACAAATGATCGATAAAGCTCATTAAATTTCACTACCAGTCGGACAACTGAATCAACATCAACATGATGGAACCCGAGTAGAAATTGTGTTCCATAGCGAACGAGTTCGCTATGTCGTTCACTATATATGTTGTTCTATATGTACATATATTCACTCACTTCAAGCCTTTCCATTCAACATACGATTGGCGAGGAAGAATTTTTATAACATACTAGATACGGCTAGATACTATGATAGTACCGTACTTCAGAAAGTTTGCTCAAAGGGACTGCAGGGGCATACTCGTCGAGCTTGAGCTCAAAAAAAACACCTCCATAAGAACCGCTGGTAACAAGTCAAATATCTGAATGTAAGTATCTTTCACCTGCTTGGACCCCTTATTCGGCGGATGGTGCGCGAGAAGCTGAAGGTCACGCAGTATTGCCCAACCCTCTTGGACATGGTCCTCACACTGAGAAAAGAACTTGTCTGTGGCCCTCCGCCCTTTCTCCTGCACACGCGAAAGTGTGTGATGAAAGTTTTTCGCCCATGTAGCTGCAGGGCCCCATTCAGTTTGCCACCCAGCGATCGATGTACGTATGTCAGAGATGTTGGAGAGGGACATGGGAGCTTTGAGTTGCGCTGTGGTTGAGATGTGATGACGGGTATCATCATCCTGGTCTGGTGAGGACTCTGGAGAAGATGCCCGCCTGTCACTAGCCTCTGAGGTTGGCGCCTGCAGGTCCTTTTGCTGGTGTTTCCTGTCAGGATTCTGTTAGCCATCACAATACAGTGTTAGTTGAGCAATGAAGTACCTAGCACGATTCCTGACCATCTGATAAGTCATAAGAGGTAACAAGCATGATAGAAAGACTCATCGCTGCGAACGTACTCGTGCCTTTTCACGTTGGATTTCACGGATACTGGTAATAACTTGATGATCAAGTATGATGATCTAGTAGTTCAAAGACTTACTTGGGCTTTTGCGATGCCATAAATACTAAAGGAATAAGTGGAAGTTAGTACAAATTGCTGGATTGGTGATTCAGCTTACTGGTGAACGTGGCAGAAACTTGAAAGGTCAAAGTGAGTGACAGAGATATTGACTCGGAATCACCAGTGTCCTGTGAATTAAGTAAGCATTTGTCAGATGCGATCTTGGGAGTAAATTCCCCCAGTGTCAGTCATGGTGTGCCAGTGGGAAGAACACAAGAACTCACCTTGTTCAGTCAAGGACTTGGACACGAGGTTTGGAGTGAAGCATGCTATTTTTAGCACATTGATTTTGCTTGGGAGCTTCGCCGGCGGCATGACATATCAGTAGTCAAGCTCCCAAGCAAAATCAATGTGCTAAAAATAGCATGCTTCACTCCAAACCTCGTGTCCAAGTCCTTGACTGAACAAGGTGAGTTCTTGTGTTCTTCCCACTGGCACACCATGACTGACGCTGGGGGAATTTACTCCCAAGGTCACATTATTTGTGCCATGGATATCACTCAACCAACCTTCAAATATTCCTGGCCATACCTCACCTATCCTGTCAGTGGGCGCCTCCAGTCTTACAGGGAATGTCACTGGATTATCTGCAGGTGAGTGAGTTTTCTCTATCATAGTGAGCTGGCACTGCCAAATTTCTCAACAGAATCTTCAACAGCATATTGCTTGCTTATCCATGCCCTGTGTTTCTTGACACTGCTAGCACATCGGCACTTACAGCTAACTGTCGCAGGCGGGTCCATTTTCAAGCTCATGTGTATGTGCACAGATTCTTTATTCAACCATTTGTTCACTGATGGACGCTCTACTATTCTACACCAGCTGGCCCTCACAACATATCATTGTGTGGCAAATACCTATGAGTTGCAATGTGTCTCGCCAACGTGCCTTCACTGTCAGGCACGTGACCTCAATATCTGCGAGATGTGATCAAGGTAAATATTTTCCTTGATATAATGTTGACATCTGTGACTTGGCCGATGCGCTGTGACACTTTGACTGATGCGGTGTGACATTTCCTCCCAGAAAACTTTGTGCTTAGCCTCTGCACCATATATGACCCAAGTTTCGTGTTCACGGGTTATTCTAGCTCCCAATGCAACGGTGACACTTTCCAAGGCAAGTCACCCTCCCGGTTTCTTATCCCACAATTTGCTAATGTACATCAAAGAATACGACGAGGCCGCGCTGCCATATCTGCCTTATCCTCCTTTGCTCGCGGCACATTCGCCTTTCCAATATTCGTCCATACCAAACATAGTGCCTTTTACTACCAATGCCCACTCCAACCTCTTCGACGGCTCTATTGACTGGAATGACCCTGCGCTATATCATTCACTTCCGTCTCTTTCAGACCTGCTAGATGGCCACCCTAGCATGCAAGACACACTCTTGCCTGCAGTACCTCGAAACGACATGCCAAACACGTCTCCTAGCACGGGTACATCATCCCACACTAACCAGGACAATTTCTTGCCTTCTGTACCTCGAAACGACGTGCCAAACACGTCACCTAGCATGGGCGCATCACCCCACACGGACCGGGACACGTTGTGTCAGGACACACCATCTAACTCACGTTCAGATACCACAGAGATCGCTCCTGATGCCAACAACTCCTCCTGGAGTGCAAGAAATCCAAACCGTCCTGCACTGACCCCCCATGCTCCGCTGAATGCAGCTCAGAAGGCTCAAGCGAAGGCATGGAAAGCCTCCTGCAAGCTTTCTGCTGAACAGCAGAAGGAGGCTGAAGACACGCTAACTACTGCAATTCAACGGCTCCTGGCAGACAAAAACGAGAAGATTAGCACCCTTGCTCTCGAACACAGCGTGACTACGGACAAGGTTAAAAAACTCATGGGAGGCGTGAAATACCACAAGGCAAATCGGAACGTACAACTAGCTAATGCCCTTATACATGCAAAAGCACAGGAGGTCAACGCAGGTCAGTTATTTTACATGTCGTCATTTTTGTAACTATCACACTGACTGAAACAATAGACCGACCTCATGGTGCGAAATATTCGCTTGATGAGATCCGAGACCTGGTGAAGGAGGATCATAGTATGCACAATCTGACCTCCGAGGAACAACAGGAATACATCAGCAAACTCAATGAGCACCGTGCTCTTCAAAATATGAGTGTTCGCGCAACTAACACCGCCGCAGCGCATGATGTCCAGTCAACATTGGACAATGTCTTCAAGATGGTAGGTTTGATATGGTGCCATGTCTTACAACCCTACTAACTAATGATTTTGTAGCTTGATAGCCTTGCAGTTCGAACGGGGGTTTACGCATGTCTCTTCGCCTCACGTGGACATGTATATGACACCACCCAGGCAACATGGTTCGGGACGGATAATATTATGGACTTCTGGGAGGATGTCCTCCAAATGGAGGCCGATGAAATCACACGAAAGCTGGAGCAATGGGCGTGCATGTCAGGTTGAAGTATGTCCTTTCTCGTTTTCCCACCAGTGTTATATTGATATCAACATCCTAGACATCGACGAGCGCGAGACAGTGCAGATCATGCAACGTGTTTGCACTCGTCTGCTTAATTCAGGGCTAAGTACATCTAGTTTATATATCTAATGAGAAACTCTACTGACTATCATGTTTTAGGAACTATAATCAAGAGACGCGAGGTTCGCATCAACTACGCAAACTTCGGTACCACCATCAAAGAAAAACTTGGCATCGATCTGAAAGGTTGGCCCGAAGGCATCCCATTCCAATCCCCCACCAGCCTCAACGATCTCAATGCCCTTCTGAAGCTTCGCAACGCGCTTAAAGATGGCTCTTGCCATTGGTTCTGCATGTCCCCACGCCAAAGGGAGGAATATAGCACTCAGCTAACCGCACGCCGCAAGAGGGGAGAGACCATCGGTAAGCCCCACAAGAAGCGTTCTGATGCTGGATTAGCACGAAAACGCAATGGAAAGGAGAACGGACGCCCGAGAAAGCATGCACGAGGGTCTGGGTCGTCCGTACAGCCTCCAAAGAGTGCAGAGTTTGTGGTTACATCTGACGAGGAGGACACCAGCGATGATGAAGCTTAGTTACTTTTTTGCACGTTTGTAATGTACATAGAATCAATTCAAATTTGCATTTGCTACTTATATACAAAAATCCGGGTGAAATCTATAAGCATGTTAGGGAGATACTCGAGCTCGCTGTGTACAACAGCGAGCTCGAAGGTTTGACGATGACGTGGCTCGATTAGGACAGCACCAGCGGTAATAATAGTCCCAGGCACTCGGGGACGGATATAGCCGAGTACCCGCTTGGTACCTACACTACCCAGCACCTTACACCGTCCTAAAGGGCCCCCTTTATTGAATATTTATTCATTCTGGTGCGTACAGCTAATTTCCAGTCGAATTAGACCCGCCATCAGGTGTAGCTGTCACGTCTAATTAGCCTGGTTACGTGGGAACTACAGGTGGTATTAAAGTCCTACCACTGCTTAACTGACCAATTTCGATGTTTTGATCATTTGAACTTTCCCACACTCAGTTTCTTATCTACTTCACTTCCACAACTCTCAGTTCTGGGTGGATCTTTCTGTAAATTAGGGTCTATGATATTGAATATATTTAAAATGTGCTCCAGGTGTCTGATCATTAAAAATTGATAAGTTGAACATATGGGCCTCTAATCAGTAAAAATGTCCCCTTTACATCAGATCCCAAACTTCCGCCCTATATGTAGCTGATCTTGGTCATAAAAAGCCAGTATTCCCGCTACCGTTAGGGAGTGGGTCTTGTCGGTTTTGATTTTCACATTTTGGCGGTAAATTCGTCCGTTCCTGGCAACCCTGTCTTTTTCGCTTGATATAGTAATGGGCTGTGCTCATCGATTGATCACAGACCTAGCCTCTTCTTGTTTGTTAGCTCATATTCTCTTCAAACTTCCGAATCATCATGTCGTTCCTCGGCCGCTTGCCTGTATCTGTTGTTTTCAACCTTGAATTGTGTCGTTGTCTTGTTTCTGCTTCGATTGCACGCTCGCTCGGCCATTCGGGTGTGGGCTCAGTTTTTTCCGAAGTTCTCATGGCATCCTATGAAGGCCGCTCGCTCACCACCAATACCGAGTTCATGGTCACACGCGCTCTCGATTCTGTTGTGGTTGTTGGGATGAATTGGGTTGCTGCCTGGTGCCAGGTTGGACTTGAAGACGTGATTTCTGACCCAGAATCTAGCTCCTGTACTTATTTACAAGGAAGGTGATGAAATTTTGATTTTGAAGTCTATTGCGTTGACTTTTGTTTTTAAGAATCTCAGTGTATGGTTGCGACTCGTGCCAATTATATTGCACCTGTTGATATGGTGTCTGATTCATGTCAGTCTTCGTCCTTCACCAGGGCGGTTTCATTGTCTCATAGACATTCAGAGTCGATAATTCGAGACATATTTTTGGGGTCGTATTGTGCTGGTATTCACATTAGTCCTTTTTCTGTTGAAGTCACATTGCTTTCTGATGCATGCACTTTGCATGGTTTAGATTTTACGAACTTTCATACGCTGGCTGAGCTGCACGATCTGTTGTTGCGACATTTCCTTAATGGAGAGTGTGTGGTTCTGCCTGCCCGTTTACGGCACGGTGATTATACTGCTTGTCGTAAAATTGCTGCAGGATTTGGTGGGCCTTCAGATATGGTTGACTGTATTCTTGGTGTGTTGACAGAGACGCGTGCATCTGCAATATCAGGTGATCATCTTTGGATTGTCACTCAGAGTATTTGCAGTGATTTGGACCATGTACGTGTGCCACCAGAACATCGTAGGCGAAAAGCCATTTGCATATTGAATTCCTTTCGTAACCGTTTGGTCTATGAGGCTGTTTCTAAGTCTTCGCAGTCACTGTTTGCTGAGGTTGAATGCATGTCTAAGTCCTCATTGGAGGCCATAGCGTCTTGGCATGGTTTGTGCTATGTGGGTACGAAAGATCAGTTGCTCAATAGGATTTTTGATCACACTTCCAAGGGAGCGTGTGCATTGAATGCACAGGATCATCAATTGGCATGTTCTCATATTGTTGATGAGTGTTCCATTGATAGTGGAGGACAATGCGATGTCAGCACTGGTGTTGCCATGGACGGCAATGGTGATTTAAGCTCGCAGATGATGGACGTGCAGATCAATATTTTAAGCTCGTTGAGAAAAACCATTGCACGCAAGCCATTGCTGTGTTTATTGTGTTGCCATGAAGTGGATCATGATGACAGTGACAGTCTTTCACAGCTGAGAAAATGTCTGAAATCATACATTGGTGTCCTCCAGAAAGGGAAACGAGTGCAAGCTTTTCGTGTTCATAAACAGAATCAGTATGTTGTGATGGAGACTGCAAAGACTTGATGTACTTCAGAATGGCCTCGTATGGTGTCCAAGGAGTGGAAAAAGTGCGTGATTGAGATTTTTCGTGAACAAACTTGTTCTGAAGCGCTAGCTACTTTTGTTTGTTTTGCTTGTACTGCTGAGTATAATTGTAAAGAGAGGCAAGAGCTGTCTTTTGACGATTTCGACGTGACTCTTCTGAATCGTCCTGATGTGCGTTTGCATAAAGGGCATGTTGTTGATGAGGGTTATATCAATAAAGCCTCGGTAGACTCCATTATTGGTGCGGAATTCCTTGACAATGTGATGTATGAACGCCGAGGCTTGGTGTCTGATTCTATGCAGTCTGACCGCCCTATTGGTGTATATTGCTGTAAGGGGTGCACTTCGTCATTGAAAAGGAGTAAGACTCCTGCATTTGCTGTGGCAAACCATAATTTCATCAGCCCTCTCCCTCTTGAGTTGCAGGACCTTAGTGTTGCAGAAGAGATGATGATTGCGCTGTGCAGAGCCAAATGTTTCATTCTACATTTGCGAGAGGAGTCGTGCAGTATACCGAATGCTCAAAGAGGCTTGAAAGGCAACGTGATCATTTTCCTGCAACGTCCTTCGAAAGTGTTGGAGATGCTTCCTCCATCAATTGAAGATGTATTAACACCGATATGTGTTTTATTTGTCGGTTCATCTCCACCAACTACTGATTGGTTGCACAAGCATGCCAAACCGTTGATTGTGCGTAAGGAGAAAGTCCGGTCAGCATTAGTGTGGTTGTGTGAACATAACATACTCTATAGCAATGTGCTCATCAATCATGACTGTTTGGATTCGATGAGTGAGGAAGATATTGTGCCAGTTCATATTGAAACTGTGCCTGAGGATGATGCACGCGCCCAAGATGTGTTGACCTCACAATACGATGGTGATCATAATTGCGATGCAGATTCATCATTTGACGAAGAACCTATTCTTAGCAACAAAGTTGCAGACTCGAGTACAGCATCATCTGCTGAGGATGTCTTCCAACATGTCGTTATCACTGATGTCAATGGCAATGCTCCAAGTCATGAATTGCATGCAGCCGCACTTCACCATGTGAAAGAAAAGAGTGGTGGTTTTATACAAGTCCCGCATGGGCTGAATCCTATGAACGAATACATCAATCCTGAGTTACTCCCAAAGGTTTATCCTACTCTGTTTCCATATGGAGTTGGGGGGTTTGAGCATCCTCATCGAACAAGTCCAATATCGTTTAAACGCCATGTGAAGCTTCTTTTTAGTCTGGCTGATAGGCGTTTCCAGGAGCATTACTCCTTTTTGTTTATTGTGTTTAACATTTTGCAACATAGAAAATTGCTCTTACATACCAGTTTAAAAGTCAAACGGACTTTATTTGGTACAGTGTCACAAAGTTTTGTGTCTGTGTCATCAGCAGCGGTTCATACGGTTGCTGAACGAGTTGCGAAGGGTGATTTTGTTACAGCTTATACTCCAGAAGAACAACAAGTGCGCTGATTATTGAAGGAAGTGAACAGTGTGACATCGCATGTCCCGGGATCTGGTTCTGCACATGCTGTGATGCGTAGTCAAATCAGAGGCTTAATGTTTGACAAAGGCTTGCCGAATTTTTACATCACAATCAATCCTGCGGATGTATACAATCCTATTGTCAAGTTTTTGGCAGGCGGTGAAATTGACGTCGATGATATGTTGCCTGACGATGTACCTGACTTTTGGTGACAATCTATTTTGGTTGCTCGCAATCCTGTAGTGGCTGCAAGGTTTTTTGATCTGTACATGAAGTCGTTCTTGAGCGCTATATTGGGTTATGATGAAGCGAGTGGTGTGGTTTCTGAAGGTATCTTGGGCAATGTGAAAGCATACTATGGATGTGTTGAGTCTCAAGGACAAGGAACTTTACATTGTCATATGATGGTGTGGCTAGAGGGCGGACATGATCCTAACGAGATCAAGCAATGCATCATCGAAGCAAATGATACCAACTTCCAAGATCGATTGCTAGCCTTTTTGGATGACATGATATTGAATACTATTTCTTCTGATCCGGATCCTCAGGTTAGTGTGCTGTCTACAGTACATCATCCTTGTGCTGTGTGTGGTGTTGCTCCACATTCTGCTAGCGATGACCGTCAGACTGAGATCGATCGTCAGAAAGACTTGCATCATTTGGTTCAAGCTTGTCAAGTACATAAGCACAACCTTACGTGTTTTAAATACTGGAAGGGCCCACCCAACCCATGAGAATGTAGATTTGATTTGGATGAAACCATTACTGTGAAAAAAGTTATGTTGATTATGAAACAGGCAAGATTTACTTATGCTGTTTGGATGGCATGGTGAACAACTTCAACGCGTCTATGTTGGAGGCCGTACGCTGCAACATGGATATCAAGTTCATCAGTTCTGGTGCCTCAGCAAAAGCAATTTTGTATTACATTACCGATTATATTACCAAGTCCCAGTTGAAAGCTCATGTCGCTTATGCTGCTTTAGATTTGGCAAGACGCAAATTATCCGAGTTTGATTCTACAGATGATGATCTTACAGTTCGTGCGAAGGAGTTGATAAGAAAATGTGCGCACGCTATGATATCTCATCAAGAACTATCAGCTCAGCAAGTCACAGGCTATCTGATGGAATTTGGTGATCATTATACCAGTCATGAGTTCCGCAATCTTTTCTGGACCTCCTTTGAGAATTATGTCAATGCTATCATTCCCCTATGGCAGGAGTCTGTTTATGAGAAAGAATGTGAACAATGGGGGCCTGACTATGAGGAAAATGACTTATCGAATGAGGTTGGGGATGATGAAGACCACTGTTCACAGCCACCAGAAGAAGAGGAATGTTTGCAAGATATTGCTGACGCTGCTTTGGGTAGCGATGAAGTGGGGTTGTCCGTTGATGATAGTGGAAATTTGGTGCCTAGGGCAAATCAGGTGCAAGATTATCAATTGAGATCATCTGAGCTCCGCACGATGTGTGTATGGGATTTCGTCACGCAAGTGGAAAAACAGAAGGTTAAGTGATCGTGAACTCATGACGATGCCGATTCTCATAACGAAGAGATGATGGGAGATGAACTTCTGGATGGTTCGAACAATGAATTGATCGACACAGATGATAGTTTGAGGATGCATCCTGCTTTAGGTGCAGAAAACAATGGGAAATTTCATCAGCAGACTATGATAGAGGATATAATGAAAATCAGAACACATTCACGCCCATCATTCGATTTACACGATACTCACATCGAGAGCCAGACTCATCACCTCGTCATACGCCATCCAGACAGGCGATGTATTCCTGTCCCAATTGGTCCATCTTTACCGCGATGTGATCGTTCAGAAGTGAGAGAGCGGTATTGTCGTGTGATGCTCATTTTGTTCAAACCTTAAACTACTGTTTTGGACTTGTGCAGGATATTTAACACGTGGGCTGACACACATTTGAAGAGTTCGTGAAGACATGTCCACCCAAGAAACTTTGGATTATGAAGAATATGCAAATTCTTCATGAGTGCAAAGACAGTCGTGATGATCATTTTGCTAATCGTCGTCAGCGTTCATTGAACCGTTCTAATCGTGTATGCAATGAGGTCCTTGAGCGCACTGTTTCTGCAGAGGAATTTGTAGATCATGACTTGAATCAAGCGGATATCCTTTCTCACATGACGCACATTGAACAAAGTTTATCAATAAAAAGGTCGCAACAGTGGGACGTAACATTGGATTGTTTGCATCATATGGAGATTGCAGGTCGTTTCATCTCTGTTCCAAATTGTATGCCATCAGGGAGTATTGATCCTACCGATGCCCTTGTGAATGAGGTAAATAAGGATAACCTCGCAATGGAAGATGAATGGCAACATGCATACAATGTGAGAAAGGAGGCATGGAAACAGCGTGCTGTCCAACATGGCCTTGCACTGTTATCATCTCCCATTTCAACTCGCATATCAGATGTTCAAATTTCTTCTGGGACTGATTTCTGTCATGCAGTCGATGCTTCAACGGCGGGAAGCGCATCTGACAAGGGTCCATTAATTATCCAGCGAATGGAACCTTGTATTAACAAACCTATAGTAGTTGATATACCATCCATGATCTTAGAATATGGATTGAATACGGAGCAAGCTTGTGCATTTAGTTTGATAGCGGGTCATTCCTTGACACAGAATGGCAAACCACTTAGAATGTATTTAGGTGGACCTGGAGGAACTGGGAAGTCGTGTGTCATCACTGCTGTTACGGAGTTTTTCAATCGGCATGGGCAGAACAAGTGTTTGCGATTGACTTCATTCATGGGAGTTGCTGCTCGTAATATCGCCGGCATGACATTGCACTCTGCGTTAAATTTGAATCAACGCAGAAGGACAGGCATTCAAAGAAAAAGCAAACGAGATCTCATTGCTATATGGCACAACGTTGACTACTTGTTGGTTGATGAGGTTTCGATGATCAGCTGTAATTTCCTTGTGCAGATTCATGAAGCTCTTTGTGAGGCGAAGGAGAATTCTGCTCCGTTTGGAGGCATCAGTATTGTGTTTGCAGGTGACTTTGCGCAGCTCCCACCTGTTGGCCAATGGGGTCTACATCGCAAGCTCAATACGAATGCCATGTCTACAGTCAAGGGACAGAATAGTATGTTTGGCAAGTTATTATGGTTGTCTATCACCACAGTTGTATTATTAAAGGCAGTCATGCGTCAAGCTGGGGCTCACAACAAAGGTTTTGTAGAAGTTTTGTCGCGTTTACGAACAGGAACTTGTTCGGACAACGATTTCGAGCTCTTGTCTTCTCGAATCATATCCAGAGTGAGGCCTGCTTGGCAGTTCAGAGAGTGGCTCGATGCATCCATGATTGTACCCACCAACAAAGTCAAGGACATCATCAATGAACGAGCTACGTTGACATACACAAGCCGGACAAATCAGCCGGTCCATTGGTATTACTGTTTGGACAAACATAATGGTCGAGAAATTGGTTCCATTGAACTGCGGAATCACCTTGGCGGTTTACATTCTGGTTCAACTTTGCAGCGTATGGGCAAAATCCCACTGGTGATTGGTATGCCAGTGATGATTGGTCAAAATTTTGATGTCGATGCTGGTATCATGAATGGTTGTATATCAGGGGATCCTCTTCCTCATCTCACTGCGAATCACTCAGTTGTTCTGCCAGACACTATTGATATGTCATTTGAGAATCCTTTCAATGGAAAAAGATGTCATATCAAACGTACTCAAATTCCTGTTTCTCCCTGTTTCACTATGACCACTCACAAAGCTCAAGGTCAAACAATGGAGCGGGCAATTATGGATTTCGAGGGATGTACTGGAACGGAAGCTCCATATGTCATGCTATCCCGTGTGACTTCGTTAGGAGGCTTACTAGTTTTACGACCTTTCAATCAAAAAAAGATCTGTTGTTGTCAAAGTGAAGACACACGAGTGGAAGAAAAAAGACAGAGTATACTTGCACAACAGACTATGATTGATCTTACAACAGATCAGGAAGAGCGAGTGAAAGCGAAGTCAGCTTTGAAAACAATGTTAGGGTCTGCGAAGATGGACAAGATTAAGGCAATTACGGACGTGTCTACATTGTCATATCGGGATATGAAACTGCTTGCCAGTCAAGTTCATAATGTGCAAGCGGAGATCGAGAACATTGGTTTTAGTCGTATAAATAAAAGGAAGTACAGTGAAACGTCGAGTGCTACATATCGTGATGGTAAATTGGCAAACAATTCTGAAATAGCTAAACAAAAGACTTGCAAGAAAAGGCGATTGAATTGAGGTGAGATCCAGTAAACATAGCGTATTTCAAATCATTCTGACTTATAGTATGGCTTGTTACTTTGCTTGCAAGGTCATATGCCAACCCGTTAATTCTGGGAATCATACACAATCACAAACAACGGCATTTCCCGCGTCAATTCTTCACCTTCTCCGTTTATTTTCTTTGCACATTTGTTTGTCATCATGCTTACGTCTGTCCCATGCCGTCATTTTTCGTCCTGGGGCAAAAAATGCTGTATTGTTCTGTCCACCTGTTGTGCCCATCCATATGCGTCGAATGGTGCGTCCTCCTCACTATCCTCCATCCAGCCTTCAGCCAACAAACTTAATGACAATATAAGACAATAACATTGTTGATTGCCACAAGTGTCAATCCCCGTCAATAATGCCGGTTTGACTGAACAGCAAGAAAACCTCAAAGAAGCTACAATGACACAAGGCAGCATTGCAAGTCGGTCATTCCCATTACACACTAATTCTTTCTGGGACCTGCAAGACATTAGGAAATTGAGGATTTCCGGCAGCTTGTGCATTACCACATCGGAGAGGCATTCATCTCTCCTGAAGTTTTTTATCTTAGTTTGATTTCATGTCACTCAAACTACCAGCCAAAATGATCGATGTCGACGCTCTCCCCAGAAGAATTGCATTTTCGTCCCGCTTGCCTCCGCCTCCAGCACCCAATTTGCAATCCAAACAGTAAGTTTGCTATTCTTCATCTCCATGTAAGCCGCTGGCATCAATTAGGCATTCATTGATTATCTTTCTTGTACATTGTGCAGCAGTCACACATTATTCACCTACGCGCGTCCAGGGTTCTTTGAAGTTGTTGAAGAAGTAAGATTTTACTTTTAAAACATCCATGCAGTCGGAAACTCATGCAAGACGACCTTTATCTTCAGGCAAAGAGGAAAAGTATGGTGATGGAACACGTCGGAGAACCACTTTTGAAGAAACGTGCAACAAGTTCCACCATCACAAATGCAAATGCGCCCAGCTGACAAAAGGAAAAACGCAAGCATGCAACTTCGAATATATGCTTTGTACCGGTGATCATCTGGAGAACCATTGGTCCAGCAAGCCAATTGATTGGTACGTACTGCAGAGAGGCGTGGAGCCACACACACTTATTCACTAAACATCATTAGTCACCTACAAGTCTTCAAGCTTTCCTGAGAAGCACTTGTGCACCTTTTCCGGGATCAATTTTGTAGCGGAATGCTGCTGTGAGATTTTTATTGAGTCATTTTCTACATATTACTCACTGTTACTCTTTGATCCCTGTACACAATCAGGCCCTACACGCAAATATATCTATGTTGACTCGAATCCGATGAAAATCACTTTCTTTCCGACCACATGACTGATATCTACACAAATGATAACGGAATGTTGAAACCAACATTTCATTGGGGAAGTTCAGAGTAAGTATGATGCTCACCCCAAATTCTGAGTGTCACTCACAATTTACACGCAACTAATACCATTAGGTGCTATGTATCTGTTTTGATTCGCCACATATTGACTAAGCAAATGGCGACCCCTCTTTCACCACTCCTTTCTGATAACCGGTCTACAACTATCCTATTGACTGCCCTCCTAAGGCATGAGTGAGTTGTTCACAATCAACGTCATTACTTCACTGATTTGTCATGCAGTGATGCTAGTACCTGATGTCTGGCTAAGAATCATTCAGTTCATGGACGTTATGGATATAGTCCGATGTTTCATGGTCAACTCCTTCTTTTCAACACTTGGTCGTGAAATCATCAACGGACGGCTCAACTACATTTTGGATCATATAGTCGGTTCTAAAAGTCGGCATCTTCATGCCACTCTCGATTCTACGCACTCCATCCTCCTTGTCAGCGCTATGGTGGACATCTTGTTGTATGGCACATCATCCATTCTTCAACATGAACTACGTATCGCCACTCCTAACTATGCAAAAGAGGTCATTGCCGAGTTTTTCAGAGACCTCAGTTTCATCGTAGACAAAACACCTACCTTTTATATGCCTCCTTCGGTCATATGTGTGTACGATCATGCCTACATTCAAAAGGATGGCAAAAAAGTGGTATTAATCAATAGCCCAACAGATTCTGTGATGCCAGTCGTATTGGCCCATCATTCATCTATGGATTGCATGTTCTTGGCAACCGGCGGTCTGTTTTTAGGTTATCCTGAACTCATGGACAGCACGACCACATTATTGCCACTAGCTCATCCTCGTACATCCATTATACGCCAATTCACATGACGCGAATACAAGGTACAGATTCGAAATCATTGGACTTTGCCGTGCGATAATAAGTTTCCCACACTTTGGCGTCATATGAATAATGGTCTCGTCGTCGCATGGCACAACGGACTTATCCCATCGACTATCATCGATAAACAAGACCTACAATGGAGACTCACAAGCCATTGTGCAAATATCTTGTGCTGGAATAACATTTTCAAAAGACCTGACTCTGGTTCAGTCGTATGTGACAAGGAAAGCATTGATCTTCACGTAGCGATAACAATAAGCCAGAATGTGAGTTTCGACAACGCACTGACTGTTGGCCTTACATAAGAGTCTTACTGATTGATCACACATAGGTGGGATTACCCTGTGTTACCGGACTGCTGTTTGGCGCAGATATACTTGAGCCGTACATGGTTCTGCTATACGTCGATAAAGGACGCCCAAATATACTCAGCATCAACGATTTAGATATGCATCCATTTGTTCGGGAGAGAGGAATAGAGCCGGACAACATCATTGACTGCAACATCGCGCGACAAATGATTGTAATGAGCCACTGTGCATTCATAATCATCCGAGATCATGATCATGTACTGGACACCATACCTTCATTGTGCGGAGGAGGTCCATTTTATCGAGCCAAACAGAGATACCTTCCACTTACACCACTATGCGGAAATATGCTCGTGGTCATGCATGATGTTAGCAAAGGATGGTTGCCACACGACATTTTAAAAACAGAAAAAGTCACTCAAGGCATCATAGAGTACGTTGTCTTACTTTCTTCAATGAAGTATTCATCCTCATCCTAAACTAATGACAGTGTGGATCGAGAGAACACATTATTTCACTCCATCATGTGACAACGTCTACAGACTTGATGGAATTCGCTATGACTGTTATGATTACCTGTATTTTATCATTTCATACAATTGAAACCAGTTTCATGTGAATTGACGATTGATAACACTCAACAGCCTGATTCAAAAAGTCACAGCCATTTCGTCACAAAACATACGCCTCTGTGCTTGATTCATCCGCAAATAATGTGCTCTGTGACTGACTTTGCACTAGGTGGTTCTCTTACATCGTATATGGAACATCGTAGTGCTGGCGCGCGTGTCACTTCTTGCGCTCATCCGCTTCCATTCAGTTCTATGGCTATCGAACTCAGCTTATCCTCTACTCAGCTATTTGAATCTTCCCTTCTAGCCGTCATATTGCTAGCTCTATTCCTCAATGCCTTTACCCGAATTGCTACTGAGGGTAGAGTCTCTCATCTGCTATTTAACCACCAAGCTGCTCTTATTGTGCAATGGGATGAAGACTTCTCAGTCGCATCGTTACACATGGGTACGGCAAGCCTCGAGCCCTCGAGTGTATTACACAGAAGGGATAATGACATCATCATATGCCACGTTTATGATGTTTTAAAATGATGGCTGATGTAAGCTCATTTATTCGATTGGACTACTCCTAACAAAAACTCCTGTAATCACTCAGTCGTCAACATGACTCTTAGCATGAATAGTTCAACAAGCCCTCTGACCATAAACCGATGTCTGTTTTCCCGCGCTGAATTACCAACATTCTCTCGACTAACGGTTGTCATTTTTCAGTGCTCGGTTCACCGAATTCATGCAAGCTAATAGCCATCAATCTCAGTCTTCTAGACTTGCACAATCTTTCAAAAACCTGCAAGACAATGTGCCGTATCGTGGCAACCATACACAATGAAGCCTATCTGGATCTACTGAGGCCATATGCTGGAGACGGGTTAGATGACTTTGAAGCCACGATTGCCCATAGTGGAGGAGTGATCATCAGATGGGGCGCGCTCTCGTTGATTCTACATCCTAACTCCTGGAAAGTGAACAACTTGAACATTGTAGTCCCTAGAGGCGCTGTCGACAAATTACAGCACTGGTTACTTCACCATGTTTTTGGTACGCAACCACTCCATATGATGTCTAATGCTCCCTCGATGCGGAACTTTGTGAACTCCCATCAGACACTGTACAAATGCTCAACTCCAGATCTCTTGATCAATCTGACAGAGAGTGTGGACGACACGGTCATCAGTGTGGTCTTAGCAGGTCGCAGCACTATGGAAATGTCATATGTGACTCCTGGTGGCATTTTCTGCTCTCATCCACGTCTCACATTGGATCATGTTGTATGCCCTGGATTTTTGTCAAAAGATGAGAAGATGATACAAGATGAAATCGAGTGGTACACGGATATGGGCTTATTATATGGTGAAGCGACTGCAGTGCGGGAAGGCGAGTGTCATCATGATTGTCCGACCCTTTGGCGCAATGTGAATGACACAAAACAAGTCCTACTCATTGATTGGACCATCAACCAAGGTGCTCTCGATAAACATAGCCCTTTATGGCATACAAACGGCCAACATCACTACTGGCGACTAAATCAGTCTTGTCATAATTCACACTGCTCCTTCCGACTGCACACTTCCGAACTGCTGTTGTACAGTCCAGCAGACTATGAAGATATCCTACGTGCTAAAGTTAGCATGGCCGTAAATCCAGTACGTTGTTCAACATCATAATATATTGATCCTGTTCATTAACCGAGACTTGAACCAGTTGCTCGGAGGTGGACACAGGGGCGTTCTTTATGCGACTAGCTGTGGCTGTCCCATCTTAGTGCCCGTTACGCTCATGATTGAGATGCATGAGTTAATGAAAACAGATCACCTCTTCACGGAGCCTTGGGTGAATGAATTTGGTCGAGATGCTGTAATGATGCAACCGGCCATGTGTAGAAATGTGTTTACAACCCACCCGCAGAATCAGACGCCTCTACCCTTCCGCCTTGTCGTGTGCCACGAGAATCACACACAAAGCCGGAAGAACTATCTGTTGTCAGCTCTTGGGAATGATATTGCAGGTTTCGGGAAGATATTCATGCCATATGGCAATATCTTGGTACTCAAGATGCAGGCAGACAATCCTGGAGAGGTCATGGATGTCAACCCATCAGACATGGAACTTATTATGAATATTGTACTGAGGTGAGTTTCCAATAAGCAACCTGTGAGAAACGAACTAAATAACCATGATTTAGCATGTATCGTACCAGAGCATTACAAGGAGTGAAAGTCGAGATCGAGTCTGCATGGTAAACTCTGCATGTACAATAATGCTGGTCTGAAAGAACATAGAACCAGTTCTAACATGCTGATACTGCAAAAAAGCAAAATATAATTAACTTAGGTTCATAATGTACAATGTTGCTGCAGTATCAAATCCCATATGTTCCTAGCTCCATTGGGAAGGGTGGAAAGGTAATGAACGCCAAGTCCTAGATCACTGTCGGTGAGTGCGAGAATCCTAGCAAATCCTTAGCAAATCCAGATGCGAGTGTATACAACAAATAAAACAAAGCCCCTATAAAGTGTATATAAAACCTGATATGTAAGCCTCCCCTAAAAATCCTCCAAGGCGCCACTCCCACTATGTTGAACAAACCCTATCTGATTGCTCTGTGCACAGAACTCCAAGAAAATATTTGGGACTTTTTAAATCTTGCAGAATTGTCACTCTTGGCTGGCATGAACTCTTTTTGTTGCATGAGCATTGAAGAGTATGTCGATAGATGAAGACACATCATATTCACTCGCTTTGTAAGCGACACCAGACACTTCATCAACTTACTCCGTCGCGTAGACACTGTAGTATCAGGTTCATGCACTCTCAATATCATGCAAGCCAAAGAAGGTGCAACCAAAATCAATGATTTGGATGTTTACACCACTCTTCAGAAATTCGAGGAATTGGTCAGTTTCTTCACAGAGACGGAACACTATAATCTCATAAGGAACTTCCATCGTCCTCCCCCAGGTCCGTATAACACGTCCAGCATTGCCAAACTATTCAGGCTGCAAAAAGCCAAACAAAATGTTGATATCATAGTCACAAACCTATCCTCAGCCGTGGCGCCCATCTTCCAATTCCATTCAACAATCATCATGAATTTTATATCAGCGGACGTCATTTTCTGTGCCTACCCAGCATGGACGTTGGACATGCTCGGTTTCATACACCCCCGCACATACAAACAAAATGGAACCAACTACGCGACTATCAAAGGTCTCGCGAAATACATGGAAAGGGGTTTTACCCTGTACTCAGATGTCTGCGAATTGCAACCTCATGATTCCCACTGCATCAAAACATACTATTGCCCGCACATGTCGCAGAGCACTAATGACAAAGGCAAATTAGCCTGGGAGTTCAAACACACCAAGACAGACACTAATGTAGTCGTTTGGTGTCTGGGAGGTGATCAATGCAGCAATGAGAGGATCGCTGGAGCACCGTCATTTGTTTTCAGTACCTGATACAAGTGAGTCTTGAAGTGAAAATGAATGAAAATACATTGCTGACACGATACGGCCAGAAGCACAACATGGAAGGGGGCTCATGACAAGACTAGCTAAAGGTTTTAGGACAATGGTTAATGTGTAAAATAAAATGGATGGCATCAAATAAGAAGAAGAGTTATGAGCGAGGGTGTACAATTATTACTAAGCACTACAATAGAAATATGACAAATTTTGAGTGCCCTCCTAGTCACGAACAAAATGACAATTTGATGCAGGCTTACTTAAGAATTTCCAAAAGCAGTAGAGGACAGCGATTAGGCAAACCAGTACAAGGCAAAACATGAAAAAAAAAGATTTAGATACAAGCAAGTACCAACCCTCCACAGTAAGAAAGTGCTTGAGACCACAGTTCGACTCCAGAAATACTCCATTATATCAAAAACGAAACATGACATGCTTGGACTGTACAGAAAAACATAATAGGATGACTGAGGAGGATTGATTGGTACGCAGAAGTTGATTACACTTTAGAAATAGGCCTGCAGGGAAGATTACCCTGCGAAAAGAAGAAAGCTGCTCAATAAAAACAACAAGCATCACATGTCGACAATGTACTTACAACAATACAGATTGAAATGAGGGAGCGCGACTATTAAGGATGAGCAGGCATTTTTTTGTGAGCGAAAGTCGCTGCAGTCTCGCTAGCAGGGATGACACGCAAGATCCTAACACAGGTAATATAAGTGCTATTAAATAGAATCAAAAAGCACAACACACATCAATTGCGACGACAACAGCGACATAATCTGATCTGGTCAGATTCTTGGCCTGTGAACCGTCAGAGACCTTCAAAACAAGATAGGGACAATGTTGAGAACCATTGGCATGTATGTTGCGGTCAAAAAAGACCAAAAACTCCGATGAAACATGTGCCAAATTGGAATTGGAGACAATAACAGAGTGCTCGCCGACATCAGCGTGAGCACCAAAGTACCTCTCGACAAAAATGATGTCAAAACCTCCTCCAGGAACATCCCTGATGGGAACTTCGATATAACCTGAAACATGGGCCCACGAACAAAGACATGCGGTCACGAGCCTATGAAGAGACATAGACAGTAAATGATTAGAGAACAATAACTCGAAGGGACGACTTGAAATCAGGCACTGATATAGAACAGGGATATGTCAGTAAAAGAATAGGAGACCGATGACTCAATCAAGCCCCTAAACGAAGATTGAAGACCCTATAACAACCCTATAAACACATTTAGAAAAATGACAAAAACAAGCACTCACTCACTCACTGATACAATAACGATCTCGAAAAAAACCTTCATCATGGAAATTGATCCTGCACAATATGACAACCACATCGAAGGAGGGCTCTATGATGATGTCGTCAGACAGCTTATGGCGCTACCAAAAGGAATGTCCTTAGGGGACACCACTTACAAGGACGACTTCATCTGTGAGAGCAACATTAATACGGGGAATTTCGCCTACAAATGCAGAGATAATGGAGCCGAGTATGAGACTGTGCTAGTTGGCGAAATCTTACCACGTCCATGTGGAACCAAATTTAATGTGATAGGCAATCACTACCTTGGTACTGTGAACACTGTAAGAGGGAATCATATAGATATGGGAAATTAACACTGACCTGCTTAACTCTGCCGAACATTATTGACGATAGGACACGCGTCAAAGGTGTCTTCGCCTTGGGAAAACCAACGCAGGCTACCGAAATGATGTACATCACTTTTGGGAACCAGATCGCCACCTTGGACGACATCATACAAAGTGACATGGAGGAGCTAAAAAGACAGAATAAGGACGTGAACGTAAAAGAATGGACAGTGCATGCAGGAACAGACCAAACAGGTATGCCTGAGTACATCCCGGTGAACACAGAACAATTGTATGTGGTGAGCACGACGTGCAAAAGAAGGAGATCATACCACTGATATGGTTTGAAGGTTCCTAAAGGGACGCAGCAAACCATCCAAGGGAAACGCGCTAGAGTAGCAAAGAAGACAATCAACGACATGAGCGAGCTTGGAGAAGGCAAAGCAGCCAAGAAGGACTCTGTAGCCGGAGGGAGCAGAGACAATACACAAGAGACTGAGATCACGACAAATACATTCTATGATCCGACGGTCCTCCCAGATTACGGTGGTGACCTGTTTCAGCATATCAACGCGAAACTCCATCAGCTTGATATCAGAAATGTGGAGAACGAATTCATCCCACCTCAGGACTGGTACACGAGCCTTAAGCATGGAACGCTGGTCATGATCAGGGCGACCCTCCACACCTTCAATTGGAAGGAACATCGAGTAAGTCCAGCTACACATTACACGACAAATAAATCAGCTGAACTAAATAATGACTAGGTATATCAGCTAAACGGACACACCATTCGTGTATTAGATGCCTCGAAATTGGAGATAGAACCGTTGAGCTCGCAACTTAATGGATTTGATACTGGTGGAAGCCCGTTGACCTCCAATTCGCGGGTATCGGACGCGATGGCGAATGTGCAACTAGGAAAAAGGGGAAGACAAGAATGAGGAACGAGAAAGCTGAGATGCGGTCTGAACCAAACAGCGAGCAATGTACGATACAATATCGAGTAGTGTAAGTCTGATGCAATGTCAAAGATAAAGTTGAGACAAAGAAAGCCAAATCTAAATAAACACACATCCAAATATTGGGACTTAATGAGATTTCGACAAGCCAAAGCCAGTCAGTGTAGCCTTAGAAAAAAACAGCGTGATGCCTTGCCAATCTTCACATCCCACACCGAGACTGTTTGGTCGCACAAATCTGAAACGACGCGACCTCCATCTGGAGAAAATGCAACGGGCATAAGACGTCCACTGTGGCCTTCAGACAGAGTATGAAAAGACTTGACAGCAAATGTATGACTAATACACCTCAGCAAGTCGGGTAGCGGGCTTTGCCACTTTAGCTGGCGCTACATACTGATATATGCTACACTAATTGTATATGAGCAGGTTGGATCATATGTGCAAGGGTAAGATGCTGAAAAACATCAAAAACATCAAAAATGTGATTTTCTATGTTTTTGTTCCTGTAGAAGTATCCTGTTGGTGTAATGAGCTAGCTATATGATATATATACTCCAAATATGAATAGAAATAGACCCCCTACCATGCTTGAGGTCCAGTACTGCAGGAAAACCTTTCACAGGGGGTGAACCACCAGGAGAGGGGAGATATACAACACAACAAGGTCTTGTCCTGTGGTCCTGGGCTCCTGATACATTGTTCCTACTGTTAAATAGATGCTGGGGATCATTTTTTGAAGTCTATCCACCTGGAAATACTAAAATGAGAACATATTTTGTATTTTCTCATATATATGCTATATCTATTGATGCAGAAGGCTCCAGGAGGTAAAATAAAGATGGGAATCTCTTCATGTATACTTCTAAACATGTTTAGAATAACCTGGGACACTTCCCTACCATAGGGGCAAAAATGCGAAAGTATTCTGTATCCTATTATATGTTAAATGGTCTCTGGAGGAGGAGCAGGTACATAAATGAGCAAAAAAAGTGGTCTATTATATTATATTATATTATATTATATTATACATATATATTCCAAACTACTACTTATATATGAAGGGGGACCTGTTGTGGTGTAGTGGTGAAGCTGCAGTGAGGTGGGGAGGGTGTGGGAATAATTGATATTGTGGAGATTCCAAAAATGGTCAATGTTTTGGGCATTGTGGGGTAATTCCCACACTGTGGGGCTAAAAATGCGGTGTGGCAATATTGTGGGAAGTCCTGACGAGGCAAATAGGAGTGAATTTCTGCTTTTAGAAGCCAGGATAACTATACTAACAGGATGTATTCTAGACTGATGGATAACTATAGTAAAGTATGTATCGCAATTTATGGATCATTAACCATATTGATGTATCTTTCTGCCATCATGTGGTGACATGGTGTGCCCTTTGTCAGTTCATGAGTCAAAAATATGATATATGCTTACTATTATTACAGGAATTTCCTGGTGTGAGAGTGCAAGAATTCAAAATATTAGAACACGAGATGGGAGAAATCGGCCGCGTGTTAATGAAGCCCAGGTTGAGTCTATTTCAGATATGCTAAATCGGGCGCTCAAGCCCAGTAAGAACTGGTTGTGACGGGAAAGGACTGTATGTGTTGGGATGTGTTGATGAAAGTGATCATGAAGAAAATACTAGCAGCGCACATTCTGGTTATAAAGTGGGACAACCCGCACATTTTCTACATGTTGGCGTGAGATCCCTAATGCCCTCATATGTTTTTTTTTGTGAAAACACATCAGAATCATGTAGTAGCATATAGTCAAACAGTCTTGGTCCTGTATCAGAATGTGCTCGAATAGTCTCAAATATGATTTTATTGTGTATCACATGCTTTTCACTTGTGTCTCGAAATATGCGCAGGTAGCATCAAATGTGATATTATTGTACAACTGGGAGTACTAAAATAACAAACAGCTATGAAAACATGTCGACAATGGGTGCATGAAGGTATCAAAAGTGCGTTGGAAAGAGTCCGTGAATGGGGGAAGTCTAACGAGACCGAATCTGAAACATGTGGTGGAGAGCGGGGGAAGTCTAATGAGACTGAATCAGAAACATGCGATGGAGAGGAATGGGGTAAGTTTAATGCAATGTGCCGTCGTAGACTGTCTTGTCCCAAGCATTGTTGGCAACCTGCACGCTGTGTCAAAAACACAACTGGCACAATAGAGACATGTGACTCACTAGCTCTGCTGCCTCGTTATCGTATTCCTGAAATTCACCATGAATGTAGCATGTATATACGGTGACAAAATGACTTACCTTGCGCTGGTCCACAGAGAGATCCCCGTAATAAACACAAAATTCTTCTGTTGTCTTGTTGCTCTCGACTTGCTTGAGCCAACGATGCACACATAGATTACTAGAAACTCGTAAGTAATGTGATTAGTGCAATTTGAAGGATCCACGTACCGTCCATTTTTAGTCTGACTTGGACGCATCTTACCCTTGCTGATTTTGCTGCCCCTCCCATTTGTGGCATCGCCAGCCTTGCCTGGGCCCTTTATAGACGTTGAGCCAGAAGCTGAAAGACTCGGAGGAGGATTGATAGAGGGTGGAAGAGGTGGTATCATCGTGCCGACAGCAGCTAGAGCGAGTGTAGAACTATTGAAGCATATTCAAGTTATCCAACGATTGACAAAAACAGCACAAAAAATGTACAGTGGGTTTGTCATATTGATTTTAATGACTGGCTGTGGTGCAATGCTAGGTGCTGCCACTGGTGGTGGGGGAATATTCTCCTTCTCAGTTGGCACAGTAACTGTGGTACTAGGTACTGGCGGGGGGATACTCTGCTTCTCTGTCGTGGTTGGCAAAATTTGAACAGACTTTGGGGAAGCTGCAGTGTCAGGCAACTTTGGAGACGGTGTGTCTAGTAAATCAAGTGATTGCAGGGGCAACATAGTCAGGGAGAGTGGAGCTAGTGGTAAATTTGGAGACAGTGCTCGAGAAGGAGTGAGACTTGGACTAGGAGAGAGCAGCACGCTAATAGGAATAGGATCAACTACAGAGGATAGTTAGTAGGATGATGCGTTATATTAAAGTCATACCTTTTATTTTTTTCTCGGGAACGTCAGGCTTGAAAGAGTTCTTCGACTGCTTACGTTTCTTACCCTTGGCGTTGGAAGAACATCCGCTACTCTCCTCCTCCTCATCCTCATTGTCGTCGTCGATGTTCTTCATCTTCCAGTTTCCATGGTCATCAACATGATTTCGTCGCCAGGCAGAATACGAGGTGCTGATGAGATAATCGAGCTTCCAACCGTCATCAGCAAACTTAAACAATGGATATGTGTTCTCCAGCAGGGTGTGAACAACCTGTCGTGCAGTTGCAGATGCTTTACCCCACGTCTTTGGTGCAAGTTTGCGCCTGATAAGTTCTGCCCAAGCACCACGAAGCAGCTTCCAAATAGCCTTGATCATCGCATCTGTAAGTGGGTCACCGTTTTCGTCCTCGAGGTATGGTACTTTCCCGCGGTTGGCTCGACGGCCATCAGGAGAATCCAGCCATGCTACAAAGTCTTCATTGGTCCAAAATTGAACATATGGATGAGTTAGGCGGGTAGGGCGCTTAGTGACAGATTGTACTGGAGGAATGACAGAATCAAGCTCGAGGCCTAATTCTGTTTGTGGTAGCCGAATAGTGCTTGTGAGCTGCTGAAACATTGATCTAAAAATGATTAGTTTGAACAAATGAAGACTCGCTGGTGAACATATACTTGAGTGTGTCACGCTCGCTAGTCAATTTGACTATTTGCAGCTCTAACACTTTGCAGCGTTCACGCAAGGCCAGCACTTGCTGATTCTCCTGCATACTAAGCTGCATATATGCGCCCTAAAAATATCCTGTGAGAACCGTTGCAGATGTGGTGTAATTGAATCTGTGCAGGGATCCTCTGGTAACGACATAGGAACACCGGGAGATAGGGGGGAGGGGGAGTATCCTCCCCAATGTGGATGATCCTGTTGACTATTACTAGAGGGTGTAGCATGAAAGAAAGACCCGCTGTTAAAATGAGAGCCCCCACTGTTACTGGATGGAAACATGGTCGACAGTCTGGTAAGAGACAGACTTCGACATATACTAGTAACTAGCAAGGCCAATAATAAAAGCTCCGCCGGACTTTTCCGCCATAACTCTAGAGTTGAAGCTGATTATCTCAAAGTCCAATCCACACACTCGTTTAAACTCTCACCTCAAAATTCGGCTATTATTATTATGTCCTCGACTAATGAACTTGTGGATAAGACTCATACTGCAGATGTATGTGGAGATGTTGTTTTCCTAGAGATTGACGGTGTTCTGCCTAACTGGAATCACTACTGCGTCAAAGTCTCATTTGATACTCCTGGAACCAAGGTCAATCTTTTCTCTTTCGGCTTAACTAATATATATCATAATCTTTTAGACTATTGTTTTCCGTCTTCGTGAAGGTGCAGACCCTCGGCCGAAACCAAGCATGACACAGTGAGTATTTGAATCATCATCAAACAGATTCATTTGATTTATGTATTACAGCGCTGTCCAAACTGAGAGCGAGCCGAAGGAGAAAGAAGAAGAGCACAATGATGCGGTGAAGTTCGAAGAAGAAGACACAATGATAGCTGAAGCGGAGGATCTAAAATCCAAGCAGGAGGACAACAATTTGTTGGATCAATCTGCGAGGTAAGTTTTCGACTGCATACATGACATTCATTTCAAGTTAGGTTTTTCTAGGTCATGGACAAGGTGTACTGCAATGCCGTGCAGACATCTACCTCAGATTGGGGGAAATCCAGATCCATTAACAAGGGCTATCTTACGTCCACAGTCCCGCCCTTGGCGTCACATCATCCGACTTTTCAATCCATCTGAGATTCCGCAGAAGGTAGCAGATATTCAAGAGCGGAAACGTAAGTTCGAGGAGTATTCAGGGTATTGACTCCCAATCATTTTTTGGAATGATCATGACCATTCTTTTTTTGATGCATGCCGCTTTGTGATGTTTTGTTCGCATATTCTGCTCTGCTCGTCTAATTTTGCACTCTGTTGTAACTGATACCTCGCATAATAATAGCTCTATAACTCATATTGTCATTATTATACTTGCAATATAACTCGAATTGTAATGAAACAAGCGCCTGACTACTCTACATCTGGAGCATTATCATTATCATCCAAATGATTGACATTAGCGGCATTTCCACTGAGAGGCGAGATATCTAATCCTGGCTTCTCCATCATGAAAAATCGGGCCTCCGTAAATCCTGATGGTAACGTTGGTGTGTGCGGAATCATAGCAACCACACTGAGGATCTGCTTAACATCAACAATGTAGATGTCCTCAAGTCGGGAGCAAGATACAACGGTCTGTGAGGAGAGCCGGAGGAGGTCTTCGTCTGGATGGGAGTACAGGCAAATGATGGCCACATCTGCAAAACGCCAGTGACGATCATCATCAGGGTCGGCTTCAACTGACAACCTGGTGAAGTATAAAACTTCACCGAATCGAATCTGCCCATCATATTTTAGCTACAGTACATCAGTATTTTACAAAATATAATACCAGAAATGCTCACCTTCACATTGCGCGACATGCGTGTTTGATCCAATGATTTGAGCATCTCTCGCCATGCTGAACGAGCGATTTGTCCATTGGGTAAGAGAAGTCGAGCCCAACGTTTAATATGAGGAAGTTCCTGTCCATCCCCAATAAAATCGCACATAGCTTGTGTGGCAGCTCCAGCTGGCGAAAACATGTACCTGTCCCGTTTTCGCAATAGTGCGTACCCATCACCTAGGTCTACCGAACCTTCTGGGAGACCTTTTGCAGGTTCATCGAGGTCAGGTATAATAGATAGAAGGGTGTTCACTTTACAACGGCGAACCCCTTCCTGTGACAAGTTTGCATAAGGCCGCGATGGTTGGCGTATCTCTTGGCCAAGGTTACCAATCGTCCGTTCCATTGTCCATTGTGCATAGCACACCGGTGGACCTTTCTGAATGGTCTCCGCAACGAGATGGTTAGTTTGATGGACGCAGGGGCGGACGAAGTGCAGGCGATCTTCTCTGAGTTGATAGTAGATAAGCTCGAATTCCCGCTCCCAGGCACAAAGAAGTACATTGGCTTGTTGGAGATCTTGTGTAGTGATGGTGTGTTGGCACATGAGTTGAAAGCCACGGACGAGCCTACAATAATTAGCCCAGTATTGCTGAGGCAGAACATTATAGAGCAGTGCAGGGCCGAGACTGAACATGTAGAGCTGGAACTCCCATGTCTTGTAACCTGTGTTTATTTTTTCGGTGACGTTCCGTGGTTTGCGGTCAAACGAGGGGGGTAGATATGGACCTGCACGTTCTACTGATTCTCCGTGTGTGCTCCAGGTTTCTGCATCTTGAAGAACTGCCCAGTCCCATGTAGCTACATCATCTGTGGGGCCGCAATTGATTGTTCCACGCCAGAGATCGAGACACAGATCACTTAAGTTTGCAGCAAGGTGCATGATGTCTGTGGTCATGCAGTGTGGAACGCCGAGACAACGAGAAGGGCTAAGGCCCATAATGAGGGGAGGCTTGGTGATACCTGTTTCCGTTTTTCGCATATCCAGCTGCTGCTGATTTGGAGATGCTACAAGCCGACGTAGGTTTTCAGTATAGTCTAAAGATCCTCCCAGAGGAAGTCTGCACACATCAATGTCTGGATGGTCACTACCCTCGGCACACCGATCTCGTGGCTTGAGAAGTGCAGGGTAATAGTGCATCGCACGAGTTTTGCGTCTGCCTCTGACTCCACAATAGATACGGCAGCCATTCTTTCTGCTGTGTCCGACCATACTGTCCCAATAGACAAGTCCGGGGCCGTCAGCAGTGGTGAAAAGCAGATGGAGATTGGAGATGAAACGGACATCACAAGATGCGTCCCAGACAGTTAGCCCTTCATTTTGAAGTGCTGCGAGATGGTGAAGACCAACAGCGAGGAAGGAGTCTACATTTTTAGGTTTGTTAGGGCCTGGTATAAATCTACCTGGGCGAATGTGCAGCTTGCGATAGTGTTTGTTAGGAGCCAGGTTTAGGATGACCCACACATACATCCAGCAATCAGATTGTTTACTCTCATAAAGCTGTGCCCCGTCGAGCGATACCATGAGAACTATGTTGTTTTCCTTGATGTCGCCGTCAAGAACTGCTCCAAGGTAATCATAACCCATGGTGATATCATCCACGATCGGAATCTCCATGGTCCTCTCTATTTGTGCAAGAATCTCCTGCATGCGTTCATGAAGATATCGCATACTCCATGCGTTCTCAGGATCACGATACAGTGACTGGAGCTGCGGGCCAAGAGGGATAGTAATGAACTTCTGAGCGGCGACTCTACTGCGTCCGTTGTTTGCTTGAAGCTTCGCCTGGTCCCAATGTGACGTGGTACACATAGGACAGTTATCCAGGTCTGCATATGGGCCGGTAAATGCGAGGCAAGATTTTGGGCACATATCGTGCTCGATCGATTCAACACCAGTATACTGACTAATGAGTTTCTCCACACTATAGAAACTGAGGAGGTCATCGACACCATCCGCACCAGCAAAGTTCTGTGTGGTGGCTCTGCAAATGCGATTGTACGCATCTTGCGAGGCATGCTCGAGTGCAAGGTACATTGAAATACTCTGGCGTACTCCTGGGCTATCGATCACGATAGGTCCTTGGGGGGGATTGCGGAGCCGCTCGAGGGCATCATCACTCAAATTCACAATTGGGTCATCGAGTGAGGCATTCCTTATAGCAAGGATGAAATCCATTATTTCTCGGATTTTGGGAAGAACGGCACTTTGTGCCAGAGCAACAATATCAATGTCGGGTCGCTGCCGGCGCTCTATTCTAATCTCGTACTGCTGTTGCTGCAGTGGATCTGGGGGTCCGTCTGGGTGCGGAGGTTCGTCTGGGTCAGGAGGCTGCGGTGGATCTGGGGGATTGTCTGTGTGCGGAGGCTCGTCTGGGTCAGGAGGCTGCGATGGATCTGGGGGATTGTCTGGGTGCGGAGGTTCGTCTGGGTGCAGAGGTGCGTCTGGGTGCAGAGGTGCGTCTGGGTGTGGAGGTTCGTCTGGGTGCAGAGGTGCATCTGGGTGCAGAGGCTCATCTGGGTCAGGAGGCTGCAGTGGATCTGGGAGATTATTTCGCTGAAAATCAAAGAGTTAGCACTCCATTCGAGTCAAAGATACTGATAGATATACAGATACCTCTTGAACATCTTGATGCTCAACTCGTGCGCATTTGTCACGCTGAGAAGTGCGTCTAGAATCTTCCTCATCCCTAGCTCATTTGACAAGATCTCGAAGTGCGGCCACACGATGAGCACTTGGAGGCAAGGACATTCTATCTGAGTTGCCGGCGTTGCCGGCAGGTGCAGTGTTGCCTGCAGCCCCAATATTTGTTTCCAGTGGGATACTATGTCCCTGTAGTGCTCTACCAGATTGTATCCTCTCTCGTTCCTGTTCTGTAGTAGTAGCTTCTAAATGTCGGTGCCAGGTGGATTTCAAAACTTGATGAGGTTGCCCGAGATTGTGCTTGCTGCAAACACAGACATAGAGCTGCCTGTCTGAACTCGAGTCGGGAGACATTCTAGAGTAGTTGATCAGTTTGGTAAAAGTGGATGCGTGAATAGTACATACTTGTCATAGGAGTTGTCTTTGCGTGAGTCGGATGCAATGTGGTGCGTTCTTCGTGCGATACAATGCAATGTCTGTGTGATACGACACGATGTCAGTGTGATGCTATACAATATTCTACAAAAACATACGAAGTTGGTGTGATACGACGTCGACGCCGACGATGCTAGTGCAATGCGAAACGACGATTTGCAAAACGAGACGAAGTTTACATTATTCAGCATATTCCAACATAGTACTAAACGGGTAATTCACATATCGTCGCATATAGTCCTTTCCCAGCCTTTCCTGTCACAACCAGTTCTTACTGGGGCTCAAGGCTGACTTACGACTATAACTCCTCGCTGTAGACATGCCCGCCATCCTGCATGAAGCGTTTTATGATGACTTGAAGCAATCCCTCACCCTCGCGATCCAGTCTTCCTTACCGTCGCATGACTATTCGACCACAAATTCACATGAATTACCCCCTCCAGATCGGGGACAAACCATTCACGCCTGATTCAATTGTATTGTTGACGGCTACGCGGGGACCTACTGAGGTCGTGCACATTCTCTACATAGGAGTAACCGCGTTGACAGAGGAATGGGATCACGTTTTTGAGAAAATGGAGTCGATGATCGCTACACATCCCGAGGTGATCTTAGCGTCGAGTGTTTTAGTACCAGAAGTCAAACGCTACGCTTCTCCTTCAGAGGTGTGTACCGCGGCGGAGACGTTGCACAACCGTTGCGATGACGAAGAAGAAAAGCCTGAACCGTTTTTTCAGCACCAGAGTTTACTTTTCTCTTTTTCGTTCACCTTCTCATTACCCACTCTTAGCTCTGCCTCAGTTTTTCAGTTCTGCAAATGAGAAATCACTCAGGATGAGCATTTCATCCGTTAAGTCCGTTTCTTCGGTCATGATGCTGATTAGCTCCGCCTCAGGTATGCGTAGTGTATATTTGTATGGCTAGCTGTTTATTCACGGAATATCACAGATCCATTCTCTGGGGCTATTATGCAGGCAAGTTAAAGCACCAAAAAAAACGCGGGGCTGCCAGGCTTACTTCTGGTCTTAGACGCCTTCCTCTCCTTTCGTTAGTCCAACTACTCTTACGTTCGGCTCTGGATCATTCGCACATAGCACTCAGATCGCAAGCGCCATTGTCATTAGTCGCTTCAAGACTAGTTACACCACCATCGAGTACTGTTACCACACAAATCTGAATGCACGCGTCCAGAGTCTCGATGCACCTACAAAGCATTCCTCAAGAGCAAGGTCCATTGTCAGATGCGCATCCTCAAAGCGGCTCCCATGATGAACGTGAAGCTCTCATTGACGTACTCGAATTGAGTGCCGATGCACTTGGAGCAGTCCGAAGCGTTTTCATCAGGTGAACAAGGGTTCCAACTCTGAACTTGAGCCAGGGCATAGGTTCGCCTGGCCGAGTTTGTCACTCTTCACTCCGCCTCAATGTATTGACAATCATCCCATGTACATAGTGGCGTGCTGGATGGTTATACCGCGATGAGCCAAAAAATAATTTGTTAGTGGTTATTCTTTCATTTCATATCACTGAACTCAGGTTCAGACGCCTTACGTTCTTCACCTCTTTCCACCACTGCCCACGCCGGGCCACACCTTCGTTCGCCTCCTTCTGCTGGCAGGAAATAGTTGAAGAAGGACTTAGTTGACTTGCTGGTGTCGTTTCTTCTACCTGATGGGTACGTCGCGCGCATTATACTGATATGATGGGTATGATCTTGAAACGTGAGCAGGTAAATGACAGCGCATATATCGTCGTCGTTCGAAATGCACTGCGTACGCAATTATAGACGATTCCGGCGAATGTTTAACGCCCGAGCGTTGTGCATTAGGAGTTGAGAGTCGCTGCGGTACGGCTATCCCACACCGTACCTGTACCCACCAAAGCTGCATCAGCGCGATGCCGCTCATAAATTTCCGTGCTGATCGCTGCAGTGTTCTGCCGGTCAGTGAACCAAGTTCACGGTCATTGACCGGATTGCATGGGAAAGCTGGCGAACTTCATCGATGTTCATCTGAACACGACTTTCAGGAGTTTCCTGGTCCTACTGTAATGAACTATACTATATCTGGTCAATGCTAGAATCTTTGATTATCCTTGTGCCACTTCACATATCATTACTCACATAAACGCATGGTTTTTGTGTGTTCGGTTCAAAGGTACGTTTTAAGGCTTAGAACTCGAAGATGGACTCCCGATTTTTGACACACCATGAAGATCGGCAAGAGATCAAACCGAGGATGGTGGTGGGATCACTTCGTGGAGCACCCAGGTTATCCTGTCAAAGACCCAGCTTCGATGGTCAGTGGAAAGGCAAAGGTAGTGTGTGCAAGGCTCTATGAGCAACGTGTTGCGCATGAGCAGGCAATGGATGAGCAGCAGGTACACTTGGGCCAGCGAGATGCACCAAGGGACAAAGTGGCAATAGCAGGCACTCATACGCAAGTTTGTTTTATAGCTTTCTGTTACTAACTTAATGTACTAGTTTGGGCTAGTGGCCCGAATGATCCCCAACGCACCTGGTTAATCAGTCGGCCAACAACACTATTATGTCACTTGCGTGATTGTGCATTGCACTCTGAGGATGTCCGTTCGCAAGCACAGCTGGAATACAAAATGGTGCAATCGGCTCTCAACTGAGACACTCACCCTTCTGGCAGAACTCAAGATGTATGTTCACGAAGAGCATGTACGCAACGATGTGGTCAAGAAGCGGCTTCAACGCCGGTACTGTGACACCGAGGCCACTGACAAAGCAGAGCCTACTCAAGTAGTTCATGCAGTTGGCGACAATCTATCAGGAGAAAGCAGCGAACGGGAGCCATGCAGCCTCGCTTTCGAGAGGCGAGGGATAAGTGATGTTGCAGCAGACCTTATTTGAGCTGTTCAGGAGGAGGAGATTTCCACCACAGAATCAATGCACTCAGTCCCCATTGGTGCTGCCGGTGCCGGTGGTTCATTCTCCCACATTGCTATCAGTGACTTACTCAACTATTCTCGTGTGGAGGAATGGTTGGGATCTTTTTATAAAGTCACTATTCGAGGTTTGGATGCTGAGCTTGAGTTATATGAGCATCTTGACTTAGATGCCGAGGGAATTGATGATCCAGACTTTCCTCAAGTTGACGATGTTCTTGACGAGTAGATAAATGAGCAATGCTACCAGATGTTATAGTAGTAGTAGTCGAGTCATCAGTGAATTCAAAAGTCCTCGATATTGTAACCATGAGAATTATAGAGATACATAATTTTGCTCCTGCCAAATATAACAATTTATACATGAATAAATTTGACGTCTTGGTATATAGGCATGCATGCCTACAAATTTAGGTTACTCTGAGACATTTATGACAATGGTGCGATGAATCAACATCACGGCCAACAAGGTATTGTGGTGTAACCGTATCTAAATGGTCAAGTGTTTCCATATTTCTCGTTTAATGTTTGAATTACAAGGCTATCTATGGGTTTATCATGGAAAGTTGAATTAGCATCAGAAGTAAAACATATACTACTATGGGCGCTTGTGAATATGTGGTGATGATGCACCATCAAGGCTAGCAGGCACATGTAGCACAGTTGTGTTCCGGTTGTTAAACATTCTCATTTCTCAGTCTTACGCGTCAAATTGAAATGCTATCTATGGGTTTATCATGGAAAGTTGAATTAGCATCAGAGGTAAAACATATACTACTATGGGCGCTTGTGAATATGTGGCGATGTTGCACCATCAAGGCTAGCAGGCACGTGTAGTGCAGTCGTGTTCCGGTTGTTAAACATTCTCATTTCTCAGTCTTACGCGTCAAATTGAAATGCTATGTAAGCCTATTTCATGGAACAGTGGCTTTAGCATTAGTAATCAAATCCATGTTAACACAGCAGCATGCGACAAGATTGTGACTTCGCGACTTCACAGCTGTTAGGGGTTGATAGTATATTTGTATCAACATTTTTCTCATTTTTCGTTGTTGAAATTCTTTCGGGGCCATTCAAGGCTATTTCACAGAGGCTGATTTATGCATTAGCTATTATACCATACAATTACATGACACTACCGTGACTTTGTACTGCCAAGACTCAAGAGGTCATTAAATTTGTATCGTAGTCAGTCAATGATTGAATTTAACATTGTTTATCGTTTATGCCGAGCCAAACGGTTTCCAATATCAATATTCATCGTGCTATGTACTTGGGAACCGCAGTTGAAATGGTACTACAAAATCAGGTGACACCGTGACACAAAGGTTCAAGCGTTCAAACAGACGAAAATCAATTCTTGCAGGTATGACTGCTGATAACAGTAAATATTACAGAGGGTGAATAATGATAACATATCTGAATGAACATGTAGATGTAGATGTGATGAACATATGGGCGTGGTATAGTGCATACGGAAAGTGGAATATATGTAAATAAGGGAACGCGGGAATGACACATCTAGAAGTCCTCATCCAACGAACTGGATGAAACATTGTCAGACAAGGTCTAACTGAAATATGAGTGAACTCACAAAGGTTTACTCGACACCTGATCGGTCTTAGCATTCGTGTGGTGGATGTTCGTCTTTGATTAGTCAGATACACGCTTTTCAAAGAAGTTGGTCTTCCCCTGTAGCGATATCATGTCCATGAAGTCGAATGGATTTGTGATGTTGTACACATTATCATTACCTAGCAAGCGGTCTGCGACAAACTCGATGTACTGGCACATAAGCTTGACATTCATGCCAATGAGGCCGACACCGGGGAGAGCATCTGGAGATGGTCAGCGTAAGATGGATAAAATGAAAGCAATGACGAACCAGTCAAGAATTCCTGCTCGATGGCGACAGCCTGGGTAATGATATACTTGACAGTCTCAGGGTGCGGGCGACGCTAAAGAGCAAGGATGCAAAATTGGTGCGCATACCCTCATCACGGTTGATGAGCTCGTTTGAGAACGTAAGACCAGGCATGAGACCACATTTCTTGAGCCAGAAGATGAACGCAAAGGAACCAGAGGAAAAGATGCCTTCGACAGCAGCGAAGGCGACCAAGCGCTAAAGGTGGAACGATATCGGATATCTACTTCAGTGCCCAGTCAGCCTTACGCTTGACACAAGGAATAGTTTCCATGGCGTCAAAGAAATATTCGCGCTGGGCAGAATCCTTGATGTATGTGTCGATGAGAAGTGAGTAGGGTCTCAGAGTGAATGTTTTCCATCGTGATTTGGTAGCCGTAGGAGCACCGGGCCTCAGCAGCCTGGACCTCATTAGAGAAACGTTCGATGAGGTTTTCATTGACAATGCCGTTGGATGCCGCGAAGAAGGCAAGGACGTGTGAAATGAAGTGACGTTCATTGTCATTAAGACGGCTGGTCCAGTCATGGATGTCTTTTGAGAGGTCCATCTCCTTGGCAGTCCAGAACGACGCCTCTGCTTTCTTGTGCCATATCTCGTGGTATTGAACGAGGAAAAGAACGAAATGACGCTTGAATTCTTTGAGCAGAGGCTCTTCACTTTCAGGTAAGTCAATTTCGCCGACAAATTCCTTGTGAAGTTCTTCAAGCTCGTCCTCAGCATCTTGAGAGTTCGGCGAGACTGAACACTTACGATCATCGATCAAAACAGGAATAGCATCCTCATCATCTGATGGCTTGGCTGGTGAGTTCGATATTTGCTAGGGTTGCAGCCTTCTTGATTGGTGTTGGAGCAGGCAATGATACACGAACTGGTGCAAGAGTAGAAGCCATTAAAAGTATGGGATGATATGTAGTGAGACGAAGAAGATATCGCAAGAGACGGAGGTCTGAGTTTGAGTTAATACACTGATTTGGTGGACGTCTTGAAGGCGGTCGAACTTCGTAGTTATGCGACGAGGGAGGTGAGGTGGAGGAATTACCAGAACCATTTGCGAGTAGAATCTCTAAAGCAGCTTGTACATTGAGACCGGTAGCCGTAGCTGCAAGCGCTATACATGCTTGTTGGGGAGAGAATCCCATTTCCACGATTTGCCCGACGATGTGGGGAGGTGGTGAGACAGGCTTTGATGAAAGACGCTGCAATTGTGAAGTTGGAGGTGATGGTGTGGCACGAGTCAATTGATTGTGTGAAGACTCGGGATACGGAGTGATGGACACGAATGCGAATGTGATGGAGGTAACACTAAGGGTGATTCTGGAACTGGATGCGTGCGCATCACACTTGTGAATGGATGATTTAATAATAAAAAAGTACAGCAGCACACCTTGACATCAGAACTTGAGGCATCAAGAGTTGAAGAACTGATGAGTACTAGTATAGCTAAAAGAGAGCCGGGCGTGAATGCAGAAAGAGATGGGTAACATGTGATAAGGGGAAAAGTCGTTTAATGTTCACTTTTGATATGCACTACTAGTATACTGCTGGCGGAGGAGTTTCAATCACGAGACACCGCCGGGCCTCAGGCTTCCGAGTCAGAAAGACAAGTCGATAATCGTTTAGAGGACTCCAAGTAATAGATGATGTAGTAAGTAGAGGCAATTATGGATTTGTTTAGAAAGAAAGGTCGTCAAACGTGTCCTCGTCTCCGTCCTCCTCCGAGTCGTCTGCGTCTTCATCTTCATCTTCATCTCCCTCGTCTTCATCGTCATCTTCCATCTCACCCTCCTCCTGCTCATCATCACCTTCGTCATCGCCATCCTTGTCGTCATTGTCTGCGTCACTGTCAACGACATCCATCGCATCACGATCACCCAGTGTTACTAAATGAGAGCTGAGACAATCTCTAGTCATCCTCCGCGACATTACTGGATGCCCGACGCCAAAGTGAGTATAGCACATGAACATATCTCGGTCCACAAATCTGACCCAAAGTTCGTAAGTCCACAGCACCATTAGAGATGTATTGACACTCACATGCCGACATAATGCTCCTCCCAATCGTCCAGCTCCCCGCCAGGGCGCGCTAATGATTTCCCGTAACGAAGCGAGCTTGTACCACGTTCTGAGGCAAATGCAGGAATCAGGTGAGCCCCTCGAATTACTTGCCCCGGATTCAGAAACCCAAACGCGTCAGAGTCTGATTCATCCACAAACGCAACCTTTGGAAGGCGAGCGTGTTTCATACCGGATCTGTGGTTCTGCAATGGTGCCAGCCACCTGACCCAGAGAAACTCGAGGTGCTGCCATTCGGGTTGGGCTCCGCTGTTGATCCATGTTTCCATATGGTAAATGCCCAATATGTGGGCATACCAGTATGGGTGAGTAGGTGCCGTCTCCCCCGAAAGTACCATGATATCAGCGTGTGTTCTAGGGCTGACGGTGTCGTATTCTCGCCTGAGGTCATATGTAGTGTAGTGTACCTGCATGGTTTGGACTGAGTAGATTAGATTATTAGGGATAATGACTGAATTGTGTTCCTCATCCGTAAAGGTGTGATCGCAATAGCTGATATCCAGCTTCCGCAGCCTGTACAGGACGTGGTCCTTGAGTTTGGGGATAAAATTCAGATAATAATCATAAGCAAAGTGTAAGCCCCGCTGCAATATTAGTCTACCTTAACCGCTGGATCGCCGTCGTGATCTTGCAGGAATCGAAATAGATTGATTGGACTATCTCTATTGGTCGCGATGTGGTGATGTATGTCAGAGAATGCTGAAAGGGAAGTATCAGCGGGTGATTGGCTGTTAGAGGAGCAAGCGCCTCCTGCTTCTGCAACTCGTTGAAGTACACGGCGCCTTCGTTCGTGCTTAGCTAACTGCCTCGGCGTGTCCAATTTGCTGGTCAATGGATAAAACACCTTGAGAGCTCTGTGTGCAAGTTCCCCCTGGCCAAGTTTAACTTCTGTAGATCTGGAAATATTGTGTATACATACCATTTGAGTACTGAAGGAATCTGTGGTTCCGAAAAGTCTGATAGATCTCGCGTAATCTGCCATCGCATGAAATTTGTAAGTGTTCAGGTTGAATTTCTTTGTCCTCGGCCCGCTCGAGTCTGCAGAAGGATTAGTCCTGGGTTGTTGAGCGAACCTTTGTTGACGGGCTGCTTTCTCTTTAGGTAACTCCATAGTATTAAAGTTAGCGCAGGTGTCGTGTCGAAATTTGCGCAACTTCCGAGAAAGTATCTTGAAAGTATCTTCAAGAAAAGTTACCGTAGAGTTTGAGTGCATCCTGAGCTTGGCAAGTGCGTGCCACTGCACAAACTGATACAGCAAAGACTGCACAACTATATCATGATCGGCGGGGAATAGCCCTTCGAAAGCTGGGATAGCACACTGATGACAGAGAACATGTTAGCGAGACGAATGCAGAAAAACGAGTCACACAAAAACCTGTAAGATATCTTCGAAGTCCCGCGCTGCTAACCGTTTCATCTCAGAAGTATTGTTTGCGAACTTTCGGATGATGCCATTGCCATAAGTCGGAACGTGACGAAACCTACGAGGAGATCGAGAATCATTAGCAGGTAATAAAACTCTAGGTGAATTCTGCTTACCTACAGTCAAGGGCTGCGACTAGCTGGCTACCATTGGGAAGGGCATACAGAAGCCTGATGAGGTGGGTTAGTAGCGCTTTCCAAGTTCCTAACTCGCATTCATGCATGAAGTTGACTACCAGCATGTGGAAGGGGTCTAGGCCGAACGGTCCAAGTTTCTGCACAAATCGGTTCTGCAGGTAGCTGATTTGGGCCCATCAATTGAGAGAATCTATATGCACTTACCAAAGTGGGTACCCATGAGCCCTCTCCGAGGGCGTCTTCAACCTTCGAACCATCTACTGTATTCCCTCGCTTATAGATGAACTCGCGAGCCTTGAGGACTTTCGTCATAGCATATATACGTAGATTTTGTATGCGACTTCGCATGTCCTTGACGAGACCGAGGGAGCCAAACAAACTTTTTGGGGTCAGACAGCGAGGGCAAGCGCATGAACCCATATCTTTGATGGTCGCAATTAAAACCCTGGAATTTAATGAGCAATCCAACAACTTTAAGAAGGGAAAGCAAAATGACTTCTCGGGATAATCAGCAGAATATGTAAAGATCCGGGGAAACACCCTGCGCAGTACACCATCCGCACATTTGAGGACAAGACCGTGCTGATACACAAAAAGAAAGTCCTCGTCGAGTAAAATTTCCCAGCATCCGTGAAACAATTCCCGGTGGCAGTGAGTATGAAGTGATGCCATGCTGGTTTTTGATATGCGTGATAGACCACTCAGAATATCTTTAATGCTGTCAGGCAGCTGACAAGGTAGTGAGCATAAACAACTGGTCAATAGGCATCCCGTAAGGTCGACTCACCGAAGGCAAGAACCCTACAAGGTGGCATGCTCCAGATTGAGGTAACGACCGGGCGTACTTCATCAGGTTTCCAAAATAGAGGTAAAGCAGCCATGCTTTCGTGGTTCCGAAGTTCGCTAGGTGAGTTGCATCGGAAAAGAACATAAGTCCCGCTACAACCCGTTCCAAGGAACAATTAGGCTCCTTTGGCAACTTTTGAAGATCGTCCTGAGCCTCCAGCCATGCATCCGAGGTGTAGAGCTCGTCAAATAGTCGCTCCTGATGGCCATCCAAAGGATCTTTCCATAGTCGTTTGAAGGGCGAGAGATGGAACGTGCGGGCTTGGACGTCTGCAAATGCTGCGCGAATGACTTCAACTAGAGGGCGATAGTGGAATCCGTGAATAGTATATGCTTTGGGGCCTTCCTCGGTTGACTTAGTTGGAATGTCGATAGTAATGTCCGCCTTAACCCAGTCATCCGGGAAAATAATTCTCTTTCCACCCTCATCCCTATCCAATTCTCGCAAGCTCCTCCTCACCGAGAAGCCTTCGAGGTCCTTGACGTCAAAATCGTCAGCCTGCAAAACATCTTTGACGAGATGCTGGATCTCAGCTTCCGATTTCTTGTGGCTACCTGCGTTCATCCAGGATACAAGCCGATAAATGGACATGTTGGGAAAGGGAAAGGGCAGCGGCAAGACATTGGGTAGACCTGGGGAGTCCGTTCCTTGAACCGCCGTTGGACATGTCCTTGCGAGTAATGTGGATGGGATAAACTTATCCGGCTCGAAGGAAGCACGACGGGGGTATAATCGACTGAGTCCGAACGAGTTACAGGCAGTCTGGATGGTGTCACATAGCGTCAAAATGACCCGTTGAATTCTGTTCCGGTGTGGAGGTGATGGCCTTGGGACGTCATCAACATTAAGTTCATTAAAATCTTCGGCTAGGTGTTCAATATTATCGAAAGACCTGGGAATCCTTCTCCTAGGAAGTGCGGGCGCTGCTGAAGTTGAGTAATTAGCAATGCCCAGATGCAGAGGTCGAAACAAGCCTACATAGAATGCACCTTTCAGGTCTGTTTCCAAAGTTGGGGCCCTCTAAGTCCATTTCCGAGTCCATAGCAGTAGGAAAATAACTTTCTCCCCTTTCCGAGTTTGCGTCTACATCGGAGGGGAACTGTGAGGGCCCAGGATTAGGGGCATCATATGTTGCATGAGCTGTAGAGGGTCTGCAAGGAGTATTTGGTCTCAGACGGACCTTCACTGCATGTCCGGGGAGTCTCACCGGTAATGACCTCCGAGTCTATGTACACATGTTACTTTGAGTACACTTCACCGTAAAGGACCACTCACTCCTGATGCGTTTCCTGATGGTTTTAGAACTAAATTCGTCAATGCTGCATCCCTCGCTCGTTGGGCTCTCTTTTGGCTTGCAAGGAGGCTAGATGTCTTGAAAAAATGACAACTTGCGCGGTGCCTACTAAGTCCTCGGGTATCCGTTGCCTTATTCCATGAGCAACCTCGAGCGCCGCAAGACACCATCGAAAGAACAAAGAATACGATCCAGAGAAATTCGAGCCGCATGCTAAACTAGTAGGCTTGTCAACGACATGGATTTGTTTGAGTGTCTGAGACGCTAATAATAACTTACCATATAACATGATCACGTGATAACTACTGTAACAATAGCGGCAAACAGTCCTGATTATAAACAACCAAGCAAAATACAATATCAATGCGTAGAAATATTGCGCATACACAGGGATAATAGAAATACAATAACGCGGCCGGAGGTGCTCCGTGAACCTGAAGCTCGCTGCTCTCCCCATCTGAGAGTGGTACCCTGGTGGGGTCAACAACACGCATCTCACAACCATTGATGGGATGTCTGAGATTTAGGAGTAGGCTTGGTTGCGAGCGGGTTGTGAATGCATTCAGCACTGCAGAAACCCATCAGTTTACATGGAGTTATGACCCAAGCCAGGGGGATGCACTTGATTGGAAATGACTTCCAAATGCGTCAACAATATCATCTCCGAGTCCATCCGCGACGTTATCGTCAACCTCGATCAAGATGACATTGCAATTCCAATTCAAGATTCTTTTTAGAACAGTTGCAGCAGTCTGAGCCATATTCACGCGGCCGTCGAGCTTCTCATGATCAGTCGGGGGCCTGGTTGACAAGACAGTTCCAGCCTGCTCCCTGGTAAATTTGACAGTACTAGAAGTCGTAAACGATCAAGGAATAGTCAAGAGTGTATGCTAATTATTCACGAACCGCGTTGCCACATGATACTAAATCCCTGTCGCGCCTTTGAACAGTTGTAGTACTGTAGTATGACCTGTAGATTGTGATGAGTAACAAGATCAGAAGAGTATGCCAAGAACACCGGACATCACAGGTGGAATCGTTCATTCTTGAGCCTACGAAACTTGGCCGGTGTTCCTGAGCCTGCTGAACAGCGCAGGAGGCTGCAGCTTCTTCCATGGTCCATTCATACTACTGAAGAGAACGCCACAACTCCTTCGGAAGAAGAACCTGAAAGCGCACCCATGGCCATGTCAGAAGTAAACGTGAAGAAGATCAATGAAGATGTGAAAGAGTTCTTTGCCATTCACAATCTTCAAGGGCGGTGGGCTACTTTGCCAATCTTCCCAACGAGCACCGCTTCCTGCTCGTGGACAAGCTGGTTGCGTCCACGCTGGCGACGTAAGTCAGTTTTATTCATATCTGGGACATCACATAACCTACCTAGAGCACCATGGTTAAAGGAAGTGAATCCTAGAGCAGCCCAGTGCTGCCCAGTGGGAGCGGTGTTCCGATATCTGCAGTGAGAGTCAAGATAGATCACATCGGGGGGTTCAAGATGACTTACGCGCCACTGCCGAATGCCTGGGGCATGGTCCACACAGACTTGGTGCGGTCAAAGCCCAAAATGTTGAGCCTGTCTTTGAAGGTCTGGACACGGGCCCTGACATCATACAAGGTGCCCTTGCAGTTATCGCAACCACAGTGACCGAAGTCCAGAGTACACACTGTGTGCCACATAGGAGAAAATGTGGTGTTGATACCAATAAGATTAGCATACTACTCCAGAGATTAGAAACACGAGCGACGAAAACTGTGATGAATGACTCACATAAAGAACAATATCGGCTCCATTGATGTAAGGCGAGAAGTTGTAGTCCTGGCAATTCAGAACAGTAGAGACAGGGTGGTATCCGTCCAGCTTGTATATCAAGTCACATGTAGACTGCGCCGCATCTAAGGGGTCGGAGTTGCCATTGGGCTCATGGGCGGTTTCCCAGTTCAATAGGTTGGGAATCGAGGCATAAGTCTTGACTTGTTAAGCGACAATGGTCAAGTTTTGGTAGTTTCTGGATAGAAGATATCAGCAGCCATGTGATGAGGTGGTGAAGTCTGACATACGATCGCATATCATATACGATGTACATGCCGGCACTGACGGTCTTGTTGATGACTTCTTCGAAGATAGTAAGGTTGTTATGGGGAATCGGGTGAAGCTATGGCACAGATGTTCAGTGCAGGATAGATCAGATGTTCGCAAGACATACAGTTGTCCAGAGACTTGATGGAGAGGGGATGGCAAATAAGTTCATTGTTATGTTTGGTTCAAAGTGGGATTTATTAGGAGATCATTTATATGTTACCGTTTCTATGGATGCTGTGGGCTACGAAGTTGAACAGCTTGTTGTACAGGCATAGGACTATGCCCAACTGCGCTTGGAGCCGGCGGCGTTGTGTTTCGTCAGCAGGGATTATTTGTAGAAGGGCCGAAACCTGTGTCTGACTCGGAATAAGATTGTGAGCACTACTTGGACCTGAGTACTTGAATGGGCAGGAGTAAATGATAGAACACCATCGTGATGGTGCAAATATCGAGCAGAAGCCTATTCAATATTCAGGCCTGAGGCTTGAAGCTTCAATTAAGCTTGAATGTACGTGATATGATGGTAGACGAAAAGGAGGAGAGATATGGGCAGCTGAGATTGAAAAGGAGACAATAGGCATGCACGTGGGGTAGACACAAATTGATTCTGCGGGATGAAACGCTCAGTGTTCGATGCCCAGAGGACAACATGGGATAGTCACTGCTCATCGCTCCACCACGAGGCTAAATTAGTGACAGTCAAAGAATGGCTGCTCGTATATATTAGCACTGGCACTACCACTGTGTCTAGTTGACTTATCATAATATTTAGGTGCTGGAGCGTTAGTGTAATACTCAAAAAGCACGACCAAAAATGGTGAGGAATAATGTATCATCTGAATACATCTACGACCTGTCGAGACCAGATAAAACATGAGAGACAACAGGGTTAAGTAAATGCCAGAATGCCCTGCCTGCGCTCAGGATCGCTCATCCGATGGACACGGACTGTCTGGCTGACGTGGATGTTGCCCATATCTTGGGGGCAATGAGGCTGTACTTGCATGAACTTTTGCCGCGCAAGCAAGACACGGACCAGGTCGATGCGAGAGCCGTACTTTGGGCAGATTAGAACCAGATCTGATCATCGAACCCGCAAAGGGCAAATGTGTCGATAATGCTTGATCAAGGGCAAGTGTATCGCCAAGGGAAAGGGCTCCCAGGACGGCTGCAAGCTGGTGCTTTCAATGCTTGAGCAGCTCCTTGTGCTGGAGACCTGCCAGCATTGATGGGGCGATCTTACCCTTCCTGGGGGTGGGGGTCACCGATGGTGGCAGGGCAGAAAGGTCAAGGCCGTTATTAGCCCGACCATTCAATAGAGCCAAGTTGTCCAAAATCTCATCCTCTGCACCCAACTGTGGCTCTGCCTCCCGCACTTGTGCCACGCCTGACATGTTAGCTGGCACCTTCCTCTTCTTCATATTCCCAGGCTGCTGCAGATGATCTGTATAGTCACCCTCACTCTGGTCCTCCTCCGACCTTCCCATTTTCTCGAGTTGATACGCCACGCTCAGATCAAGGGTGTCTCCATTACGGGTATCACCGAACACAGAGGCGTAGTAAGACTGCAGAAAGAAGGAGTCAGCATGAGCAAGGAGTTTTTCTGCGAGAGATTCTGTGCCGAGAATGTCGGCCATGGGATGGGTGACGTCTGCTGCTGGAATGGGCGCGTCTGAGGTATGTCTATGTTTGGGTAACGGTTTAAGCCTCCTCAACGGCTGAAATTCTGGCTCATCAGATGCAGGAGATGATCCTCGATACATTTTGTAGCAGAATTTCAATGGAAAAAGATAATTGGAAGAAGCTGGCAAACTGTAGCGTCCAAAGCAAAAGAGCGGAGGGAACGCCTCAAATACGTACGGCTTCCGGCACTGGCCCTTGTGATGACGTGAAGACCAACTGCTACAGGTCGGTGGCCATGACAGCCAATCCATTTTCGCACCCTCCGGAGTCTCGCCAGAGCTTGAGAGTAAAACAGCCTGCAATGGGAAGGCGTCTAGGAATTGATAAAATAAGACAGGAAAGACTACGGTACAGGATATGCGATGCTTTAACAGTAAAAATTGTCTCGTGAGGATATCAAATAATGTCTGACCACGTGTCGCAATGCCAATAAATGAGTGGATATCGCGAAACGACGACTGACAAATGATGTATGCTGCCCATGTCTACAGCCTGCCGTTTAACGTCTATCTATCATGTGGAGAGGGGGGTGGCCCTTTGGGGGAAAGAATCAGGAGTAGACATACTGCACTGAGATAATAGAAACACAGACGACGAATGTAAGATAGGCCGTATAGTCTTCATGATGAGCAGGAGCAACGAGACAAACCAGGTTGAAAGAGCAGTGCAAGGAGTCCGTGCGTGAGAGAGGAAAAGAGAGTGAAACACACAGCGAGATGGATGTTTGAGTGCATAGGGCAAGGAGTTTGTTGTTACCAGGGACATTTTCATGAGTGTAAAATCGAGGTGAATCGAGGAAATCCGATGGAAGTTGCAGGCTGAGAAGAACTTGATACACTTGAGTGGAAGGCGAGTGGATTCTGGGCGTGGCGACAGTATATTTACCACCAGCCGGATCCACCACCGCTTGCTCCATTGTTATTATAACCTCCGCCGGAACCATAACCTCCACCGCCGCCATATGAAGGGGCATTGCCGTAGCTCATGTTACCACGTCCAAAGCTCCCACCATAGTTGCTGGCACCGCCATAGCCAGACTGTTTGTAATCGCGGTTGCCACCATGACCATGAGCTCCAGCACTGCCACCTCCACCTCCACTTCCACCTCCACCTCGGCCACGACTGCCATGGAAACTTGATCCAAAGGTCGTCTCATGTACGACACTCTCCAACCACGAAGGAATCTCCTGATTAGCCTCGTGGAGAAGTTCGAGAAGATCGCGGACAATGTTTTTGTTTCCGCGATTAAAGAATGCAGTGGAGACACCGGTGTTTCCGGCACGACCAGTATGACCAATGCGGTGGATGTAGTCATCAATGTCCGAAGGTAGGTCGTAGTTGATCACATGAGTGACGTTAGGAATATCAAGACCACGGGCTGTGACAGCAGTAGCTACTAAAATTGGAGTACGTCCGGTGCGGAAGGTCTGCAAAGCCATCTCACGCTCACGCTGGGAGCGATCACCATGAATAGGCGTGGCAGGGAGGCGATTTGACATGAGGAAATCAGACAACATGTCAGCCATGCGCTTGGTCTCCACGAAGACGAGGGTCAACCCGCCAGGAGGATCAGATGCGAGGAGATCAAGCAAAACTGAATGCTTGTCATTGTCCTCCACGTACTCGATCTTTTGCGTGATGTTCTCAGAGGTTGAACCGACACGACCGACAGAAAGGAATATGTAGTCCTTCAGGAAGTCTTGTGCGAGCATTTGGATATCACGTGGGAATGTGGCACTAAACATAAGTGTCTGGCGATCTTCTATGCCAGGCATGTCCTCGCCTTGGACGATCCTACGAATCTGAGGCTCGAAACCCATGTCAAGCATGTGATCAGCCTCATCAAGGACAAGGTATCGAATGTTTGCTAAACTGATCTGACCACGCTCAATGAGGTCGACAAGCCGTCCAGGAGTAGCACTAAGAAGATCACAGCCACGCTCGATCAGACGCAGCTGCTGATTAATGTCGGCACCACCATACACCACTGCCGGGCAAACCCATGAGCTGTATGCAAATTTGCGTGCTTCTTCGTGAATTTGACTGACAAGCTCGCGGGTGGGAGCAAGAATAAGGGCAGTAGGGTAGGCTTTACATGAGCGTGAGTACCCCATTGATGGGGTCTCAGGTGGTGGGGCACGAGGTCCGGAAGCGAAAGAGGTGGAAAAAATAGGAAATAGGAAGCCTCCTGTCTTGCCTGAACCAGTCTAGAGTGCAATGTCAGCGGCTACAAATTACCCAAAGAAAAATACACACCTGAGCACAGGTCATTAAATCTCTGTTACCAGCGACAATAGAAATGGAGTACTTTTGAACGGGAGTCGGAGTGGTGTAACGAGCAAATGCGATGTTCTCCAAGAGAACAGGGTCTAGTGGGGGGTTTGTGAAAGCTGTAACGGGGTCTGGGACTCCAGCGCCTGTAGCCTCGACAGGAATATCATCATATTTCTCGAAGTTGATGCCGGTGTGTTGCTTGGATGGATCAGTCGGATCTCCGAAAAGCTCCTTCTCCATGCGAGGATTGCGAGGGCCCACGACATGAACACCATTGCACCAGGCACCGAATCCAGCAGAATCACGCTGTTGGCTATCTCCACGGGGTTCTCTGGCAGTCCATCCGTTGCTAGTTGGGCGACCTGCCCAATCACTTGCACTGCTACCTCCACGGGAAGGACTGCTGAATGCAAGAGCGACATCTTTGCTACCTTTGTCGGGAGGACCACCTCGGAGGGGTTCAAATGTACGGCGAGGAGAAGCTTGGGGCTCGTTCCAGCCGGTCCTGGGTACGAGCGCTTGATTGACACAGGATGCAAAATCAAAAGGAAATTACGTACCCGTTTGGCTGTTGCGGGGGTGGTGTAGCGCGCTGCACATTTCTCAAGTGAGGTGGAACATATGCAGATTTCGTTCCATTTATGCCGAGAGAAGCTGTATTAAAGATATTAGTTTAATGATAAGGCGACAAAGATAATATGAGTGAGCGTGTACCAAACTGAGTTTCTAGACTTTCATTGCCGTTTACAATTCCATTGGTCACGTAGCAGCGTCCTCGATCTTTTTCTATATTCTGGCGTTAGGTGACAGCAGACGGAACATGGAAGTAACACTTACCTGAACTCCCTGACGTGCTTCTTCGAAGTTGTGAATCTGGCCTTTGATTTTGTTCAACTCCACAAGTAAAGTAGCCTGTTCTTGATCGATAGCGGTTCTCCTACCGACAGCATCCTCGAATTGTTGCATGATCGAGGCCTTTTCCGCTTCGGCTTCCTGTACGGAGAGGATTGTCAGCTAGGATAGATGAAATTCACGTGGACATACATCTTTTGCGCTCTGTAATCCCATGATATCAGCTGGCATCTCTTCTTTTGCCTCCTCTTGAAGCGAAGCAAGCTCTTGTTTCGCAGCACGGTGAGTTTTGAATAAAGAGCATTCTTGTACCTAGCAAACCATGCGTGTTCAGGAATGGTATAACGGAGAGGAATGGGTGAGACTAACATTCATCCCATTGATTTCGCGTGCCAGGGCCTGAAACTGCTGTCTGAGCTGAGTAGCCTCATCTTGTGCAGCCTTACATTCGCCCTCTGCATCTGCAAGTTCTCTTGCCAAGTGCTGCAAAATGATTTAGCATGATTGTGAGATCGTACAATATCGACGAACCTAAGCACAGAGGCAGAGTCGCTTGATGTGAACATCATGTTGCAGGGGTCATTTGGAGGAAGCCTTTGCAATTTGATCGACTGACCACCTCTCTCGGCATATCGATGGACATTGCACACGCATGTAATCGGCTGCCCACGTGATGCCTCCTCCATTCATGTGTTTCAGGATGTTGTCAGCATCAAGACGCTTGGGCGCAACGACCGTACGCTCAATATTTGCTTGGTTGATTGACATCTGGAGGACGTAAGGGTCTGTGATCTGGATAGCAGAATTACATAGGTAGTAATGAAAACAGTACAGACTTACTTCCAGGACACTCTTCGAAATTTATATAGAAACCTTAAGGGACGAAGGGTGCAAACGCTCCACCCTTGCCATCTGCGGGCCTCACCCAGAGTGTGCGCAAGTCAGTCTTGGTGACGAAAGCATTTGTGTCAGGGAGATACAAAAGAGATGCACTAGTCTTGAATTTCTGGGACTTTGAAGACGAAGGTGCATCGAAACTTTGCTTACTAAGCCGACAGTACATATGTGCACGTGATATATCGCACTCACTGGAGGTGCTGTTATTTTCAACCACATGCACCGTTACTCTACAATACCGAAACCTTGAGACCCTAGGTAAGACGCGAGTATGAAGTCAAGGAGATACATGAGCACTACTTAAGGAAAAACACTGTCGTTAGGTTGTACATAAAACAAGATCTTAGTATGAAACGGTCGAACGGTGTCCAGCTAGTTGGAAGCGTGAAGTACAAAAACATCCTGAATGTCAGTCAATAGCGCATCAAAATAATGCAGCCCATTCTTGTCAAGCTGAGACATGTAAAGCAAGAGGTCATAATAGAATCGAACATTTGAGTCAGTCACAAACTCAGCAGGCACCAATTTTCCAGTTGAATGCTGAGACAATGCCCACATCTGTGTTGTACTGAGAAAGGCGATGATGTTCTTCAAGCGATCCTTCCAACTGTCCGAGCCAATCCCGTCATAACAAATAAACTGGTTGTATTGTCTCTCCGAAAGCATGATTTCGACGAGATCCTGGATCCCACTGTGTGCAAATGGCACATAATGGCTGTCAGGGAGCCCACCCTGCCCGATCAGCTGAAATAGAACATTTAGTGCGAGAGCTTGAGTTACAATTGACGAACTTACGTCCATTTTTCCATGAAGAAATAAACCAGTATTGAGGAGATCTTTTATCGTCGTGATCCGGGACTCTAAGAGTGCTTGATCCCGCAAATAGACTGGAAGGGAAAGGGAATAAGCTGATATTACTGAGTTGAGCGAGATATCCTTGAATTTGTCCCGGATGCGATCCAAGACCTCGCTCAGCCGTTGGATTTCTTCTCGACCCTCCGTGAGAGTCTTCCATTTGACGAGCTCCGCTATTTTGATATTCATCAGCTGAGGAATGAAGATATAGAAAGGAACTACCATTGGAGTATTCGGAGACTGCATCATCAAGGGCATTCTCGGCCATTACCTTGAGCACTGCTTCATCGGCAGGGAAAAAGGAAGTCTCGATGATCGACCTAACCATTCGTTCATATGCATTAACCTTAACCTCCTCTATTACGTCCACCGATAGAAAGATTGTGGTCAACGGTTTTAATAGTGGCATGACGGGCCTGGTGCCAAGAAATGTATCGTCTGGTGCATTCAGGGTATGTACAGGGCTTACACGCCTGAAACCCTGATCGAGATGCGCCGCAAAAGATGCTATGAGACCTGGGCTATGCTGCTGAAATTCGTCGACTGAGCTCTGGGCGTCTAACATCCAGAAATCTGAATCAACCGAAGATGTATGGTCGATAGGCTGGGGGTGATAGAGTGATAAAGCCGTATGCGACTGCGGCTGCTCCTGGACATTGAGTGCGCTCAATGCCCCCCAGGTGCGGTAGAAGGATCTGTGAGCAGTACGCTCTGACTGAGGTCGTTGGAGTAAACGGAGGAATGGCCCTGCTGATAGGCTGTGGGCGTCTCGAGGCCAAACGACCCTTGGGATTGATTGGTCGACTCAGAGGAGTGAGCGAAGTGAGGAGTAGTAGGGTAGGCTAGCCCAGAGTTAGAGCCTGGTTCAACTTGGCCCTGAAGGTGACTCCCATCAAGACTGCTACCGATATTCACCGACCAGTCATGTTGCTCGTAAGCCATTGAGTTGAACACCTAATATGATGAATAACACGATCAGTACAAATCGTGATTCAAAGTAGTTGCTGGCCGCATTGACACACCTTTTGAACTCAACGTTGTGAGGCGATGGCAAGGAGGAAAAATGCAAGCCATGATTGCAGCGTGACACTAATTTAATAATTATTGAGCACCGAATCGAATGCCATCCTATCCCAGATAGTTTACTATAATATTTAGTCAATGTGATTGCGTGGTTGAAGTTAACATTACCATTGAAATTTACGTTGTGGTTTAAGCTTACCTTCCCTGACCGCTGCTGAAGACCCATTAGGAGAGTCTGACCAAATCAAAAGGAGTTATTCCGAGTTCTTGTTGCGTACAAATTGGATTGTCGTTGCCGAATTAGATTGAAGGCAATGCTCATTTGGATTTGATTAGGAATCAGAGATAATATCAGACTGATTTGGACGTACCATTGAAATTTACGCCGTGGTTTAAGCTTACTTCCCTGACTGCTGCTGAAGACCCATTAGGAGAGTCTGACCAAATCAAAAGGAGTTATTCCGAGTTCTTGTTGCGTACAAATTGGATCGTCGTTGCCGAATTAGATTGAAGGCAATGCTCGTTTGGATTTGATCAGGAATCAGGGATAATATCAGACTGATTTGGACGTGTCATAGCGCCAGTTCCCAAAGTAGAACAAGAATTTGCCTGTTTAAATCGTAAAGAAGCGAGTAGGGCCGAATCTGCCGATGGGAAAATAGTTCCAAAAGAATATCACTACTGTAGCATATGTCCTGAGATGGCACAGTGTTGAAAAAGGTTTACAAAAGGAGATTTGGGGGCAGGCTTACAGTCTATACGAGCACGACAAATAAGTTTCTTGAACTTAGAAATTACAACCTTTTTAAGAACTATCCAGATACCTGCTGTTAACCAAGATCAGTATGAGCTTGATAGAAGACTGACGTAATAATCACTTTAGCTATGAGATGTGAAGGAATACTCCCAGGTTTCATGTGCGAAGCCGCTGTACACCCTGATTGGAACACGTGGCACTAGCACCTGACCCTGCGGGGAGCTCAGACTCTTCGCAATCTTCAGCAATGACACTCCCGGAATCATAGTGATTATGAGCAAGCTTCTCCAAGTGACTGAGCTGCTCATCCGCAACAGTGAACGACGCTGCATCATGGCTATATGCGGCGACACTGAAGTCCGTGTGATCTCGAAGTTCCTCCTTCCTGGAGGAAGCAAGTGCCGGAACCAAGGTCTCGAGATCTTCTGAAGATGCGCTGACATACTTGTCAGCAGCCTGCTCAAGAAGCATATGGAGAAACTTTGTGTGTCGCTCAGTCGCCTCGATTCGCCAAGCCATTGCCATGGCAATCAGGCGCCTGTATTCAACATCAGCCTCCTTCGTAAGGACAGCTTGAGCGACAGCCTCGTTGGACAAGTCACTCAAGCCATGCTGTAGTTGAGTTTTGCCCTGATATCAGACCCGTCAACAAGCAATACGTGAAAATGGACTATTCATCAACATACAATCTGAACATCCATTAGATTTAGGTCAGACTCGGCTGGGGTAAGGGAGCTTTCAGCAAAGCGGAGCGCCCACATAGATGGACCATTCCTCTCGTAGGGCTTGAACCTTGTTTTTGCGCGGTTCACATAAAGAGACAGATGGTGAATTATGGGTGGAAGGAATGGAGGTGCGTTGAAATCTTTAGGTGTCGCGTTATGGGTAGCATCAAATGGCGATGACCCTCGACGTCTGGCTCTTGAGGCTTTCTCAAGAATCTGAGCTCTGCGGAGAAATGAGGGAGTAATATCCGGGTCATGCTGGGGTTGTTTCGCAGCAAGGTCCATGTGACTGCGACTAGGGCTGGCATCCCTCTCACGAGCAAGACTAGTCCCCTCAATAGAGATTGAGGAAGTATGACAGGTATGCATGGTAGGTTGTAGGTTGCGCAAAAATCGGGCGGCTGAGTTTGAAAGGCTTGAGGGTGCTTATGAGTATCCAGTAGCCAGAACCTACATATATAGTAAGAAGTAAGTTGATATACTTATATGTTGAGGCGAAACCTTTCCGAAAGAGGGAACAGTTGAAGTTATATATATTTCAGGCCAAGTTTTAGACCCAAACAAGTGTGGTCGGCAATCGCAACCAAAAAAAAACATATTGTAAGAAAAACCTGCAGTAAAAAATATGGAAAAATGAGCTGTCAGGTCACAGAGTAGGTAAACGGCACCATACTACAAGTACTATTGGGCAAGCAGTGTCAGAGCGCAGAGATCCTCAGAGGCCAAATAGTTACAGCAGGAATCTGGAGCAGAAGTGCCTATAGCCCAAATAACCGCGACATGTTTCAAGCAGAAGTCCTGCGCCAGATGACCTCGATATGTTGAAGAGGCCTCAAACAGCCTAGACTCGGTCACTCGAAAGGTCCACGTAAGTCAGGCTGGGCTTGGGTGGTGGGAGAAGCACTGCACCAGAAAGTCCGAAACGATGAATCACCGATTCCCACCTGAACGACTCGCTGAGGGGATACTCAAATAAAGGTCGTGGACATGAGACGTCAAAAATTGTAAAGGCGCAATCCAGCAGTTCAGTCATTGGTATAGTAATGCTCTGTGTTTGTTGTTATTGTGTTTTGGTCACACGACTGGCCTGAGCTTATGTGAGCGTAGATTCAAATTCAAAATTCATAGCGTAGATCATGATCTAATGGAAATAATCTACGTTTTTGTCACATATGTGACTTACAATACTGGCTTGTTTCGTAGTACCTCCTCGCCATGTCTAATAACATCAAGCACCGTTTGCCATTCAGTGCCCGTCTTCTCCCGACAGATACGCTTGGTACAGGGAACACCGTGCAGAGACAGCTCCTTGGGCGCCTGATGTGGAGAGGTATTCTCCTTACACCCGTTGTCGGGGTCGATATCGACATCGTCAAGCTTCCGCTTGCGAGTGTTACGAGTAACTTGTGCTCGAACCATAAGCTCGCCACCTACTCGATAAGCTTCGGCTTTCTAGTAATATTTTGTGAGTGCTGTGAAGTAATACCGACTGAAAATACTCACCTTCTCTTCACCGTGACTGCCCTTCCTTTCAGCATTCTGCATAGTGTATATGACTCTTACGAGGTGCTCGAGAGCAGTACCTCCGTGTCTTGCTTGAGATGCGTGCAATGGAAGGGCCAGTACATCAGTACCGAGCTTGGAGGATTTTGCATCTGGAGCGGGAGATGGAAGTATTGGAAATTTCAAGTTCTGTTCAGATGCTGACTGAAACAACAATGCAGGGAGGATAAAAGGGTCCGTGTATGACAAGTCAGGTTCCCAGAACACAGAGACATCATCCCCGGTTCCACAGATAGAGAATTCTGCAACTCGGTCAGGTTCAACGTGGGCCATCATGTCGCTGACCCAAGATGGCTGAGTACTCGTTGCACGAGTTGGAGAATGTGTGTTGTGGCACATGGTGGCAAGTGATAGCGGGAGTATAACATTGTAAGCCCGCTCCCTCTTATCGTTGTATGAAGCCTAGTGACAGAGTAGATCGGTGCACGTCAGAAAATGGTGTTCGCTGCATATGGTAAGTATCATCACCATCTTGCAGGGAAAAAGGATTATTAGATGCCGCTTCATGATCAAGTGGTGAGCTAACAATGCCTAACATAGCCTAGTCTGTCTAAATCGGCTTAGTAGCAAGGTACTCAAAACGAACCCTACAGTCCGCATTGGTCAACTCCAACAATTTATTTTCCTGCTCCACGACACGGAGCTCGTCAGCCGTGACGGCCATGTTCACTGACCTTGTTTGCTCACTCGGCCACATTCGAACGCGAGTCGGTGGTATCATCAAACCATCCACTGTAGTCGCCTGCCATGGCTGTCCTTTGAGTTGGAAGTCACTACTCCCATTTCCGCTTGAAGTTAGACCATGAATGCATGGAGTTGTGAACTCGGAAGCGTGGATAACGTGTGTCCCTTACATAAACCTAACTCAAGTCGGAGGTCGCACGCTCAGAGTAAGCACTTCTCATTTTAACATATCGAGCTTGGATCGGTGGCACCATACATATATGTACATGTTTCACTGTTTAGGAAATTCCCACTTTTGTGTTCACATCAACTTTTGGCACTTCCGCTTCCCTGGATGACCCAAGTTAGGCGCCAATGTTACCAGCTTATCCCATATTCTAACCTTTCCTTTTAGGCATATGTTTACTTGACAACTTCCTTTTTCAGCACCAGACAGCTGCATATAAAGCCGCGGTGGGAGCTGGATCAACTTATTCGTCCACCCGTCTCCTCCAGTAAGCTCGATTGATTTTTTGTCCCCTTCTCACTGTGGAAGTCCATGTCCCAGCCCGTCGTGGATGATGTCCCCCAGCCTCAAGGATCATCACCATCAATAGCATTGGCGACGTCTGAGGATGCTCGCCAGAGGCGGAAAATTGCCGAGTTAGAAGAGAAACTACAGGTGCTGGAGTCAGGGCAGGCGATCAAGCGAAGGTATGAACATTATTGTAATATATCAGTTCGCTCATTATGACTGTGACTCAGGGAGACGAACTACTACATTTCGAAGGGCAGGGCGATTCAATGCATAGTTACATTATATGATGCCCTTGAAGATCTCATAGCTGAGAACGATAGGCGATGCGATGACCAACAGTCGGATGAAGATGTGACTATCGAGTAAGTCTTTCACCTTCGCCTTGTGTTTGTTAGTCACCAGTCCATCCTCACAGTCAGGAGTGTTTGCAGTTTGGGTACATCGCCCTTAGCAATGCCCTCTCATGGTTTCACTCAAGGGCTTCAGAGTTGGAGTACGACGAATACTTGCAAATGTTAAAAAAGGTGTGAATTTCTGGTGTGAATACTTTATCGTTTGCTAAGTCGTTATGTAGCTTAGGCAGGGGGCTGATGGCGCTCGGGGAGATGACACCTCGAAGCTCAAGAGCCTCGTCGCTGACTGGGTTAATCGAGAATTGAAACCTCATCCCCCCGTTGACACCGATGACAAAAGCTGTCGCGGATTCGTCAACGATGCGTGTGGTAGGCTCCTTTGTCCAACCGAGCTGGACTGGAGCAATCCAATGTAACTATCTTATTCAGCATTTCGCCTAACACTGACCGTATATCAGCGTCAGAGCAGGGATCAGGGATCATGCAGGCGGGCATGTCGTGACGGAAATGTCCTGGCCAACATTCATGTATGAAAAGTACACGGCCAATCCGGACAATCTAGAGGAGGGCCTCTTCAAGAGCAGTCCTTTAGTTCAGGTTTGTTTTATCTTATCTAGAGCTTGACAAAGATCTAACGTTTAGTAGCCCTACAAGGCTATATTCACATCTCCCTCCTCTGCTAAGGAGTTTGCCAATGAGGGCGATGGGGCTGATATTATCGCCAATAACCGACGCGCCAGCAAGGATTTTCATTCTGGTAAAAAAGTCAAGACGCACGTAGCGCAAATAATCAAGATGCATAAAGTCACTCCCCGTTCGATTGCCTATGTTTCATGTCAGGTAAGTGTTAGTTCTTACAAATCCCTTACCAAACATTAATAGTGGGTAACAAGTTACGACTCGCCCTTTCTTCTGTGACCTCGTGGCGCTCTATAGACGGTGACTTCGACTACATCCCATTTTGGCGAACCATTGTAGACTTTTTCGAACGACCCCCTGGTCGTGCAGCGCAGCGAAAAGTTGAACAACTCCTGGCATGGTGGACAAGGTATATTGTTCACATACTCGACAGTCCTAAGCTGATTTCTATCTCTTAGGAAAGTTTTTGGAACGAGTCATCGGGCGGAACTCAGTGATGGGGCGAAGGCTAACATGTCGGTGAATGCACTAGCCAGGCAAAGAGCGCAACTAGATGATGCTGCTTTCGATTCAGACTAATGCTTTTCTCGTGCCAGTTACTTTCCAGCGTCTACTACATATTTTTGACATCCCACCTTAACTTACACATCTAAACATTTAAGAATACTTAATATTTGCTGTAGTTAGTACAACTTGCTGTTTTTAATGCAATGCTTTTTCAAAATACATGTTCAGTGTGAATCTCCAGCAGCAAGCCTGTATGATGTGTCTGAGATGCGACATATTATTTTCAGGTCTCGGAACTGCCAGTTCGAGTCAGTGATATACTATTTGCCCTTGCGCCGTAGGAGAGAACCACGCTCACAATCTCATGAATTCATGGACATATCATGAATAGCGTAACTGAGGCTACAAATGTCAGACTTTGTGCATATAGTTTGAAAATTTGAATTGCGCATATACAGCGTGAAAGTGGTGATATTTGTATTTGCTGCTCATTATTCGCATCACAGACAGCCAGTATAGACTCGAGAAGTCACAAAACGTAGGGAGACTGCGGTGATACATATATGTCATGAACTTCATTCCCATCAAAGAGAAAATACTGTACACATCCCAGCTGATAATATCCTACTTCATCATTGCTATCTACAGACGGGAAGTATAGATATATGAAGGGGGGGAAGCAGCGCAAGAACAGTGATATGTGTTATCTTTTAATTTCATTCCACCCGCACGGAAGGAATATGCATTGGCGCAGGATGAAATTTCCGACCCACAATTCCTATCTACACGCGGGAACTGTTGACGTATGGTAATATAAAATGCAGTACGATAATATGAATGTATATACTACTCAACCTTCATTCGGCTCGCAGGCAGTAAGTATATATTAGCGCGGTGACAAGATTCTCGCCACAACATGCCTATCCACAGAAGAGAATTGTTGACGTGTGATGATGCGAAAACATTGCGATGATGGGATGCATGTACTCCCCAGCGTTCATTTGACTAGCTAGTCAGTAAATATGTACGAGCACAGTGACAAAATTCTCGACACGGATTGCACAGCGATAAAATATTTGTCCCATTGACCAATGCAATAACCGAGGCTGCCAAATACCCACGTAAACAATTACCTAAGCAGGGCGCACAAACCAACGATTTCACTGATAACAAGGCGAGAACAATGAAATTGTAGGTCTACAAGGTCACAACAATGGTAGAATATAGCAACATCATAGCCCTGCTTGTCTTACTTTGGATAGTCAGGATTTCTGTCTTGTCTATTTTCACATCAAAATGTATTGGAGTGCAGAAAAATCACATTCGACTTGACAGGTGATTGCACAATATATAATGCATGAATCAAACGGCAAGCAAGATGCTAAGGTCCACCAAGACCCACCATTGTCAATCTTCTAATCAAGTGACTATGCCGTGAAAATCTGTTGTTGATGTAAATATAAAGCAGTTTCATACTGAGTACCCAATAACACCCAACTACCCGAAATTATAGATTCAAAACGGACAGTCGAAAAACCTGAAAGAGCATATAACTCAGTTCTCGTGCGATTAGTGCACAGCGTATCTGTGACTGCAAAATACTAACTTCTGGTCCTACCATCTAAATAGTAGATGTCGGTCCTGATGTGGGGGCTGCGAATCGTAAAAACAGACCATAAGCTTTTGCTGCATGTATGACGTAATGTGGAGTCAAACTAGTCTATGACTTTTTGGTAATTCGCAAAACTGTGCATGTTGATTAAAAACTCATCTTTCCACTATAAAGCTATGTATGACAATGTGATAGCGTATAGCTGAATTATACAGATGCTGGTAATTATGCACTATGCAATGTAATATATGCCCTTCTCAGAACTCCGGCAGTTCACTGATGGTACTATCCATTCTGCGATTGTTGACGCACCGTGTACTGCGGCGGCACTTTGAACCTGCTTCGTCGTCCAATCAGACATGATTATCTAATATTCAAGCAGGACTCATCTGGCACTGCACGAGTTCAGTTCACTTGCATTCATGGGAAAGTTCGCGGCTGAACGTACGTTAACTTTGATAAACGTACACTGACCGGCAGAACACTCATCTAAAAAAACCGACTCGGTGGAAATATAGTTTGAAACTCTTGTAAGACTCTCGCGAGAGTTGCCGTTTTGGTTAGCACGAAATCTACTAGATTTCGTTCGTAAATACCTGGTTTTGGTTATGTTTGAACCCTGAGCCAAGTTTCACACATTTAGATGTGGGATTTGAAGATTATCAATGCGATGTGAGATTATCAGTACAATAAATGCGTTATCCAGTATTACTAGTACAATCGAAAACTACTATCTGATAGAATCTACGAGGGTGCCTGCGATGGTCCAATCACTAACACGTACCGCAAAAAGTTGTGAAACTGTACTCGCTCGTCCCCGGAAAGGTTGTTCATCGCACTGAGGATATATAGGAACTTGCGATTGGATCCCATTCCTCCAAAACTATCCACTTTCACCTGGACTTCGAACTGTTCGTCGAGGCTGCAGAACATCGCTGCGCCGGCGAGTGCCCACATGAACTTCAGATTTTCGATTTGCTGTTCCTCAGTCTCGCCGAGGAACTCTTGGTGCAACCCCTGCCAAACAAAACGGATAACGTTGCACATGATGAACGCATTCTGGAATTTAGCTTTGATTTCGACCTGTCCGTTCTGAAAAGATTGAGCTGCCCCCGACAACACACACGAACGAAAACTTACTTGATCGAAGCTATAAACGTGCATGAAAGCGAGACCATCTCCATCTTGTGTGATCTTTTCGATCAAGCGTTTGCGATAGGTGATAGCGGGTGCAGCAATGTGCAGTGGAGGGAAAAGCCGATATGCATGGAACACGCCCTTGCGCGCGTATTCAGCGAATTTGCCGCGAGTTGACGACAACGCATTCGCAACATCCTTACGATGTTTATTTGAGATAAAATCCTCAAACGTTGCTAATAAAACAAGTCAGTATGATGTTAATGGACATATGATACTCACCATTGGGCGCAAAGCAGCGTGGTACCGAGTCCCAGATGACCTTGTTCAGCATGATTTTCTTGGCGGCTTTGTCAATCGCCATCGCCTGTTCTCCAAATAACTCGCGCGTGACCAAATGCGTTGCCGTTTTCATGGACTGGCCAATGATATCATCCGATAGTTTGATGCGCATGGGTTGAGGTGTTGACGAC